TAAAAACATATACGATATAGCTTATTTAAAAATACTGAATTCAGTTTACTTTAGTTACTATATAGATTTATCTATTTTGCTATTATTGAAAACGAGAAATGAGACGATACTGAGAATACTATGTTATAGTTGTTCCAGGGTGATTCTGAGACTGTTTAGCAGTCTCAGGGCTGGGACTAATCATGATTGTAGACATTGGTCCAAGCTCATGGTGATCACGCTATTTATTTCTATATTTTGAAAATTTTCAATGGGAGTTATCATGTCGTAGTTATTTCAAAATTCTTTCTGAATGATTTGATTTCTGGTCACATCTGGGACATGGTATATTAGGTCTCAGGTCACACGCAGAGAAATTCAGTATGCTTTGTCACATGCCGGTAAACTTCGATGTCTTCCATCATGTCAGACTCAGTCTGTCAAATGATAGTTCTTTTACCAATATAATTCTAAAATTAAGAACATTTGGAAGAACATGTAACTTGGACTCCGAAATTGGCCCGGGTCTTATCTTGTGTTTATTTACAGCAAGGATTTATATAGTTAATATATCTTACTATATAAATCCTTGTTTACAGATATAAATTTTGTCTTGTGAAGTTTTATTTATAAATATCACCATAATTTTCAGTTTAGAATCTAGTTAATTCGGTTTTTGTTAGTTGTTTTTCTGTATGTTTCATTTTGTATTGAGTTTTTGGTGTATGATTGTCCTTTTTAGTTCACCTGGCCCAATGGGCCAAGTGAGCTTTTCTCATCACTTGGCGTCCGTCGTCCGTCGTCGTCCGTTAACTTTTTTTTTTACAAAAATCTTCTCCTCTGAAACTACTGGGCCAAATTTAACCAAACTTGGCCACAATCATCATTAGGGTATATAGTTGGAAAAATGTGTCCGATGACCCTGCCTGCCAACCAACATGGCCGACATGGCTAAAAATAGAACATAGAGGTAAAATGCAGTTTTTGGCTTATATCTCTGAAACTAAAGCATTAAGAGCAAATCAGACATTGGGTAAAAATGTTCGTCAGGTTAAGATCTCTTTGCCCTGAAATTTTCAGACGAATCAGACAATCCATTGTTGGGTTGCTGCCCCTGAATTTGTAATTTTAAGGAAATTTTGCAGTTTTTGGTTATTATCTTGAATATTATTATAGATAGAGATAAACTGTAAACAGCAATAATGTACAGCAAAGTAAGATCTATAAATAATTCAAACATGACCAAAATTGTCAACTGACCCCTTAGGGAGTAATTGCTCTTTATAATCAATTTTTAACAATTTTTCGTAAATTTTTGTAATTTTTTACAAAAATCTTCTCCTCTGAAACTACTGAGACAAATTTAACCAAACTTGGCCACAATCATCATTAGGGTATCTAGTTTAAAAATTGTGTCCGATAACCTCGCCTGCCAACCAACATGCATGGCTAAAAAAAGAACATAGGAGTTAACTATTGTAAGACTACAATGGGATGACTTGAGTTTTTTCCATGGGAGGGTCAGTGCTTATAATTTCTGCTTGATATTTTCCATTTTCATAATTATTCAGTTACTTTTCTATAAACCATTATTATATCGTCTCTTTCAACATACTTACATAGGGTGAATTCCCCCCCTCCCCCCTGCCGCCAAACTTTTTTTTTGAAGGGTAATCCCAAAAAACATTTAAAGGCATTTCAAGCATTATACAGGCCCTGGTTGAAATAAATTTTGGAGATGAGGGGTATTCAATTGGTGTTCGTTTGGGACACTTTCATGACAGCATCATTTTTGCAATTTTTGTTAATTATCTTGAATATCATTGAATATTAGATTGAGATATACTGTAACTGAGACTACTATAACCCCAGAAAGAAATCACGCATTAGAAGAAGGGAGAAGTACTACAGGAGAAAATGACTTTTTTTAGTATTTTTTTTTAATTTGATTGAATTTGTCATGCTTGTCTTACATGGAGAAATAAATATTTAAGTCTTTGAAAATACAGTTTTATTATTATATACATTAAAACTAAGACAGGAATGCAGAAATTCACTAACACGCTCAGTTTGGATAACAGTTCAATGAAAGAAAAAAAAACAAGTAACCACACATCTTTATATATTAAAGGAATAGCCACTTGAAGCAAACTTTAAGGAGATTTTTATATTTTTTTGCTAATGATCATCAGACAACTCCTTTAGTCCAAATGAAGTTCAATGAAGTGGATGTAAGTTATTGGAATGCACTGTAATTACCTTCAACAATGAGAAAACCTATACCGTGCAGTCAGCTTCAAAAGTCCCCGACATGGAAAATATATAACAATTCACTAGAGAAAACGAAGTGTCTACAATAACAAAGCAATTTACGAAAATTCAAATATGACGGACATGAACCAACAGCAACCACTGAATTACAGGCTCCTGACTTGAGACGGGCACATAAAGAATGTGACAATGTTAAATATTTTTAGGCTCTCATCACCACCACTAGCATGGGACATTGGTGTAACGACATAACATAAAAACAAACTTTAAACATAATTTGAAAATAGTTCATTTCGGTTTAATCAGGCTGACTGTACATGAAATATTTGCCATTGACAAGCAGTTGTGAATCGAAGTTGAATTTACAGAAAGGTGACATCAATATATGCTATCATATTTAACATTCTTGTTTAGATCTGACATTGCTACGTATTTATACATTCCGCATTATTTTTGGCTTCTCAGAATTTTCACATGGTAAACTGTCAGCAGTTACCCAACAAAAAAATGTTATAGGGAACCTATTTACAAAGCATCATGCCGACAACAATTAACATGGTTTGTCACCAAACATTGAACAAGCACATTTATATTTGCTGTGGCTAAAAAAACTAAAGCAAATCACAACTCTTTTCATCTGAGTTGCTCAATTATTAGGGTTACAAAAAGCATAGCGATATAACTAAAACATACGACACTTTAACAATAGACAATATTCAAATTTTCAAAAACTTTACGGCTCTGTATTGAAGCACAAAATTTCTTGTCTTGGATTTTGAAAGAGGGCACATATTTCTGGTGTTGAAAAAATGTCATCGTAATTTACACTAATGTGGTTCTATTTATGTTAACATAGAGATAATTTGATTATTCAGTCACGTAATTTTGAAGCTTCTTCGTTCTGATTTACATGTACTTGCGGTTGATGCTTCTTTTGGAGTTTTTGTAGTTTTTGCAGTCTTTGCAGCAGGGACGTATAGTCATCCTCCGATTCAATATCTGATGCAGTATATTCACCACGTAAAAGATCAAGATTGAGATCACTATCATCCCAAGATAAAAAATCAATGTTACTGGACATTGTGAATTGAAAAATGAAAATGCCGGCGATATTTTGGGAACATATATATAATTTGTAGGGCTTATGTTTGCTTTATGTATCCATTGCAGTTATAACCTCTTTGCTGATCTGTTACGTAAGGAAATTACTCATTTACCTTTAATGAAATTTTTTCTCTCTTCTGTGATCGCCGCTTATTACATTGTTTGCAAAAACTTGACCTAATTATCAGACGGAAATTTAAAAAAAGTGTGGGGGGGGGGGGTTGAAACTTGTTTGAAAAATAAAATTACGTTGAATAATCTGAATGAGGGTCTGGATGGGGGTTCTTTATTTCCTATAATTTCTATGCCATTTTTCTCTATTCTTTAAATCTTAATAACTTATTATTTTCTCTTCTCTATTCTTTATTTGTCGGTCCATTTTTCTCCATTCTATACTTTTTTTGCCCCTATTTCTCCATTCTATAAAACCCCATCCACACCCTCCTGAATCCTACCACAAGTGCACCGACGATATTTGACAAGGTTTACTACAATAAACATGTATATTGGGCACTCAGCAGTGAAATACCTTACAAGTATAGAATAAAAGTTTACTGCAATAAACGGAGCCTCGTGTACCTTGGGCACCCAGCTGTGAAACAAAATTCATCTCCCATGCTTTTGAGACTACCTGTCTTTACAGGTAAAATATTTGTATATTAGATACAATTAACGGACGTGTAGCAAAACAATGTAACTGTAAGATTGATAAGATTTATAAATCACATTCACATTTTCAAGAGTGGCCGCATAATAACAAACTATTAACAAATTATTAATGATTAAAAACAAAAATTTTAAATATGAATAGAGATAACTGCATTTGAAAGATAAAAACTATATTCTTTTTTTTTGTGATTAATTCAATTTTGTTTTTAAATTATTTTTAAAAGAAAAATAATAATATCCGATACTGTTATAGTATTCTCAGTAATAGGTGATATATGTCGTCTGCTACGGTCGAATACGAAACTACGTTAAAATAACGTAGCTAACTACCGGAGACTCAGATAATCCGATAAATCTATAGTGACCAATCTCTGTGTTATAGTAGTCTCAGACTGTAAACAGCAAAGATATCAAGCAGAGAAAGATCTACAAATAAGTCAACATGACCAAAACCGTCTTATTGGAGTTATTGTCCTTTAAAGTCATTTTCTGCAATTAATTGGTAATTTTTGTAAACTTTTTTCAAAAATCTTCTGCTTTTAATTTTTAATTACTGGCCCAAATTAAACCAAACTTGGCCTCAATCATTATTAGGGTATCAAATACTATTTTTTATAATTTTAACCTTATTTTACATGATTTCCATAACTACAGTAGATACAGATGAGCGACACATGCTCTTGAGAGCTTCTAGTTTTATTACTCGTTTAACTTTATTTTTTTCATTTGTGCGTAAAAACTACGACGGTAAAGATCTATCATTTTTTAGCTACCACCTTATTTTCAACAATACAAAACTGAATTTGTTACATTTTTGTGAGGAGTGTATTACAAGTTGAATAAGATCAAATATTTCAAACAATTATACAAAATTAGTGGGTGAGAAGATTTACGCGATATGACACTTTTCATACCTTTCTTACCTGACCTGACTCATCAATTTCATCCAATCAAATTATTTGTTTTGGTCACATGAACGGAACTACTAATGTCGAATGGAATTTGGACAATTACTCTACTTTAACAGAAAATATGCTTAATTAGCAGATATTTGCAGACAAAAATTCAAAAAAAGGACTTTATTTATATATTTCTGAAAATTTATTTCGTCGAACTATTCAGGATAAACTTTTGATCGAATATTTGGGATGCCGTGTCCCGAAGTTTATTTATCAATATGGCGGATCACAACTTCCGATGGTGGAGAATAAAGAATTTTAACAATATTCATTCTAAAAACTTTTGAAATACATGCTAATTATTGTTAAATGTAAATTTCATTACAATGAAACGTTATAAGCGATTAGTAATGCCATTGCTATCCAGCAAAGCATATTTTACAACTCTTTTCCTCACCTTTATGTCTGTTTGGCCTGACAAATGTCTCATGCAAGGTAAGAAAATCTATAATAGGTAATTCAGGGTCTTGAATATTCTAAAATGGACCACATATTCACACAAACTTTATTCATTTCCTCACTAAATATATCTACAAAGTGCAGATTATTAAGATTGCTTCCAGGTACTGTTGTTTTCAGGTAACCTGGGGGCTGATCAAAGTGATTGTTCAAACACACTAGTAGTCACTACTGCTGAATGAGTCAATGTTGTCCTGTTCACTATGAGAAAGCACCCAAGGTACTTTTCATGTTTGGAAAATTACCCATGTTGAAGTATAAGCTGTTGAAGATACCCAATTTAAACCCAGATCATAAAAACAAACCTAGGTTGCTGTTTTTTGAATATTTTGGTATTTAAGTTGCTGATACTGAACCCACATTTGCATCTTCATCATCATGGCAGTCATAATTGAATAAATGAATATGTTTTTAAATGGTTTCCTGGAATTAATAGAAACTTAACAAATAAATCTGGGTACTATTTGATCACGTGAAACGGTGAAAGTACCCAGGGTACCTTCTTATGGTAGCCAGGACAACAATGACCTATTTTACCACACTACCTCAACAGAATTAAAATTAAAAAAAATAACAGGATGAAAGCTGAATTTCATGACAAAAAATCAAACTATTCAAAATGCTACAAGGCGTAACAGTTCATGTATGAGATAGTCTGTTGTTCATCAGTGTCTGATTTCATCTTAAACACACCAATAATGTACTGTGATAATTTAAAAAAACTATGGAATCAACACAACATCACATGCATTAAATATAATATTGTGGGTAAAGCAGGGTTTCCCCTGGGTCAATATTATTTTTGCCAACTTGCATTCCTTTTTGAAATTAAACTAAAGTTCAATTTGTGGTCTCGTGTACATCTGGGATCTAATATAACCTGTAATATAAAATCCCATGTACTTTTAACCACATCTCTATTTTGATTCTACATTTTAATAAATGAACACTAAAATGCTAAATTGGAATAACAATTTTATTACATTTATTGTTAGTGTAAATTCATTACAAAGTCAATTAAACTTGATTACTGCCACTTTTTATGAGGATATTGGAGTGCCAATAATTATATTTGTATCCAATACATCAGCAAGTCTGGACAAAAGCTGTACAACTGTACTCATATTCAGTGTGTGTTCATTAATGTCAATTAAAATGCTTTTACTTTAATACCATAAAGACTTGTTAGGCCAATTAAAATTAATTGATAGATTTTCATCCCCGCCCGCCCCTCTGAAATCATCCCGCCTTGATTTTTTTTTAAAATTTGCGATTTGCGGATTTTGTTCATTTCTGTTACCTGTAACCGCCGATAATTTCATTTCATTCAAAACTTCCTGCTTAAAATTTCGGTTTTTCGAATTTCTTCGAGTAATATAACCAAAATGATTAAGTCGACATATACTGCTGCTCAAGGATGACAACATTATCTTCTGAGAATATAGATTGATTTTGCCTCTCTGTTACTAGAATGACATAAAATATTCGGATTACGAGTAATACATGTATAATAGGCGCTGTCCAAGAACTCTAATCGCGGTAATGTCACAAATTTCAGTGATTAGAAAAGCGTAGATTTTTTATACATGTACGACCGCAAACAAATTTTTGGGTTCGTATAATGGTATGATGTCGTCGTCGTCTGTGTCGTCGTCCAAAGACACATTGGTTTCCGGACAATAACTTTAGTTTAAGTGAATGGATCTCTATGAAATTTGTTAAGAAGGTTCAATACCACAAAAGGAAGGTTAGGATTGATTTTGGGGATGATGGTCCCAACCGTTTAGGAATAAGGGACCCAAAACAAGCATTTTTCTAGTTTCAGGATAATAACTTGTGTATAAGTATTTCGATTGCTCTGAAATTGTACCACAATGTTTAATACCACAAGTAGAAGGTTGGGATTTATTTTAGGGGTTATGGGGGCCAACAGTTTAGGAATAAAGGGCCAAAAAGGGGCCAAAAGCAAGCATTTTTCTAGTTTCCAGACAATAACTTGTGTGTAAGTGTATGGATCTCTCTGGCATTGTACCACAAGGTTCCATATAACAAAGGGACGGCTGGGATTGAGTTTGGGGTTAATTGTCCCAAACGTAGGAATTAGGGGCCAAAAAAGGGCCAAAAACAAGCATTTTTCTAGTTTCCAGACAATAACTTGTGTGTAGGTGTATGGATCTTTCTGAAATTGTACTACAAGGTTCCATACTACAAAGGAAAGGCTGGGATTGAGTTTTGGGGTTATTGCTCCAAGGGGGGGGGGGATTTTTTTCCCAAGTTTTTTAAGGAATTCATATATTTTTTTCAACATTTTTAAAATTTGAAATTTTTTAAAAGTTTCAAGAAGAAATCTTCAATTGCACAGTATTGCACAATGGATTTATAAGATCTTTGACCACATTTATTTTGCGTCATAAACCCTAATTATGTCAAAAATTTGATCACAATCCAAATTCAGACAGTATCAAGCTTGAATATTGTGTCCAAATTTGCCCCAACTGTTCAGGGTTCGACCTCTGCGGTTGTATCAGGCTGCGCTCAGCGAAGCATTTTATTTATTTATACAATGACTTTGTGTCAGGAAATTTGGACTGTGAATGATATCCAAAGCGCATGAATATTGGAACACATTGGTACAAAATCATGACTGGAATAAAGTAATTGACACAAGCACAAAGTTGTGCGATTTATGACTGTACATTGAGTACAAAGAGTCGGCCAACATATAAAATGTATTATAGCAAGCTCTTAGATTTACCCCAAGGCTGTCGTTTTTGTTGACAAACAGCAAACACCCTCTGTCCCAGCCCCTTAATAGAGTCATTAAACAACTTCTTAGTTTTGGTTCAGTTCAGGTTTTATATTGTAATTATATTTGCACCTTGCATAAGAATCTTCAAAGCATCAACCCTAGTATTTTCAACACAGTTTGAGTTTTCATTTCACTCTGTACTCATAATATTTGTGTTGCATACCAATGCATATGCTGTATTTTATGAGCACTACAAATCATAGCTAAGAAAGAAAACTAAATTTGATGGAGGTAGTCTGAAAGAGAACATTTTTCCACGTTTTTGCTATTTATTTTATTAAAAATAGGTTTCTAAAGCGGCCATTACATCTAGAACAGTGGTTGCTAATCAGGAATATTAATTTAAGAATTTGAAAATAATGTAGAATTCCTTATATATAAATTATATAAGCTTATTATAACCCATGTATATGAACAACACGTCACAAAAGGGTTTAGGAGGAAATAAAAATTAAAAAATAAAATCCTCTTACCTGCCCCATTTTTTTCAAAAATCTGGATGAAAATCTACTAATTAATTTTAGTTGGCCTTAAGTGAAATATTTATTATATACACAATTGTGTCATGATTGTATTTCAAATAATTAAAGATTAAAGATATTCTTGGAACACTCATATCAACCTATATTGTTACAGTCTTAGACAATGTACTCTTTTCAGATTATCCCCCAAGAGAGTTTTCCACTGAGCCAAATACACAGAATCCAATACCAGAACTCTCATTAAAAATAGTATTATGTCGAGCCAGTAGTTCACCTAATGCACAATACAGATGGATGAAGGACGGAACATATATCACAGAGTATAATGCTTTAGACTATTCATATAGAATGATGTCTGTTAATAGAACTGATGCTGGAATTTATAGATGTGTTGCAAAAAATTATCTAGGTGCTATACGAAGTAAGGGGGCAAAGATAGTCATTGCTTGTAAGTATTTCTGCCAAAGTTGGAAGATAAATACAACCTGGGTGGTTGTAACTTCATGTATTAATTCTAGTAAAACCATGGTTATGATGGCAGATAGGGGAAATTATTAAAATTTTATTTCTTTTTGCATCAGTTTATGAGAAAATGAAAGATATTGGGTTTATGTATGTTTTATTTATCTTTAACATTAATAACTACTGATTTAGTCCTTAGTTCTAATGATCTTTGGTTATGTTAAATACATGTACATTGTATGTATAGATACAATGTATATAGAAATGTAAATCATTTCAACATGTCTAAATCAAGATGGTTCTGCCAGAAAATGTATGATTTTTACATGTAACTAAATTACATGAACTTTACCAGTTACCCATGGCTAACAGTTGTAAAAAAATATCTATAACAAAAGCCCCCTCCTCAATAAATGTTAACCTAACAGGAAACAAGTAATAAAAAGGATATTAATCTTTTAAATGCCAGTAAAAATAAGTTAGAACTAGAAGGATTTTCACTCTGATAGCTTCTGTTATTGTCTTTTACTACACTACATGTATTTTATGCTAAAGCATCAGTCTTCATCATCTGTCCATATATAATTTCAATTGATATAGATAAGTGAATTTTTAAAGTGTCTAAAATTGACTGGAACACTTTAATGATTTGATAAATCACACAACAGCCCCCCCGCCCAATAAATGTTGACTGTACAGGAATAAAAGTTATAATAGTGATTTTTATACAACCGCAAAAAAAATTTTGTGGTCGTATATTGGTATGACGTTGGCGTCGTCGTCGTCGTCGTCGTCGTCCGGCGTCGTCGTCCGAATACACATTAGTTTAAGTGAATGGATCTCATTGAAATTTTACCATAAGGTTCAATACCACAAAAGGAAGGTGGGGATTGATTTTGGGGGTTATGGTACTAACAGTTAAGGAATTAGGGGCCAAAAGGGGCCAAAAATAAGCATTTTTGTAACTTCCAGACATAACTTGTGTGTAAGTGTATGGATCTCTCTGACATTGTACCACAAGGTTCCATATCACAAAGGGAATGCTGGGATTGATTTTGGGGGTAATTGTCTCCAAATTTTAGGAATTAGGGGCCAAAAAGGGGCAAAAAACAAGCATTTTTCTAGTTTCATGACAATAACTTGTTTGTAAGTGTATGGATCTTTATGAAATTGTACTACAAGGTTCCATATCACAAAGGGAATACTGGGATTGATTTTTGGGGTAATTTCCTCCAAATATTAGGAATTAGGGGCCAAAAAGGGGCAAAAAACAAGCAATTTTCTAGTTTCATGACAATAACTTGTTTGTAAGTGTATGGATCTTTATGAAATTGTACTACAAGGTTCCATATCACAAAGGGAAGGCTGGGATTGATTTTGGGGGTTTTCCCTCAAAATTTTAGTAATTAAGGGCCATAAAAGGGCAAAAAAAACATGCATTTTTCTAGTTTCAGGACAATAACTTGTGTGTAAGTGTATGGATCTTTATGAAATTGTACTGCAAGGTTCCATATCACAAAGGGAAAGCTGGAATTGAGTTTGGGGGTAATTGCCCTAAACGTTTAGGAATTTGGGGCCAAAAAACAAGCATTTTTCTAGTTTCCAGACAATAACTTGTGTTCAAGTGTATGAATCTCTCTGAAATTGTACTGCAAGGTACCATACCACAAAGGGAAAGCTGGGATTGAGTTTGGGGGCGATGAATCATAAGGGGGTTCAAAAATTGGGGGGGGGGATTTTTTTTTTCATTTTTTTTCTTTAACATTTTCCATTTTAAATTGGTTATTTCTGATTTATATATAAAAGCAAATAATAATGATATGGTTTGAATAGGCATACATGTGAACCTCCCGACGGGAGTACAATAATCCCGTTTTCAGGGGTCTCCTCCCCCCTCCCGTTGAAAAAATCCCGTGTATGAAATTTTTCATGAATGAAAAATTTCTGCCCAACATAACATCTCAGGCATCTGGTGTAACTGACATTACCTGAAGTTATATTTTACCTGTAAATCAATTAACATGCATAATTATAGGGCTTCACTTGTCAGCTTGGGTGTCAAACATACTGGTAAGCAACGATTTTTACCTCAGGCTAACTGCCGTTGTGTAACAAAAACTGTGTATTTATTGGGTTACTTCCCTTGATTTATCCTGTTTTAAGTTACTTTCCTTTTAATAATGAAAATTTTTAAAAGAATATAAATAAAATATAAATTGAACAAATAATCATAAAAGGATGGTTATTAAATGATTTTAAATGTCTTAGGACAAATAAAAAAATAATAATTTGAAAATTATTTGAGGATTCTATACTTCCTTTTAAGGCTTAAATTGAAATTTATATAATAACTATGACCCTAACTTTACAGATAGAATGAATTTCTGAGTTTGCAAATAAAAACCATTTGCAAGAGAAAAAAAAAAAAAATAAAAACTATTTGCAGACAGCTAAACAAATGCTCTGGTTGCAATGATTGTTTTATAGAATATGAAGTAAAAAATTTAAAGAACATACTGGAAAAAAACAATGTTAGATTGAACATGTAGAATATAAAGATGGAGAAACTTTATAAGTACAAGGGTACTATAAACATAATAAATTGGTTGGAAAGTTGAAGAAAACACACTTTAAAAGACCATTTTTACAGCACACGGTTACATTTACAACAAAATTAATGTCGATTAAAAACCTCCTGATCTGAGTCCTTATCTCCTGACCAAAATTTCCCAATCTCCTGATCTGAGTTTCACAGTCCATCACATGTATGAATAGGTAAATTGAAAATTTTTAAGTTCTTAGACCACTTTCATTCTGTGTCAGAAACCTATGCTGTGTCAAATATTTAATTACAATCCAAATTCAGTGCTGTATCAAGCTTGAATGTTGTGTCCATACTTGCCCCAACTGTTCAGGGTTCGACCTCTGCGGTCGTATCAAGCTGCGCCCCAGCGGAGCATTTTATTTTTAATTTGCTTAAAATTAAATTATTTCCTGACTTCAAATGTGTAATAACAATCTTCTAAATGCACGAAAATGAATGTTGGAAGAACCTTCACTTTTATGGCTTCTGTTTTTATACGACCGCAAAAAAATTTTGTGGTTGTATATTGGTATGACGTTGGCGTCGTCGTCCGAAGACACATTGGTTTTCACACTCTAACTTTAGTTTAAGTGAATGGATCTCTATGAAATTTTACCATTAGGTTCAATACCACAAAAGAAAGGTTGGGATTGATTTTGAGGGTTATGGAACCAACAGTTAAGGAATTAGGGGCCAAAAAATAAGCATTTTTGTAACTTCCAGACATCACTTGTGTGTTAGTGTATGGATCTCTCTGAAATTGTACCACAAGGTTCCATATCACAAAAGGAATGCTTGGATTGATTTTGGGGGTAATTGCCTCAAAATTTTAGGAATTAGGGGCCAAAAAAAAGGGACAAAAACAAGCATTTTTCTAGTTTCATGACAATAACTTGTGTGTAAGTCTATGGATCTTTCTGAAATTGTACTACAAGGTTCCATATCACAAAGGGAAAGCTGGAATTGAGTTGGGGGTAATTGCCCTAAACGTTTAGGAATAAGGGTCCAAAAATAAGCATTTTTCTAGTTTCCAGACAATAACTTGTGTTCAAGTGTATGGATCTCTCTGAAATTGTACCACAAGGTTCCATATCACAAAAGGAATGCTTGGATTGATTTTGGGGGTAATTGCCTCAAAATTTTAGGAATTAAGGGCCAAAAAAAAGGGACAAAAAACAAGCATTTTTCTAGTTTCATGACAATAACTTGTGTGTAAGTCTATGGATCTTTCTGAAATTGTACTACAAGGTTCCATATCACAAAGGGAAAGCTGGAATTGAGTTTGGGGGTAATTGCCCTAAACGTTTAGGAAAAAGGGGCCAAAAATAAGCATTTTCTAGTTTCCAGACAATAACTTGTGTGTAAGTCTATGGATCTTTCTGAAATTGTACTGCAAGGTTCCATATCACAAAAGGAAAGCTGGGTTTGAGTTTGGGGGTAATTGCCCTAAATGTTTAGGAATTTGGGGCCAAAAAGGGGCCAAACAAAACAAGCATTTTTCTAGTTTCCAGACAATAACATGTGTTCAAGTGTATGGATCTCTCTGAAATTGTACTGCAAGGTACTATACCACAAAGGGAAGGCTGGGATTGAGTTTGGGGGGGGGGGGATGAATCATAAGGGGGTTAAAAAAACTAGGGGGGGGGGGGATTTTTTTTCTTTAAAATTTTCTATTTTCAAATTGGGTTTTTCTGATTTATATATATAGCAAATAATAGTGATATGGTTTGAATAGGTAAATTAAAAAAATTTAAGTTCTTAGACCACATTCATTCTGTGTCAGAAACCTATGCTGTGTCAAATATTTAATCACAATCCAAATTCAGTGCTGTATCAAGCTTGAATGTTGTGTCCATACTTGCCCCAACTGTTCAGGGTTCGACCCCTGCGGTCGTATCAAGCTGCGCCCAGCGGAGCATTTTATTATCTTTTAGTTTAATAATCTATATGATTTATACTAATAAATAACTGTCCATCATATGTCCATATAGAATTTCAATTATATTTAATATAAAAAAACAGAACCTAAAATTGACAGAAACACTTACAAGAAGAATCAAATTTATTTATTATAGTGTCACATATTGATTGAAACAAAACATTCACAAAATATTTGTGTACACAGAAATAACAATCACTATCCAGCCAAAAAATGACTTATGAGACACTGATCCTTAAAACCAAAATATATACAAAAAAATCATATTTTCATAGTTGACAGTAATTGACCAGATAGGAAATAATGAATTTAATAAGCTTATACCAAAGCATGCATTTTAAGCTTAGCTTTTATCAATAATTTGGATTATTGACAGAAAAGCAGACAACCAAATTCAAGCTAATCTTTTCAACAAGATCAGGATTTCCATAATGCAATGCCATTTCTGAATTGATCCATAAATAAAGAAATTACCATTAACAACTGCAGATTTACATATTGTTATTCATTTCAGATATTGATAATTTTGAATCTCATACAAATCAGACAGTAAGTGTGTTGTCAGGGGATGGTGTTGCAATCAACTTACCTAATATAAACTCTGTACCAGATCCTGCTGTATCATGGTATGCCAGTGGTGTAGAAATGGCACCAGAAGCACAGAGGCATCAAATTACACTTGAAAAAAATCTCGTTCTATTGAGCACAAGTATACATTCTGATAATGGGAAGATATATAAAGCAGAAGCTCTTAATGGTATCAATGGAGTCAGTAGAACTACAAAGGACTTTGCCCTCAGAGTTGGAGGTAAGTGATAGTACATGTGCTAATGCCAACATTCATATCTGTACAATATGTATTGATTTATATAGAACTGCTGTAAGGAATAGACCTGACTTCTTTTATGGATAAATTCATTTTGTATTTTGGTACATTGTATTCATACATACAATATTTAGAGTTTTCACTTAGATGAGTCCTGAACTTTAGTAAAAATTTAACTGGCCTAACCATTTTTATACGACCGCAAAAATTGAAAATTTTTTGGTCGTATATTGGTATGACGTTGGCGTCGTCGTCGTCGTCGTCGTCGTCCGGCGTCGTCCGAAGACACATTGGTTTTCGCACTCTAACTTTAGTTTAAGTGAATGGATCTCCATGAAATTTTACCATAAGGTTCAATACCACGAAAGGAAGGTTGGGATTGATTTTGGGGGTTATGGTACCAACAGTTAAGGAATTAGGGGCCAAAAAGGGGCCAAAAAAAAGCATTTTTGTAACTTCCAGACAATAACTTGTGTGTAAGTGTATGGATCTCTCTGACATTGTACCACAAGGTTCCATATCACAAAGGGAAGGCTGTAATTGATTTTGGGGGTAATTGCCTCAAAATTTTAGGAATTAGGGGCCAAAAAAGGGGCAAAAACAAGCATTTTTCTAGTTTCATGACAATAACTTGTGTGTAAGTGTTTGGATATTTCTGAAATTGTACTACAAGGTTCATATCACAAAGGGAAAGCTGGAATTGAGTTTGTGGGTAATTGCCCGAAACGTTTAGGAATAGGGGGCCAAAAAGGGGCCAAAAATAAGCATTTTTCTAGTTTCCAGACAATAACTTGTGTTCAAGTGTATGGATCTCTCTGAAATTGTACTGCAAGGTACCATACCACAAAGGGAAGGCTGGGATTGAGATTGGGGGTGATGAATCATAAGGGGGTTCAAAAAATTTGGGGGGGGGGGGGGATTTTTTTTTTCTTCTTTTTTTCCTTTTTTTTTTTCTTTTAAAATTTTCCATTTTAAGTTGGTTATTTCTGATTAATATTTAAAAGCAAATAATAATGATATGGTAGGAGATACACACCAAACAGGATGTGTAAATTATTATATAATAAGTATTGTGCAATAGCAAGAAATTTTCAATTGCACAGTATTGCACAATTGCAAGAAATCTTCAATTGCACAGTATTGCGCAATAGCAAGAAATCTTCAATTGCACAGTATTGCGCAATAGCAAGAAATATCCAATAGCACAATATTGCGCAATAGCAAGAAATTGTCAATTGTACAGTATTGCACAATAGCAAGAAATATTCAATTGCACAGTATTGTGCAAAAGAAGATACTTCGTATAAATTGCTTATTTCTTGATCAATTTCAATGGGGTTTTATTCTTGAATTCTTGGGGTTCTTTAATATGCTGAATCTAACCAAGTATTAAGTTTTTGGATTTTGGGCCCCGTTTTTAAATTGGTCCACAATGAGGTACAAAGGGTCCAAAATTTAACTTCGTTTGATTTCATCAAAAATTGAATTATTGGGGTTCTTTGATATGCCGAATCTAACCGTGTATTTAGATTCTTAATTTTTGGTTCCGTTTTCAAATTGGTCTACATTAAGGTCAAAAGGGTCCAAAATTAAACTTAGTTTGATTTTAACAAAAATTGAATTTTTAGGGTTCTTTGATATGCTGAATCTAAACATGTATTTAGATTTTTGATTATGGGCCCAGTTTTCAAGTTGGTCCAAATCGGGGTCCAAAATTAAACTTTGTTTGATTTCAACAAAAATTGAATATATGGGGTTCTTTGATATGCTGAATCTAACCATGTATTTAGATTTTTGATTTTTGGGCCCCATAATCAACTTTGTCCACATTGAGGTCAAAAGGGTCCAAAATTAAACTTTGTTTGATTTCATCAAAAATTGAATTATTGGGGTTCTTTGATATGCCAAATCTAACCGTGTATTTAGATTTTTAATTTTGGGTCCCGTTTTTAAATTGGTCTACATTAAGGTCCAAAGGCTCCAAAATTAAACTTAGTTTGATTTTAACAAAAATTGAGTTCTTGGGGTTCTTTGATATGCTGAATCTAAACATGTGTTTAGATTTTTGATTATGGGCCCAGTTTTCAAGTTGGTCCAAGTTGGGGTCCAAAATTAAACTTTGTTTGATTTCAACAAAAATTGAATATATGGGGTTCTTTGATATGCTGAATCTAAACATGTATTTAGATTTTAGATTTTTGGCCCAGTTTTCAAGTTGGTCCAAATTGGGGTCCAAAATTAAACTTTGTTTGATTTCAACAAAAATTGAATATATGGGGTTCTTTGATATGCTGAATCTTACCATGTATTTAGATTTTTTATTTGTGGGCCCGCTATCAAATTGGTTCATATTGAGGTCAAAAGGGTCCAAAATTAAACTTTGTTTGATTTCATCAAAAATTTAATTATTGGGGTTCTTTGATATGCCAAATCTAACCGTGTATTTAGATTTTTAATTTTGGGTCCCGTTTTTTAAATTGGTCTACATTAAGGTCCAAAGGGTCCAAAATTAAACTTAGTTTGATTTTAACAAAAATTTAATTTTTGGGGTTCTTTGATATGCTGAATCTAAACATGTGTTTAGATTTTTGATTATGGGACCAGTTTTCAAGTTGGGGTCCAAAATTAAACTTTGTTTGATTTCAACAAAAATTGAATATATGGGGTTCTTTGATATGCTGAATCTAAACATGTATTTAGATTTTAGATTTTTGGCCCAGTTTTCAAGTTGGTCCAAATTGGGGTCCAAAATTAAACTTTGTTTGATTTCAACAAAAATTGAATATATGGGGTTCTTTGATATGCTGAATCTTACCATGTATTTAGATTTTTTATTTTGTGGGTCCGCTATCAAATTGGTTCATATTGAGGTCAAAAGGGTCCAAAATTAAACTTTGTTTGATTTCATCAAAAATTGAATTATTGGGGTTCTTTGATATGCCAAATCTAACCGTGTTTTTAGATTTTTAATTTTGGGTCCCGTTTTTTAAATTGGTCTACATTAAGGTCCAAAGGGTCCAAAATTAAACTTAGTTTGATTTTAACAAAAATTGAATTCTTGGGGTACTTTGATATGCTGAATCTAAACATGTGTTTAGATTTTTGATTATGGGACCAGTTTTCAAGTTTGTCCAAGTTGGGGTCCAAAATTAAACTTTGTTTGATTTCAACAAAAATTGAATATATGGGGTTCTTTGATATGCTGAATCTAACCATATATTTTGATTTTGGGCATTGGACCATAATAGGTAAATTAAAAAAATTGAAGTTCTTAGACCACATTCTTTCTGTGTCAGAAACCTATGCTGTGTCAAATATTTAATCACAATCCAAATTCAGAGCTGTATCAAGCTTGAATGTTGTGTCCATACTTGCCCCAACTGTTCAGGGTTCGACCTCTGCGGTCGTATCAAGCTGCGCCCAGCGAAGCATTTTATTGTCCCCCATGCAACGCGTTGTGGGGGACATAGAACCACCCATCTGTCTGTTAAGTGCTCTCACGTGTACAATTCTTGCCAGATTTCTATAAAACTTATATCATAGGTTTATATCAGCAATGTCTTGGACCATTTCTAAAATCAGTGCCGATCAGTTATTTCTAAAAGAGCTATGCCCCTTGGAAACATTAATTTTATGGAAAATTGCATTGTTAGCGCTCTCATGTGTTCAATTCTTGCCAGATTTTTATGAAACTTATATTAAAGGTTTATATTAGCAATGTCTTTGACAAGTTCGAAAAAACATATACGATCAATAATTTCTGAAAGAGTTATGCCCTTGGAAATATTAATTATATGGAAAATTGCCTTATGAGTGCTCTAATGTGTACAATTCTTGCAAGATTTTTATGAAATTTATATTATAGATTTATATTATCAATTTCTTTGACGAGTTCAAAATCAATGCTGATCAATTATTTTTAAAAGAGTTAGACCCCTTGGAAATATTGATTATATGGAAAATTACATTGTCAGCAATCTCATGTGTACAATTACTGCCAGAATTTTATGAAACTTATATCATAGGTTTATATCAGCAATCAATGTCTTTGAAACTTTCGAAAATAAGTGCTGATCAAATATTTTTAACAAGTTATGCCCCTTGGAAATATTAATTATAATGGAAATCACATTGCATTTTGCTCTAGATCTGAAGCCTTCGTTTTTTTCTAAGATATTGATAAATAGTTTTGAAGAACAAAAAAAAAGTGCTTTGTTTAGTTATTGTCCTTGTATGTTGAATAGATAACATATGTGCAACGCGGGGTACATTGGAACTCTGTTTTATCTTAATAGATTAGTTCTTTGATGCATGAAGAGTCTGAAAGCTGAATCTAAAAATCATTATATTATTAGTCGATAATTGAAATTAGTATTCTAATTCTGAATTACCCGTCAATTGGTTTCAAACCGAAGATTTAAATGATGATTGTGCTGACATCACTCTTAGTTAGAATCCTGATATTTCTTTATGTTTCAGACACAGGCGAAGGAGATACAAAACTACCAGCTTTACTCGTTGGTCCTAAAAATACCACGGCCAAGACAGGGGATCGGGATACAAAGCTGGAATGTATTTACAATGCCAGGTTAGCGTTTGATAGTATTTTTCATTGTCTTGAAAAAATTATAAAAGTGTTTTACAAGTGAAAAGAATTCTAAAACAGTGCAGAACAACCCCTTATTCAATTGAGAATATGAGTGAATTGTTGACATCTTTTTTACTAAATGTCAGTAAATGTATCCTGTTTTCAAGTTAGAACATCATGACAACTGTTTCTTACATCATTTAATTAACAAAGTAAAGAACATACTAATTACATAACAATATTTGATGTTATTTTTTTAGGCCTTTATCAGGGTTACAAACAAAATGGTACAAAAAAGGATCTCAAAGAAGAGAAATTGTTGCCAATAATAAGTATATATTTAACACAGTGTATAAACGTGTATTGACAATAAAAGATCCAGATCTAAGTGATGCAGGCCAGTATGAATGTGAGGCAGTGTTTGTTAGTAATGGACAATCTGATACCAAGACATCAGCTGCTTACCTCACTGTTAATGGTATGTGGAATCACTATATTACTTCCTTGTTTGTTGATCTTTTTAAATGATATTTTTATGAACATACCAATCTGATACAAAGACTTCAGATGCTTTTCTAACTGCTCATGATATGTGGATTCACTAACGTACTTCCAGAATCTTTTCTAGTAAACAGGCTTTTCTTGAAATGTAAATATTTTATGAGCATTTGTCTTGGGCTTGATGCAATTATAATATATTATTGCTAACATCGCCAAATATTAAACTCATTAAATGTAAAAAGCTTCAATGTGGATAGGATGCAGACAATTTTGCTGATCTGCCAGAGTTCAGAATAATAATGAAGTGCTACAGAAAAAAGATATGCCATAGATAAATAATATTTGGTCGTTGGATTTGTATAAAGATTGTACATATTGCTTTCCCCATTCTACTCCTATCTTGATTGACAAGATTGCCAGTTTTCCTGTAAATCCTCTAATCAATGTTTCAAAGGATTTAAAAAAAACACAATATGGATAGCTTTTGTTTAATTTTTCAGAGGCTCCTTTGATTACATCACAGATACAGAGCCAGTATATTAGAGACTTTGGACAATCAATACAAGTTGACTGCCAGGCAACAGGGAACCCATCTCCTACAATCACCTGGTACTACAATGCACAGCCAGTATCTTCTGTTGGTAACAACAGGTATGCAGCAAACTCATTGTGTAAAACAATATCAGTTTATAGTCAGGAAATGTTCAAGCTGACATTCATTCTGTAACTGGTAAAATAAGAAAAATGAGCCGTTTAAATAATGAAAATAACACTTTATAAAGTTGGTGCATTTGAATTGCTTTTCTTAATTTACCTTCAGGAAAGCTCAAACATAAACATTTGAAAGCCAGGAATATGTAAATATGTGGAAACTATAAGACTGAAAGGGACCTTAGAAAAATAGCTTCATTCATTTATGGTCAAATTTGCCTGAGAGTTTTGGAACCTTAGTTTCTTATTAATTTCTTAAAAAATTATTTAAAAACTGTGAAAAGTGACAAATTGTGAATTATGCAAGAGCTAAGAAGAACGTTATTTTTTCCATATTTTAGTCCCTGTTTGTCAGTAGTGATGTCACTTAACATATCAACAAACAAGACCCTTGTACTGAGTAAAATTCTTTGAAACAAAAATCTAGGAGTGAAATGAGTATTTGGTAGATTTTGTATAGCATAAGATAATACATGTATATGTAGATTAGTAATTGATACATAATTAGATAACTACGTTTTTGCAGATTAAGTGTAACTCAGGATGGATCATTAATGATAAATAACTTAGATCTTGGTGATTCAGGAGTGTACCAGTGTTTTGCTTCCAATGCAGCTGGAGAAACTAAAATATCAGCTTGGATTAAAGTAGACAGTAAGTCTTATGATTTTGCAAGATTTAACATTTTAGTTTTTTATGACCACTAAGTATGTTGTATTAGCATATAGATTTACTGCTGACTGTTTTTACATTATTGATGTCCAGAATATTTTTACTGCCTAGGTTTGTAAAGACCAACACAATGAGTCAATTATTTAACTTGCTAACTCACAAGGAAACAGGGACACATGTCACCCTACTCAGGGACCACCAGTTAAGTAGAGAATTAGGGAATATCAATTTAAAGTGTGTTGTTTATCATGAATACACATTAATTCCAAGACCTCTCATACTCCAGACAAAAGTTCCACTGTATTACCACCAAGACAGTTCATTTTTCAGAAATCCATAACAATGCATAAATGATTTTTCAATACTACAATCCACCTACAAAATACAGCTTTGTTCAGTTACATTCTTTTCATCTTGAATTTGATTTAATTGTAGACCAGATTTGACAAATATCAATGTAAGGTTTCTTTTTAAAGTAAAAACATATGTTGTGCGTGATTTCTCACAGCTTAGGTGAGTTATTAATGAACTTTTAAATTTAGAAATGAATGTTTCATTGTATTAACAGAATCACCACCAGCGTTCATCTCATTACCATTGAATCTGACACTAGTAGAAGGAGCAGATGCTAGATTTCCATGTGAAGTTTCTGGAGCACCTAAACCTGTTATTATATGGAAGAAAAGTGTGTACATTGTTGTAACATTCTTATTTAATTACATGGCTAACCATTTGAGAACAAAAAAATTAAGGCACATCATAATTTCATTTTAACTTGTTTGCTCATGTCATCATAAATCTTATATTTCTTTTAATGTGTATCCTTATATCTACAATATCCACAAAAACTGGTACCCCATTAATATAACTTATCTACTAACAATATGTGATTCATTACATTATATTTAAAAAAAACATGGAGCAATAAAACAGTTTTTGAAAGCTCTTTTATCCTGCCTTTGAATATGATATTTGAGAGGGGGCATAATGTTATATTTTATGTTGGACGACTTGAACAGTAATGTCGGGTTTTGCATTGAATTTTCATGATCAATAAAGTTTCTTACTTACTATAAGTAACAGGCCATATATTATTTGATAGAAAGATTAGTTGTAAACATGTCTGGTTTCTTTTTCTGATTTGGTTCAATGGGTCACTCTAAATTCTATGATTCTATAAGTTTTCAAATGGCTGTTGACATGAAATTGTACATCTGTTGTCTCTTATATGACATCTTGTTTGCCTGAAAATTATATTTTCCTTTTGTTCACAAATGTTGAGAATTTGATTTAAGTAGTGCACTGGTGGGATATTTACATTTATGCTGTTTTATTTGTTAAATGTATTGTTGTATTGATGTAAAATTACTAAAGCAATGAATAAGTTTATTTGATTTTCACATAGAAATGGACAATATAGAATCAGAAGTAACAACTGGTGGCAGATATCAGATCAATCCAACTTCAGGAGAGTTACTGATCATTACAACAGAACCTGGTGATTCAGCAGTATTTTCATGTAATGCTTCAAATAGTCAAGGAAGCATTTATGCTGAAGCTTACCTCAGTGTTTATCGTAAGTTAATCTTTAAGACAGTCAAAAGGTGCTAAAGACTATATAGAACATAGAAAGTTAAGAGTTAGTTTAAACTTTTGTAAAATAATGACCCTTGTGTTTTCAGAAAATCTTAAAAAAGATGTTTTCTGGTATGTCATTCATTATGTATTTTTATCATCTTTATATAGGAGTTTAATGGATGGCTGAATCAGATTTTGACATCCAGTTACAAAAATAGCATGTGTCTCAGGACAAGAACATGTTAATGTGGTATAGATATGAAGTCTGCTTTGTACAAGACCTATGAGCTGAGAAAGATTTTTTACTTGTTAGTTCACAAAGCAACATTCCAGACCTGTTATCATGACTGAGCTATGCAGTCTTTAGAGTTACTACTAAATGCTGAAAGAAAAGCAGCAAATAAAATTTTTCAAGTCTTTGGTTTGACCAGACAGGGGATCAAACCAACATTCTACCACAAGACCACAAAGTCATTTATATGAGTTTGAAATCAAAGTTATTGTATCTTTTGACATGAAGCAACCTTCATATATTTTTTTCATTTCAGAGAGAACTCAGATAACACAACCACCACCAGCCATTACAGAAGTCCAGAAAGGGTCTGTAGCCTCACTTCAGTGTGGAGTTTCACATGATGTTAATGTCAACATAACCTGGAAATGGTATCAGAGTCTAGTAGAGCTCAATCCATCAGACAGAATAACTATAGAACAGGATGGCACATTAACAATCCTTAGTGTTTTTAGTGGAGACAGTGGAGCCTACAAATGTCAAGTTCTATCTGCAGGGGGTAATGATGAGAGGTCAACTAACCTAAAAGTTATAGGTTTGTATTATTTCAATGTAAATTCAGATAGGTAGCCTCAAATACCAAGGGCACTATCTTTACGGGGTGGGTCTCAACATGGGTTTTGGGGTACAGACTTGTAGCTGGAATTTCAAAAACACCCCTATTCACATATTACTTTGGAGAAATGGCAACCCATTGATATATTTGACATATCAAAATAGTGACTCTTTCCAGTGGCATGTCTGTGTATACCTTTATATAAGAAGAGACCCTCCCCTCTGACTGTCTTAGTAATAGTTTTCTTTAAATTTATTGAAGTTCTTTAAGAATAGGGTTTTAAATAATTGAGGCACCTATGAACCCAAGCATAATTGATTTGGTATCAAATATGCTTATTATAATAAAGCAGTTAACAAATATATTTTCATGGATGCTTTTTTCCAATTTGGTCTTTTCTAGCCAACTTTGATGCCATTATTTCCATGATTCTCTAACTAGCTTGATTGATTTATATGTGGGGAGGATCCAAGTTTCACATATTCATGACCGTTTATTTTTGCGTCAATCTTTCTGTCTTGAAAGTCATGAGAAGTTAATTGTCTGCGAAAAATAGTTTATAATATTCGTTGTCCTATGCTTATAATACTTGCTTATTTTCACATGAACTACTAACTGCAGTTTGATTTCGTAGTTAATAATAAAGTTATAAATCAGTATAACAGTTGATATAAGTTCTATTAGAGGAACTTGTGAAATAGGTGCAAATTTGAAACAAAAGTAATGTTTAATCACAATTTTATGGACAGTCAGCAGGTCATATCGAATACTCAGGTTTATTACCTTTTCGTATATTGTATCTTAGATGTTTGTCATTTTTATTTCCAGAATTACCTTACAAGCCTGTCATAACGTCTGTAGCTGTGCCTCCTACTGCCCTTAAAAGTGCCAACATATCATTTTCTCCTGGCCCTGATGGTAACACACCTTTAAAGAGGTTTATATTCCAGAAGAGAATGGTTACATATTATCCTGATAAAGGTGGGTAGAAAATTTATATGCTTAAATATAGTCAATGAAGACTAGTTTCAAAAAAATATATGCCGTGGTCTTTTATGTCCTATCATTTTACGCTTCATGTAAAAATATGACAAAAAATTGAATTTTAATAGAAAATGTGTTTCTCTTAAGGTTGTAACCTGTTATCTATTTCTTGCATGAAGAGATATTTTTCGTATCAGACTGCCTGCAAACAGTTTGATGGCCTAAACGTATTAGAGAAGTTATTTGATAGATTTATTGATCTTTGTTTTTATTCTTGCATGTATTTGTGTGTTGAGCATAGTATTCTACTAAAGTGTTCATATTTTACAGGTGTAACCATGGGAGAAGAGGAAGGCTGGGAGACCTACCCACAAGATGTCGCTCCCAATGTCCGTTTCTTTGTCATGCCAAATCTACGACCAGCACGATACTTTCAGTTTCGATTGAGTTCGGTTAACAAAGTAGGAGAAGGACAGCCAAGTGATGCTAAACCAAACACACCATTACTTATGCCAGAACAGCGTTAGTATTAACTAAATTATAATTAATCACAGATTGGATAGTATACCGAAATTACCTTGTCCGTCTGTCCATTCATTGTCGCAGCTTTCTTTACATATTACTCTGCTTCTGATGTAAGAAATTATTTGATATTTGATCTGTAACTGTATCTTTTTAAGATGTACCATGTAAGCAATTTTCAGATCTGCCAGATAGTCACTTCCTGTTTGAAGATACTTTCATTTACTTGCACACACATCCTTATCTGTTAATTCTCTTAAACAAGTGAATGGATTTCAGGAAGACTTTCAGAACATATAATTTTATAGTCTAGAATTTTTTTTTTTTTGTTTGTTCATGAATGATTTTTTGTCGAGCCTGCAACATTGTCGCAGAAAGGTCGACATAGGGATAGTGATCTGGCGGCGGCGGGTAACTTCTTAAAAGCCTTATATTTTCCAAGATGGAAGACCTTGATGCTTTATACTTTGTATATAGATGCCTTATGTTATGAAGTTTCCGTCTGTCATATGTCCATTGTCCTTGACCTCATTTTCATGGTTCAGTGACTACTTGAAAAAAAGTTAAGATTTTTTGTAATGTTAATTTCTCTCTTATTATGAGTAATAGGATAACTATATTTAATATGTGCATACCTTGCAAGGTCCTCCTGCCTGTCGGACAGTTTTTATCTGACCTCTACCTCATTTCATGGAACAGTGAACAAGGTGAAGTATTCGTGGTCAAGTCCATATATCAGATACTATAAGCAATAGGTCTTCTATATTTGGTGTATGGAATGATTGTTAGGTGTACATGTCCAACTGGCAGGTGTCATCTGAACTTGACCTCATTTTCATGGTTCAGTGGTTAAAGTTAAGTTTTTGTGTTTTAATCTTTTTATGCCCCCGCCGTAGCGGAGGGGGCATTAAGTTTTACCCTTGTCCGTCTGTACGTACTTCCCAAAGTTAGTTTCCGTTCTCTAACTTTGCCTCAACCAAATGTTATGAAACTTATACACAATGCTTATTACCACAAAACACAGATCTAGTTTGAATTTTGGTGGCATCACTTTAACTATTCTAGAGTTATGCCCCTTTACAAATGGAAAAATTGCTGAATTTTTCGTTTCCGTTCTTTAACTTAAGTTAACCTCAACCAAATGTTATGAAACTTATACACAATGCTTATTACCACAAAATACAGATCAAATTTGAATAGTGGTGGTGTCACTTTTACTGTTCTAGAGTCATGCCCCTTTACAAATGGAAAAATTGCTGAATTTTTTTGTTTCTGTTCTCTAACTTAAGTTTGCCTCAACCAAATTTTATGAAACTTATACACAATACTTTTTACCACAAAACTCATATCAAGTGTCACTTTTACTGTTCTTCAGTTATGTCCCTTTATAACTTTATGTGATATGCAAGCGGGGGGGGGGGGGGGATCATTTATTTTCTAATACTATATGCAATAGGTCAACTATATTTGGTGTATGGAAATATTTTACAATGTTTACCGTTTACTGGACGTATTATGGTATACCGTCCGTCCGTCGTCAACATGTGGGACATTTAATCAAAAACGCTTTAACCAATTTGCATAAAAAACTTTGGTGAATTGTTTATATCTATTGATGTGAGCTCCCTTTCGTTTTTTATAAATTTTAGATTTTACGTTTCCGAGTTATGGGGTTTTATTTATTAAAAAAGGGGGATTTTCCAGTTTTCGGACAATTACTCAAGAATGCTTTCACCAACTTGCAAGAAATTGTGGTGAATTGTTTATATCTATTGACATGAGCTCCCTTTCGATTTTTATGAATTTTAGATTTTACGTTTCCGAGTTATGGGGTTTTATTCCTTAAAAAAAGGGGAATTTTCCAGTTTTCGGACAATAACTCAAGAATGCTTTCACCAACTTGCAAGAAATTGTGGTGAATTGTTTATATCTATTGACATGAGCTCCTTATCATTTTTTATAAATTTTAGATTTTACTATGAGTTATGGAATTTTATTCATTAAAAAAAGGGGGATTTTCCAGTTTTCGGACAATAACTCAAGAATGCTTTCACCAACTTGCAAGAAATTAAGGTGAATTGTTTATATCTATTGACATGAGCTCCCTTTCGATTTTTATATATTTTAGATTTTACGTTTCCGAGTTGCTATAGATGTAAGCTCCGTTTAGAATTTTATAAATTTTTCATTTATCATTTCTGAGTTATGGGGTTTTATTCATTAAAAAAGGGGGGATTTCCAGTTTTCGGACAATAACTCAAAAATGCTGTCAGCAATTCTCATGAAACTTTGGTGAATTGTTTATATCTATTGATGTAAGCTCCCTTTACATTTTCATAAATTTCTAATATGACATTGAGAATTAATTGAACTTTATTAGTTTATAGTCTGACAACAGATTTACTAAGTATTGCGCAACAGCACAATGTATTGCACAACAGCAAGAAATCTTTAATTGAATATAAATTCAATTCGTATAATCAATTTCAAGTTTATTCAGAAACCTATAATATGTCAAATATTTAATTACAATCCAAATTCAGACCTGTATCAAGCTTGAATATTGTGTCCATTTTTGCCCAACTGTTCAGGGTTGGACCTCTGCGGGCGTATCAAGCTGCTCTCAGCGAAGCAGTTTATTGTGTTTTGGTCTGTTTTTCTTAAACTATAACCAATAGGTCAACTATATTTGTTGTATGGAATGATTGTAAGGTGTATATGTCTGTCTGGCAGATATCATCTGACCTAGACCTCATTTTCATGGTTCATTGGTCAATGTTAAGTTTTCATGGTTAAGTTTGTTTTTTAGATACTAAAAGCAATAGGTCAACTATATTTAATGCATAGATTGATTGTAAGGTGTACATGTCTGTCTGGCATGGTTCATCTGACCTTGACCTTATTTTCATGGTTCATTGGTCAATGTTTAGTTTTCCTGTTTAAGTCTGTTTCTTAGAAACTATAAGCAATAGGTCAACTATATTTGGTGTATTGAATGATTGTAAGGTGTACATGTATTTCCAGTTTGGTTTATCTGACCTTGACCTCATTTTCTTGGATCATGTTAAGTTTATGTGATACTTTTAGTAAAGCTTTATATTTAGGACTATTAACATAAAATCAATGGTCAGTAAAGAAGGCGAGACATTTCAGCATGTGCACTCTTGTTTTCTATTATTCCTCAATACAGATGGTAGGTGCTATTTGAATCCAGAGAAAGAATTTTCCATGAAATGCTCTTGATACACATTAAAATGTTGTTATTATAATAGCTTTGATAATACTGTTTTATTTAATTTTGTTAAAATCATATAAAAGTAAATCAAGTATTTTTTTTTAATCTTAGCACCAGAAGCTGCACCAAGGGGATTTTATGGAAGCCCAAGATCAAATTCTTCTATAATGTTGAATTGGCAGGCCCCACCAGCGGAAACTTGGAATGGAGACTTAACAGGCTATAGAGTTAAATACAGATTAAAGGGATATACTAGCCCATTTTTAGAAAGGAATACTAATGCATGGCCAAGTACTTCTTTTGAACTGACCGGACTTATTGTATTTACCGAATATGAAATTAAGATAGCAGCATATAATAATGAGGGTGTAGGTGTGTACAGTGATAGTATAAATGTACGTACTAGAGAGGGTGTACCAGGAGTACCACCAACTGATGTAAACGTATCATCTGTTAATTCAACGGCCATTAAGATTGTTTGGCTGCCTCCTGATGCTTCAAAAATAAATGGTGTCAACTTGGGATATATAATTTTAGCCAAAGGTCCAGGAAATATAAAAGAGAGACTAACAGTTCCTCCTGATCCTACTGACCCTTATAATTATCAGCAGGCCTTCATGTACAATCTGAAGAAGTTCACAGACTACACATTAACCGTAACATGTTACACAGGTCAGGGACCAGGACCTGCTAGTACTCCCATCCATATCAAGACAGAGGAAGATGGTTAGTATTTTATATAGCAAACCCTTTAAGGAATTCACTGTTTCAGAATCTAATGCATTCTGGGTAATATTTTCAAAAGCATACACCAAAACGTTGTGATTGGTTAAAAACATCCTAAACAATAGAAATTCAACCAATATGGTAACTTAAATTTATTTGGGGTACAAACTATGACATAAACCATAATCCTTTAGATTTTGAAACAGCTAATTAAGTCTTGTAAGACAAGTGCATGTTTTGCATAGGTTATATTTATCAGTAATAATTATATATCCTAAGTCAAGTGTTCCCTTTAGTCAGGCTTCAGACTTTTGCAGGGTTTGGTGTGGACATACCTTATTGTAGGTTATAAAAGTGCACAAATTTATTCTATTATCCATATTTAGAATATATATACATAAGTTTGCATTTTACAGATTCCAGATTTTTTGTGTTAGACTCTTATTCTTTATTTGTTGAAATACAAATGCTTAGGAATTTCAAGCTACAATCCATTCATTTAAGCTGATATTGAAGTTTATTGAATCTGTTTTGATAAAAAATTTGTTTAATCTTTCAGTGCCTGATGAAGTAGTCCATCTGTCATTCACAGATATTTTTGATACTTCTGTCAAAGTTATATGGCAGCATCCTGTTGAAATCAATGGTATACTCACAGGTTTGTATTTTCAATTAAAAATTACTATAATATTATATGAAACCACAGTGATTTGCACCAAAGAGTGAAAAAAATTTAAAGAAAATATTTCAAAGCTTATTCATCTATTTTCATTTACTATGCTGTACTTGGAAAGTTAAAATGCTGGTATAACCTAATTACCAATCATCAGGTATCCTACTTTCCCTCAAAATGTACTCTGTTAATTATACCCCCGCTTTAAAAATGTGGGGGTATACTGTTTTACCTCTGTCTGTCCGTCCATCCGTCAGTCCTTCAGTCCTTCCTTCCGAATATTTTTCTTCGCATCTTTCTCAGGAACTACATTACAAGGATTTCTGAAATTTGGTTTCAGGGTTTATATAAGTCAGCTATACAGTGTGATGCGTTTTCAGATTCATCACTCAACAACTTCCTGTTTACCGAACACTTGTATCATTTTACACATGATAGCCAAGTTGAAAATTTTCGTCACATTTTTCTCAGGAACTACATTACAAGGATTTCTGAAATTTGGTTTCAGGGTTTATATAGCTATACTGTGTGATGCGTTTTCAGATTCATCACTCAACAACTTCCTGTTTACCGAACACATACATATTTTTACACTATTAAAACTATCCACCTGTGGTGGGGGTATCATGAGTGAGCAGTGGCTCACAGTTTCACTTGTTCATTATTCCATCATTACTTGATGAACATAATGTAAGATTAATGATTTAATGCCATTGCAGGAAATTTTGGATACAAACAATGTAATCAAAATCTAAAATATGAGGTCAGTTAAATGCAATACTTATCCCTTTGCATTTTCCTCAGTGATAAAGTTTTTGTTAATTTCGAAATTTTCAGTGATTTGACTAATGCCAACAGTAGTTCAAAAGTTAGGTTCTCAAAAAAAAATTAAATGCATTAATTTAATATTTTTGGTTTGTTTGATTAAGGTTATACATTATTATGGGAAAAGAAAAATCAGAATAAGACTCGGAAAGATATTAATCTGAGTAACACTACACTGACATACACTGTGAGAGATCTGGATCCTACAACTAAATATACTATCTATATCTACGGTAAAACAAGTAAAGGAGCTGGCAAGAATTCATCAGCTGACTTTGAATCTGGAGTGCCACCTGGTGAGTTATGTTAATATTTCATTTTTATTCCACATTGAAGTTACCATAATTTTGATAAAATATTTATGCAGTGTTCCCGCGTGTCCTAAATAGAAGGGCGGCCCGCCCTTGGTGCCCTTACCCCCGCCCTTCTGCCCTGCAAAGTAAAAGAATGCCCCACTCTGCCCTTTCAAAAAAATAAAATTTCCAAATTTCATGCCTACCGGAGTTTCCAGTAAAATTGTTACCTGATTGTGTAACACTAATTAACTGACAATGGGATTAAGTTAAATACCTAATGCTTTGGCAGTTTTATCACCTTTGTTAATGATTGTTTACTGCTAATTAGTGGATTTAAGATAATTGAACAAATACTAGATATTAAATACAGAATGAAATGTCCACATGTTATCCATTTGTAATGTTTATGTACAGCATGTACACCATAAAAAATTTATTTCAGTAGGTATAACATAAAAAATAAAATCTTAAACAATTTTAAAGGCATACATAGTTTTGACTTAATTGGTAAAAAATGTTTTGTTTCATAACCATGAGTATGAAATTTAAAGAAGAATCAAAGAAATTTATACTTTGAACATAACAAGATTCACTTCCTGTTTTACTTCTGTTATTTTATAATTCTCCTGACATAGGAGCACTTAACAAATTTATTTTTAACAATGATGGAGAAAAAAGTAACTTTATACCTTCTGCAATATATATATATTATGCAATCACCTGTTATATTTATTAAACTCCTTACTGAGGAGCACTTTGGTGTGCACTTAAAAATACTTTTTTTGTAACAATTCAAATGATAATAAATAACTTCCAATAACATATATACTATATGTTTGAACAAGTAATTTAAATGAAGATAATTTAATTACATTAAACATTCAATTTTGCATGTATAACTCCATCTTTCAAAACTACTTGTTCATTTTGGTATATGTTATAAAACATTGGAATTTCTGATGATTATTTTCCTTACCAAATGTATAAGTTTGTTTAGATTAACATCAAGATGATATGCTTTGCTTCATGGTATGATAATTTGATAAAATAAAATTCTTACTGGAACCAACATCAAGAACACATTAATTTCTGAATATGGTTTAAATACAACTAATGTTCTCCAGCTGAGCCTAGCAATATTCAAGGTAATTTATACACTGTCCAACATTGCCCTTAAAATCTGGGTTATAACGCTAAAGTGCCCTTTCAGACAACTAGCACCCTTTTGCCCTGAGATTCAAGCTGGAACACTGTTATGCCTTATTTTAAAACATCACAATAATGAAAACTTCTGGTAAAATGGTATAAATTAATGTGATAAAAGATGAGGGTGCATTTCTTTAGTCATATTTTTTTCATATTTTAATTTACTTACATATGTATATTGCTTTGTTTAATAGAGAGACCAGGAGCACCATACAATCTAGGAATTTCAGACATTCAAGCGAGGTCTACACTGCTACAGTTTTTATTAGGATATGATGGGAAAACATCTATTACATTGTGGAGAATCCATGGACAGATTGATAACAATGATACATGGGTACCAGTTTATGAAATTTCTGATCCAGATGCTAGAACAATACTGGTTCCAAATCTGAGACCATTTACTATGTATAGACTCCGCATTGCAGCTGTAAACATTGTAGGACCTGGTAATTACAGTGTCCCTAGCCGACAGTTTCAGACTGCTCAGGCTCCTCCTAATGTACCTCCTGATAATGTTACTGTTCGTGCCATTAATTCTACTGCACTCAGGATAAGCTGGGCGGTAAGTACTGTTACTATTTGATTGCAACATATGATAGGGGTATTAATGTAGTATTGGCCTCTTTAATGTGATACAATTTACGGTCAATACAGTTATATAATTACAAACATATAGTTGCTTTAAAAATCTTATGTTTGTGACACAAAGCAACGACAGATACAAGAATCATTGTTGAATAGTTAACACGATGTACTTTTTATACGACTGCAAAAAATTTTGCGATCGTATATTGGTATGACGTTGGCGTCGTCGTCGTCGTCCGAAGACACATTGGTTTTCGCACTCTAACTTTAGTTTAAGTGAATGGATCTCTATGAAATTTTACCATAAGGTTCAATACCACAAAAGGAAGGTTGAGATTGATTTTGGGGGTTATGGTACCAACAGTTAAGGAATTAGGGGCCAAAAATAAGCATTTTTGTAACTTTCAGACATAACTTGTGTGTTAGTGTATGGATCTCTCTGACATTGTACCACAAGGTTCCATATCACAAAGGGAATGCTGGGATTGATTTTGGGGGTAATTGCCTCAAAATATTAGGAATTAGGGGCCAAAAAAGGGGCAAAAGACAAGCATTTTTCTAATTTCATGACAATAACTTGTGTGTTAGTGTATGGGTCTTTCTGAAATTGTACTACAAGGTTCCATATCACAAAGGGAAAGCTGGAATTGAGTTTGGGGGTAATTGCCTGAAACGATTAGGAATAAGGGGCCAAAAAACACATTTTTCTAGTTTCCAGACAATAACTTGTGTTCAAGTGTATGGATCTCTCTGAAATTGTACCACAAGGTTCCATATCACACAGGGAATGCTGGGATTGATTTTTGGGGTAATTCCCTCAAAATTTTAGGAATTAGGGGCCAAAAAAGGGGCAAAAAACAAGCATTTTTCTAGTTTCATGACAATAACTTGTGTGTAAGTGTATGGGTCTTTCTGAAATTGTACTACAAGGTTCCATGTCACAAAGGGAAAGCTGGAATTGAGTTTGGGGGTAATTGCCCGAAATGTTTAGGAATTGGGGGCCAAAAAACACATTTTTCTAGTTTCCAGACAATAACTTGTGTTCAAGTGTATGGATCTCTCTGAAATTGTACTGCAAGGTACCATACCACAAAGGGAAGGCTGGGATTGAGTTTGGGGGTGATAAATCATAAGGGGGTTCAAAAAATTTGGGGGGGGATTTTTTTTTTTTTTCCTTTTTTTTCTTTTTTTCCTTTTTTTTCTTTTAAAATTTTCCATTTTAAGTTGGTTATTTCTGATTTATATTTAAAAGCAAATAATAATGATATGGTAGGAGATACACACCAAACAGGATGTGTAAATTATTATATAATAAGTATTGTGCAATAGCAAGAAATTTTCAATTGCACAGTATTGCACAATAGCAAGAAATCTTCAATTGCACAGTATTGCGCAATAGCAAGAAATCTTCAATTGCACAGTATTGCGCAATAGCAAGAAATATCCAATAGCACAATATTGCGCAATAGCAAGAAATTGTCAATTGTGCAGTATTGCGCAATAGCAAGAAATATTCAATTGCACAGTATTGTGCAAAAGAAGATACTTCGTATAAATTGCTTATTTCTTGACCAATTTCAATGGGGTTTTATTCTTGAATTCTTGGGGTTCTTTAATATGCTGAATCTAACCGTGTATTAAGTTTTTGGATTTTGGGCCCCGTTTTTAAATTGGTCCACATTGAGGTCCAAAGGGTCCAAAATTAAACTTTGTTTGATTTCATCAAAAATTGAATTATTGGGGTTCTTTGATATGCCGAATCTAACCGTGTATTTAGATTCTTAATTTTTGGTTCCGTTTTCAAATTGGTCTACATTAAGGTCCAAAGGGTCCAAAATTAAACTAAGTTTGATTTTAACAAAAATTGAATTCTTAGGGTTCTTTGATATGCTGAATCTAAACATGTATTTAGATTTTTGATTATGGGCCCAGTTTTCAAGTTGGTCCAAATCGGGGTCCAAAATTAAACTTTGGTTTGATTTCAACAAAAATTGAATATATGGGGTTCTTTTATATGCTGAATCTAACCATGTATTTAGATTTTTGATTTTTGGGCCCCGTTATCAACTTTGTGCACATTGAGGCAAAAGGGTCCAAAATTAAACTTTGTTTGATTTCATCAAAAATTGAATTCTTGGGGTTCTTTGATATGCTGAATCTAACCATGTATTTAGATTTTGGATATTGGACCATAATAGGTGAATGTCCAATTTAAAATTTTTAAGTTCTTAGACCACATTCATTCTGTGTCAGAAACCTATGCTGTGTCAAATATTTAATCACAATCTAAATTCAGAGCTGTATCAAGCTTGAATGTTGTGTCCGTACTTGCCCCAACTGTTCAGGGTTCGACCTCTGCGGTCGTATCAAGCTGCGCCCTGCGGAGCATTTTATTGATTGTAAAATTGTATAAAACTTGTGTATACCTGTTTTATAATTCTTTTGACAGCCTCTTTCCCAGTTGAACTGGAATGGTTATCCTCGTGGTTATAGAATGATCTACAAACGTAAAGATGAGGTAAATAACCATGAGGTAGTATTAGACACAGACAGTGAGAGTTATACATTGGCTAAGTTAGAGGAATGGATGGAGTATGAAGTAAAGATGAATGCCTATAATGATGTAGGGTCCAGTCCCTTTAGTCCCATCAGTACAGAGAGGACCAGAGATGCAAGTAAGTAATTTTATGTGCATTTCCTATAAATATATAATGAACTTAATTATACATGGGTTACTGCTATTGTATAAGGCTTTATATTGATTGAATATGCAAAATTATATAGATTGACCAATAAGCAAATGTGTGAATTTGCTTGCATGACAAATTATTTTGATACATTAAATTGTAATTTCGACAATGCTATATTTGAAATTAACAATTACAGAACCCAGTCATGGTCCAGTAGAGGTAACAGCTGACGCAGTATCATCAACAGCAATAAATGTTACCTGGGGAGATGTACCACTGGATGATAGAAATGGTATTATACTTGGTTATAGGGTGAGTAATCAATACATATTTGTTAATCATAAAACTATTTAAACAAATATGTAAGCCTTCAAATAGAATATTCAGTGAATTCACCATAGCTATACACATATTTGTAATAATTTTCAGAAATAAAAAATAACTGATGAATGCATTAATGTTTGTTAACCATGATGATAGTGCTTGTGTGATGTAATTATATTTAAAATAAAATATTTAATTTATGCAAATTACATATTTAGCAGGATAGAAATTGGTTATGTGATAGAAGTAATTTTTTATGGTTGAAATTCATACATGTTTCTATGTAGTGTGGTATCCTAAAGATTATTCTCACAATCTGCAAGTTCTGTCAGAACAGATTACTATAGATTTATTATTTTTTGGTGTGATACCAATTTTCGTTGATTTCGTGGGTACAGCTAAATAACAAATTTATATGTTCAACAAATTACAAAATTTCTATAGGCTTGTATGCAGACTTTGGCAAAACAAGAATATCAAATATCTACGAAAAGGTAAGTTTTCTTCAATCCGCGAAAATTGGTACCCATGAAAATAAATGAATAGACAGTATACACATCTGTCAGCTTTTTAAATTTTTGGTTAGGTTCTATACAAGTCCTTAACAGAGAATATCAAAGACCAGTATGCAGATGTACCAGGCAATGAAACATATTATGTACTGCTAACTAATTTAAGAAAGTATGTGGAGTACCAGGTACAAGTGTTAGCTTATACCAGAATGGGAGATGGTGTCCTCAGTGAGAATGTACTCACTGTACAGACACATGAAGATGGTAAGATCATGGATAATAATAAGTGTATAAATCACATTTTATTTTTTGTACTTAATAGTTGTATTTGATACAGGAAGTAGAAACCAAAATATCTATTCTTTTTATTGCAAAAACAGAATCTCGAAAGCCTTGTGTAAATATGATTAAGGACTGTGTTGATTGACTTGACATGATTGCAAATGCTTTTTTGAACTTCAGTCAAAATTGATTAACTTATTCCAATACTTTAAGGTCAGGAAAGATTTATGAAATATTTTTATTCACATTAGTGGTAGGGTATTGTAAGAATAAGAGACAAGATTAAGGTTAGTGGGGGTAACATTGTAAGTAATACTATTGAGTTGTTTAAGAAAAGTAAAGAAAAAGGCCCATGTGTCTCATACTTGTACATAAATGTTTGATGGAGAAAAAAGGACCCATGTGTTCATTTTATGTAGGTTTTTTTCCAACTATGGTGCATAGTACCTGGAAAACATAAACAAGAGCATGTAAACTGAAATGTGGCAGTTTTTTATGATTTTTTCATAAAAGATGAAATAGTTTTTTATTAAATAGGTTGCCTATAATAGGTTGTCATGATTATTTTACAGTACCTGGACCTCCAACTAAAATATGGTTTCCAGAAGTTACTTATTCCACTGCTAAAGTTGTATGGGAGCCTCCAACACAGCCTAATGGTATACTAACTGGTTATCTAGTATCCTACAAAGAGAGAGATGGCAGCTTGCAGGGTAACAGTTCAGACTTGCCTGTCACACAGAAGCAATATACAGTGGCAACGTTACAGAGGGAACAGTATTATATCTTTAAAGTGATGGCAAGAACCAGATTAGGATGGGGAGAACCAAAAGAAGTTCTTGTTTATACCATTATCAACAGAAGTAAGTAAATATGTATGAAGAAATGAGACAATCAGATAGAAAAGATATCAATATGAAATAAGGAGATGTGGTATGATTGTTAATATGACATCTATCCCCCTATAGTCAGCTATGAAAAGAAACTCTGACTTGAAAAAATGTGAAACAATTCAAACGAGAAAAAAAAACAAATGCCTGATTAATGACAAAACAATAAAAGAAAAACAATTATGACAGACCACTGAACTACTGGCTCCTGACTTGGGACTGGCACATATAGAATGAGGCAGGGTTAAACAAGTTTGTGAGCGCTCAACCCTCCCTTAGCCTGGGACAGTGGTGTTACAGCAAATTCGTTTTCAGAAAATTATTATAATTTTCACATAATGTAGGATTTATATACAAGTAAACCATATTAAAATATATAAAATAATTGAGTGGCTAATGTATGAAATATTTAAATAGGCAGTATTACTTATTATGAGTTTGTGATGTTAGTTTCAACAGGCATCAGAACCTTTATTTATTTTACCAAATGGAAAATATGAAATATATTTATTGTAAGAATCATAAAATTTCCTGTTTGAATATTGTTACTTCCTGTCACGGCAGACTCCAGTCATGGCAGACAAGTAGGGTATTTATATGTTGACACATTCTTATTCAAGTTTTATTTTTACCTCTTTAGTAAAAAGCATCAGTAAACTACCTATCATTTTTCTGTTTTATTTCTGACTTCAGGAAAGCCAGATAAACCAATGAAACCTCAGATAACAGCTGAAGTACAGGCCAGGAATATTACAATTAGTTGGCAACCAGCCTATGATGGTTATGGTCCTATTAGAAACTATACCATACAGTATAAAAGTGAAGGAAATAGTTGGGTAGATTTCCAAGAGAGCATTCCTCCATCATCTTCAACCTTTACAGTTAAAGGGTAAAACTTCAACCTTTTTACTAAACTTGTCCATTTGCCAAGGTTACAATTAGAGGAAACTTTAAACATTTTCATCTTATGTAGAGATAGTTTCTACTATTTAACATCGTTTGTCATTCCCAAGGTTGCTGGACATTGGGTAAAGGCCAATAAAAATTGTTTTGGTCGCATTACCAAATGACCAGTAAAATTTTTAATTTTGTTCAAGTCATATGTGTAAATATCCTATAAAAAAGAGTGTAGTCCAGTTAAGAAGAATGGTTTACTGGACCAAATGTCCAGTTGATTTCTCAAAGCTTTGGGAACCACTGCATTGTACCTTAAAATAAAAACTAATATGTAATCCTACATTCTAACTTCTTTGATGGTGTCAACATTTAGATTCAGTCTGTGGTTAAAGATTTTTTTAGACATCAATCACTCTGTCAAATGTTCATTAATGAAACTTGGACAGACGCTTTTTCGTGATTAAGAAATATTTTATGAAGAAAAATTTTTGATTGTTTTTAATCTTTCTGTATTTTACTGATAAAAGGACTTTTTTATGTAAATAGCTTCTCTTGTTTTTACATGTACAAATTGTTTTTTTTCTTCCAAAATTGTAATTTATGGATTTTCAGTTATGTAAGACTGTTTATTATTTACTTCAGATTACACCCAAACACTCGTTACAACTTTCGTGTAGCAGCTACCAACGATATAGGAACAAGTAATTTCAGTGATCCTTCAGATGAAGTGAGAACTCGACAAGACAGTAAGTTTAATCATTAAAGGAACCTGGGGTGTTATTAAAGCCATAATTTGTACTTACCTGCAATACAAGTTGATTAAGAAATCTACTAGCCCACACAACTTAAAATTATGACTTCCCTTTTTTCTGGTGGCTGATTTGCACCTTAGTGAATCACTTATCATAGATGGTGGAAATACTTTTGGGGTTTATTGAATGGTCAAGTGAGCTTTTCTCATGACTTGAGGTCCATCTTCTTTGCCAGTCGTCTGTTTACTTTTACAAATATCTTTATCTCCAAAACTACTCAACCATTCATTGTGGTATTGAGTTTAAAAATGTGTCCAATGATCCAGCCTGCCAACTAACATGACATAAAAAATTTAGGGTATAAAGCAAGTGTTGTCTATTATCTTGAAAGCTGCTGTAGATAGAGAAAATCTGACAGTCGCTAAACTGTTCGGAATGTAAAGGTGTACCTATGGTCCATTTACACCAAAGCTGCCAAACGACTTTTAACAGAGTTATTGCAACATGTGAAGCAGGATCTGCTTACCCTTCCTAAGCACCTGAAAATCACCCCCAGTTTTTTATGGGGTTTGTGTTGCTCAGTCTTTGGTTTTCTATGTTGTGTTTTGTGTACTGTTGTTTGTCTGTTTGTCTTTTTCTTATTTAGCCATGGCGTCAGTTTTGTTTTTACTTATGAGTTTGAATGTCCCTATGGTATCTTTCGCCCCTCTTTTAGATGACAAATTTTACCATTTTTTTTCATTTTTGCTGATTATCATGAAAATCATAATAATTAAAGAATACTTTAAATGTCAAAACTGATCAGATAGACAAGATCTTCAAATGAGTCAACATGGCAGAAATTGTCAGACAACTACTTATAGGACAAATGGAAGTTTTTAACGACCTTGACTGGCTATACAGCCCTTGCACGGTCGGTCACTTATAGGATTTATTGCCCCTCAATTTTTTTAAAGCGGGGGTATAAAAATTGAGGGGTACTTATAGGATTTATTGCCCCTCAATTTTTATACCCCCGCTTTAAAAAAAGTGGGGTATACTGTTTTACCTCTGTCTGTCCATCAATCCGTCCGTCCGTCCCATGGATATTTTTCGTCTCATCTTTCTCGGGAACTACACTACAAGGATTTTTTGAAATTTGGTTTCAGGGTTTATATAAGTCAGCTATACCGTGTGATGCGTTTTCAGATTCATCACTTAACAACTTCCTGTTTACCGTTAAGTATTTGGGCGGGGTATCATCAGTGAGCAGTAGCTCACAGTTTCACTTGTTTTTACATTTTTTGCCTTTTATCTTGAAAACTAGTAAAAATAGAAAGAACCTTGATCTGGTCATGACCTATATTCTAGTGTACTATATTGTAGAGGGGCATTATTAAAGATGCACATAGATCTAGGTGAAGGTCTAGTTTAATGGTAGGCAAAAGATGTGAGATCAATTCATAATAAACTCATCATAGATACCAGGCTAAAAATTTTGTACCCAAGACACATGAAATATAAGGTACTTTCCATCAAGCAACTTGTACTCAAGTAAGTTAGGGCCAAATCAGGATGTCAAAATTCAATTAGAATTCCAGTATTTCATACAATTTTTTTAGTAATATCTCTTAAGAAAAAATAATTTTTATAGTTTGGTATCTTTGCTTAGAATGTAAAGTTATTTTCTTTTAAATTTTCAGAACCTGAAGGAGCCCCACTAAATTTACAGGTCAAACCTCTCACTACCGATTCAATTCATATTACATGGGAGGTAAGTCGAGCTAGAAAGTTTAAATTGAAACTAAAATTTGCTTTTTTGAAATTTTAAAACATACTTTTATGCAGAAACAAACCCATAACTGATATTTTTTCAAAATGAAAACTGGCAATGATGCAGATGTTTAAGGAGGTGAGGGAGTGTGAAGCTGAATATGGTCTTCAAGTCAATATTTAATATTGCAAAAGTTCAATATATAATTATATTATCAGACATAGCAAGTATTTGTTTATTATATAAATATTTAAGTAAATGTAGATAGTGATAATATTTAAAATTTGTGTATACTGCATGATGCTGGCATGAATAATGCATATTTGAAAGCTAGGAACATGAAACTTTAGAAAACAAAATGTTAGGCTGCTGTTATTTATAGTTGCATGAATATTGAAATATTAATAACTTGTATGTTGAATATGTGAAGTTTATCAATGAACTTGTCTGCCTAATTTTGCATGTAGGCTCCACCTAAGTCACTTTGGAATAGTGACAAACTAAACTACACAATGAGTTTTAGAGAATATTTCCCAGAAGGACCATGGATTTATCAGGCAGATACATATTTGTACTCCAGTGTTGTCACTGGTCTTCATCCTAAGACATATGAGTTCAGAGTACGAGCTGTCAATCACCTAGGATGGGGCTCATGGAGTACTATCACCATGGAAGACATTGAGCTTGGTACTAAACATTGGTGTACCTAAACATTTGGTGTTGTAGCTTATGAAATACACCTCATAAGAGAGAAATAAAGCAGTTGGTTTAAAATTAGAAGAAAATAAGCTCAAAATATATGTGAATTTTTATTTTCGCTTATTGTATTTCACGTAAAAATACAATTAAAAACAACACATTTTTCTCTCTCATGAAAAACAAGTATTTTTGCGTCTTTTCTGCATGACTTTTTCTGTATTGAGACTTGTGCACTGTGCATGTTTATGAAATGATAGTTTAAAAGCAGTAGGTTATGCTACCTCTTCTAAAAACTTATGCTTACATGTATAGATGGAAAATATGAATGTTTTAAATAATTTGATCAAGAGAGTAACTAATCGAAATTTAAAATTAAAATTTCTTTTTAATTTTACATGAATAATTGACAACAAATTTCTTTTTTTAAAATGAATGGCCATTTGTTTTTTCCATCTTAAAAAAGTATGAGCATTTTGTCAACATGGATTGCCAACAGATGCTCCTACTCCATTTATTTCAAATCTTATTTCTCTTAGCTTTTTTAAGTTTTTAGTACTTTGTTTTATGTTGTGGTAATAATTTTGTTGTTGTATAGCATCCTGATCCTGCAACTTGGAATGGTGCTATTGTTGGTTACCTAATACAGTATCGTAAAGCAGATATGGCAAGTTACAACGAGATATCAGTACAATATCCAAAAAAGGAGCTCATACTTGATGATCTTGTCAAATATGTCAATTATGAAGTGAAGATTATTGCTTTTAATTCAATTGGCAATGGGCCACCAAGTACTATTTCATCGGTATATGTTGGAGAAGCAGGTATGATAATAATAACAACAACCTATCTGATTGGTATTGGGGTCAAGATACTACCATTTTAAATGGTTATTTGGTATAGCAGTGTTCAAAGTTTGGAATAGGGGCCAAATTTATATAAAACAACTTTGTTGGCCTTCTCTTTTCATGAAAATTTCAACCCTTGAGACATAAGCTTTTATTTGATATCTTTATTTAAATAAGATAATTATTCATGGAATACTGTACAAAGTTAAAGAATTTCCATGGATTAAGCTTTGGATTTGACTGTCAATTGTTTGCATAGCATAAAGACATCCTTAATTATCAATAGTACAATTTAATTAAAAGTGATTTAATATCATCTTAGGAGTTACTTACCAAACTGTTATGATCACAAATAGTTATATCCTCGAGTTATAAAGTACATCTCATAAACATCCAATTGATGCCTCGTTTTCCACAAAGGTTATGTTAGTACAAGTATGAACTTGGAGTGTCAACCAAATGCTTTTATCCCAGGACATGAACTTGATAACATGGCTCTCCCAGTCTTGTCCACAGAGTACAATAAAATCAGTTTAAGGGGGCATATATTATCATATTATAAGATAAATGGATGAGTCATACATAATATCATGGGAAAAGGGTCCATTAAGTTCTAATATTGTATGTGTCCAAAAGTTAGTTATATTATATGGGGAAGGGTTTAGTAAATGTAGACATGGGCTCTGAGTTGAACTATTAAAAATTGAACAGATAGATTGACAGCTGTGGTAATTTTTTTTATTTCTTTATCCTTTCTTTTAATGCACTGGTATGTCATTTGCATGAGGTTTATTATTTTATTCTTTTTAAATGTGTTTATTTTTATATTTAATTCTTTGTAGATTTACTTTTACGTTGATCAGTCTCTATTAATATGTAATAGCAGTGAAGACTGAATAACCAAGTTTTACAAGCATGTTGTGAAAAGTTAATTATGAATGCACTAATTTTGAAACTTAAAAGTCTTTACCATTTGCTATTAAATTTGTTGTTCTTTATATTTTAATATTCTGTACTGTTATAATTTATCTCAGTTTTGCTAATTGAACATGTGTCGCAGAGTTCTCGAAATCTTTTTTTCCCCCTCTGATGCACCTTGAAGAAAACCTGCTGGTCCTCACTATTATTTCTATTGCAAAATACCAAAATTGTGTTGGTCCTTTGCAAAATTTTGGTGCTCAAAGCCTTTTTGACCACAACTTTTCGAGAACTCAGGCGTCGACAAGAAATGTTTGTTTCTACTATGAAGACAGATATACATTGTAAATGATTAACATAGTTTTATCTGATTTCTATAGCTCCATCAGCTGCTCCTGTCAGTATTACTACAGAGGCAATGAATTCAACACAAATCAAAGTTAAATGGGAACCACCACCTACAGAAACACACAATGGAGAACTTTCTGGATACAAGGTATTTAAAGTATGGATGGATATGGGGGAAAAATAGAATAAGATATTGGAAAATATAATAAATCAGTACGATGATGGTTTTTTTTTTTAAAACTACCTTGCTATTTTTTGTTTCTTTAGCCTTCTTAATGCCTTCTTTGTAGGCAAATCAGGAGATCCCCAATGAAATGATACATGTTTGGTACATTTGGAGAAGTGATAATGTCAATGGCAGACAGTTTTCTAGTTCGAAAGACCATTGATAGTCTTAATAGCTTTTCCCCTAGGCAACTTTAATGACATCATGCTTTCTCTTGTTACTCATGATGAGAAAACCCCATATCCCCCCAAAAGCGTAAGATGGGAAATGGTCATACAGAAAGATCAAAGAAAATTTGGGTAACTAGAACTAATTTGAAATGTTTAACTTTTGTAGGTGTTCTACTGGTTGGCATCTGCAGACCCAAATTCAGCATTGTCAGTGATAGTGAGAGAAAAGGAGGCATTCTTAAAGCATCTGTCAATCTACACAATGTATCTTATAACAGTCCAGGCTTACAATTTGGCAGGAGAGGGGCCTAAAAGTTCTCCTCATTCTAGTAGAACGAAACAAGAAAGTATGTATTGTGTTGTATTATAGTCAGTAGATTTAGCGAGAAGTTATGTGGTTTTTGGGTAAAGATTGAATGAAATGCAATCAAAACCCTATGGTACTGACTTGATATTTAAATCTTCCAAGGTTTATCACTACCTTTGATAGTTCAAACAAAAATAGTGCAGTGAAGTGATCATTCTTTAGATCTTATGCAGTCAATGTCAAGCAATTTATTAATGATATTATATAATTAGATATTCAAGTTACAATATGATGTGTATTTGAATTACCATACTTGTCAAGAAAACTTTATTGAAATTACATAAGTAATGCATGGTGTATGAATCTGTTATAAAATAAGCTCAACTACAATGTACAATCATGAACAATGGAAGATAACTCCAACTCAAATTTATAATTTGACTAACTAATTACAATTCAATGTGTTATTTTTTTAAATTCACAAAATTGCAAAATGGAAGCAATCTTTACCCTATCAGTGCTCACAAGCACTTTGATTTTTATAGTCAAGTCAATAACACACACATATTTTTTTCGATAATCAGATATGCAGTTGCTCAGTTATTCTGACATTGAAAGATGTGAGATGAGACATCCATGTTCAATCCTAACTGAAAATTTATCTAAAAAATGTTGATTTAGCTTCCAGTTACAAAAAAACAATGACATTATGAAAGAAAATTTTTATTTTCATATTTTATGTATCAAGCTTTCACTACAGTAAAATGGACGGCCGTACCAGTTAATTTAAAGTTATCTTATATCTTACAGAACCTGGAGTGCCTGGTGAAATAGTTATAGTTAATGCTACCATGACAACAGTCAATGTAACATGGGGTCGGCCTAAAGAGCCGAATGGTATAATAACAGCATATGAATTAGCTTACAAACAACAGCAATCAGGGGACGGTTAGTATCTGATAATAAATTAAAATAACTTTTTTCAACTGAAAGCCAAAAAATGGTCAAGATTCTATGAATTATTGATAAATTATTTGCACATCTTATGTGGAAAATTGAGATATATTTATAAATATATAACATGCATAAAAAGTTTTCTGAACATCCAGTGGGTGTGTTTTACAACTTAGACTAGCTATTAGGCCATGAACATCACGCTATAGTGTACATCTACCACAAACAAAAATAGGAGAGCAGATGAAATATTTCCAAATTATCAAATAGAGTAAGATTTATATTTAGAATCACATTTAGAATATTTCAAATAATTAGAAATAAGCAAAATTATTCTAAAAATACTTAAAATCACTAGATATAAACAATATTCCAAGAATTTATCATGAAGCCCATTAAAGTTTACATGTAGTAAAATTGTTGTATTCCTTTTTAGAGAGTCGTCTTACTCAGTTGACAATACCAGGAACCAGAGAGCATGTTGTTATAGATAAACTTGAAGAGGGAAAGGTCTATGATTTTACTGTCAAAGCTGTTACATCTATAGGTGCTGGACCTGAAACAACTAAATCTATAACTATGGGACCACAGCCAGGTTGGAATTTTTTAAAGTCATATGATCCTTCAAATTTAACAGAAAGTTAAATATGATTTATATACTTGAATGGCTAAGTTTTACTAAAAAAACATAGACAAAGACTTCTTTAAAAAGAAAATCCATTATTTTTTATCTTAATCTTTAGAAATGTACTGCAATTGAATTATTGTCTTTCTGCACTCTAATTGCTGAGGTTTTCTGTATGCAGTGACCTTAACCATGACACCTCTCATTTTGGTATCATTCCATCAAGACTCCTCAATGACCCTTTAAAAACCTACAATATTTTCAGGTTCTCCTGGTAGACCAGACCAACCCACTGCTGTAATTGAAGGGAGAAATGTAGTACTACAATGGAAAAATGGTTCAGAAGGAATTGCACCTATAACAGCTTATTACATCCAAGCTGTTAGCAGAAGTATGTAGTTATGCATTTGTTTTTGACACAGTTTGTGTTAAACTTTCAATGTTTGTAGATCTATGAAGAGAAAACTTAAAAAAAAACAATGAATTTTTATTTTTTATGCCCCGCTGTAGCGGAGGGGGCAGTAAGTTTTACCCTTGTCCGTCTGTACGTCCATCCGTCCCAAAGTTGGTTTCCGTTCTCTAACTTTAGTTTGCCTCAACCAAATGTTATGAAATTTATATAAAATGCTTATTACCACAAAACACAGATCAAGTTTGAATTTTGGTGGTGTCACTTTAACTGTTCTAGAGTTATGCCCCTTTACAAATGGAAAAATTGCTGAATTTTGCGTTTCCGTTCTCTAACTTTAGTTTGCCTCAACCAAATGTTATGAAACTTATACTCAATGCTTATCACCACAAAATACAGATCAATTTTGAATTTTGGTGGTGTCACTTTAACTGTTCTAGAGTTGTGTCCCTTTACAAATGGAAAAATTGCTAAATTTTGCGTTTCTGTTCTCTTACTTAAGTTATCCTCAACCAAATGTTACAAAACTTAAACACAATGCTTATTACCACAAAACACAGATCAAGTTTTAATTTTGGTGGCGTCACTGTAACCGTTCTAGAGTTATGACCCTTTACAAATGGAAAAATTGCTGAATATTTCATTTCTGTTCTTTAACTTAAGTTTGCCACAACCAAATGTTATGAAACTTATACATAATACTTATTACCATAAAACTCAGTTCAAGTATAAATTTGGGTAGGGTCACTTTTACCGTTCTTCAGTTATGTCGCTTTATAACTTTATATGATATGCAAGCGGGGGGCATCATCTGTGTCCCATGGACACATTCCCCATTTATTTTATCATGTAAAAAGTTTAAGATAACTTAGTGAATTTAAGGTAAATATGCTTGTTGCAGCATCAAATTCTAATGAAAGATCTGAAAACATTTTTTTGTTATTCAAGGAACTTATAAACATTTACTACTGCACCCATCTTTCTTTTTTCAATATTCCTACCTGTAACAGTTTAATGGATTTTACCCCCATTTACTGTTAAATACATATTCAATTCATTGACATACTGTGGATTCATTTATTTTCTTGGATACCAATTTTTGGTGGAATGAGGAAAAAACAGTATTATCGTGGATATTTGATTTTGTGGTTTTCACAAAGTCTGGATTCAAGCCTATAGTAAAGTGTGTACTTCAGTAATTCTTGGTAATCCTATACCCATGAAATTAAAAAAAAAATGGTATTCTATGAATAATAATGAATCCACATAAATTGACATGATTTGTTATTTTAACTGAACTTTTTAGTTGGGAAATTAATATAATAATTGTATGCAGAAAAAAATATTTGAATGATTTTTGAATGCTGAAGTTTTTTTCCCCATCATATATGGACTTACTTTCCATTGCCTTTCCTGCTACACTACAGGATGAATATGTTTTTCGTAATGTTATTAACATGATATAAACACTAAATAGTATTCCTGTCTACATCTACTTTATTTATATAAATAGAAATCAATATATAGATATTATTTATTTATTAAAACAATTGTATATAAAAATAAGAAATTTTAGTTACAGAGAGATTATTATATTTATTATAGGTACCTTGACATGGAGAATAGTACATGTCCAGTATTCTAGCAGCACTAAAGTCAGTTTACCATGGCCTAATATGTGTAATGATGGTGGCTGTCAATTTAATGTGATGGCATTCAATTATAAAGGAACAGGTCTTGCAAGTAAACCTACACAATGGCTAGGTATGTTACATTTGATATACCAGTCAGTTTTTGCTAATCTCTATTAGAGAAAAGAAATTTTTGTATTTGTGATATTGTGTTTTGTTTTCTTTTATAGAAAAACAATGGATAGATTAGTTATACACACCTCTTTTCTTAACTTATTGATATTCTTATTACTGTTTGCTTTACTTGTTCATTCATTTATTCATTCATTCATTCTTTCATTAAGTTATTGTTTCATTCATTCATTGTGTCAAATCACGTCATCCAGATGTAACATAGATCTGTATCACCTTTTGTTAATCTGCAACTCCTTGAAAATGACTTGACTAAATTCAATCAAACTCGCACAGAATCTTCTGCAGGACATAAATTGTGAGTTCAGTCTGTTTAGTTATGTCTGTCGTCATTTATTTCATTGGGGATATCCTGATACATGTAAAGTTATAAAAAGCAACATCTATTTTGCCTTCTGCTTTTTTTTATGAATACCAAAATTAAAACCCTCAATCATTTAACTCAAGTTTATGTATTGATATGATAATATATTGGGCTTTTCCAGAATTATTTGAATGGGAGGGGGGATCGGCAGGCACTTTTGTTAAAATTTAATGGGTGATGGTTATTTTAGACGGATAGCCTCAACAATTCTATGAAACAATCAATAACAATTTTATGTCTGTGTTAAGGAAAAAGGTGCCTTCTTAATTACTTATGGGGTTGATCACCTATCGTGTGAGAATATATTATAAGCACCATCTTCATATGAAGTAAACATATTTTCCTCTGTATTTGTTTTTTCTTGAATTTTTGGAAATTACCATTAATCATGAAACCACCCACAATTTATTTATTTGAGTCCCTCCCACCTCCCCAATGTGTTTAAATCTGAAACAGACAGTCAATTTTATATTGCTACAGTATTGAAGGGAGTGAATCATTCATTTGTTTGACATTAAATTTCTCATTACAGAACAAATAGCAGTAGCTAAATCTTTCCATAATCAGTGGTGGTTTCTTGTCATAATGGCATTAGCAGGGGCTGTGATTATGCTGATGGTTGTTTCTCTATTGTGCCTAGTTCACAGGAGAACCAAAAACGGTAAGTGGAGTCTTTTTTATAACAATAGCCTCTTTTTATAACCTAATACATAGATAAGTTTAGTGCCTAAAAACATGGGGGAAAAAGTAACATTATATTTGATATTTGGCCCACCTTTTGATAGACATCGAGAATTGTTTGATAATTATCAATGGAAAAATTATGATGAAACAGATTTGAACCACATTTTGGTAGACATCCAGAATTTTGAAGATTACCCGTAGCAATTTGAAAACATGATACATTTTTGAACCACACTTTTTTGTTTCCCCCGAGACTGAATCAAAAAGTGGGACTTAGGCATGATGTTTCCTTCAGCAGCCGCGTCAACAATGGTAGGTCAATGATATTTGTTATGCAGTTATATTAGCATTGGCACATTTCATTTCCATGGATATATTTAGGCCCCACCCCCTCAGTCATGGTCTATTGACTTTGAAACTTTTTGCTTACTTAACATGTATTAGTGTGATTAGGTCAGTTTAAGGAGAACCACTAGTGGTAGGTCAATGATATTTGGTATGCAGTTGTATTAGCATTGGCACATTTCATTTCCATTGAGATTATTTGGCCCTACCCCCTCAGTCATGGTCTATTGACTTTAAAAATTTTGCCTACTTAATTTGTATTAGTTTGTAATTAGGTCATTTAAGGGGAACCATTAGCAGTAAGTTAATGATTTTTGGTATGCAGATGTATAAGCATGGGCACATCTCATTTCCATGGAGATTATTTTGCTCTGCCCCTTCAGTCATGGTCAGACTTTGAATGTTTTGCATAGTTTGCATGTTTAAGTTTGTAATCAGAACAGTTTAAGAGGAACCACTAATGTTATGTCAATGATAGTATTAGCACTTGCAAGTCTTCATTTCCATGAAGATTATTTGGTCCCGCACCCTATCAAGGTTCATTAACTTTGAATATTTTGAAATTTATATGTTTAAAAATATCCCATTAGCATTCAATATTTGCAAATTACAAAAAGACGAGACATATCTCTGTGTCAACAGTTTTGTTGACTCCAGAACTGATTTCAAACATTTATAGCCCACATTTTTCGTATCCATCCAAAATTGTTGACCATTGGTTGGTTGTTTCCCTTTTTTAACCAAAGGAAAAACACTGAGTAACAGTTGCCATAAAATTCTTCATATATAAAAAAAAGGTTCAAGTAGTGAACACTCTAATTATACGACCGCAAAAAAATTTTTGTGGTCGTATATTGGTATGACGTTGGCGTCGTCGTCGTCGTCGTCGTCGTCCGGCGTCGTCCGAAGACACATTGGTTTTCGCACTCTAACTTTAGTTTAAGTGAATGGATCCTTATGAAATTTTACCACAAGGTTCAATACCACAAAAGGAAGGTTGGGATTGATTTTGGGGGTTATGGTAATAACAGTAAAGGAATTAGGGGCCAAAAAGGGGCTAAAAATAAGCATTTTTGTAACTTCCAGACATAACTTGTGTCTTAGTGTATGGATCTCTCTGACATTGTACCACAAGGTTCCATATCACTAAAGGAATTCTGGGATTGATTTTGGGGGTAATTGCCTCCAAATTTTAGGAATTAGGGGCCAAAAAAGGGGCAAAAAACAAGCATTTTTCTAGTTTCATGACAATAACTTGTGTGTAAGTGTATGGATCTTTCTGAAATTGTACTACAAGGTTCCATATCACAAAGGGAAAGCTGGGTTTGAGTTTGGGGGTAATTGCCCTAAACATTTAGGAATTTGGGGCCAAAAAGGGTTCAAAAAACACATTTTTTTCTAGTTTCCAGACAATAACTTGTGTTCAAGTGTATGGATCTCTCTGAAATTGTACTGCAAGGTACCATACCACAAAGGGAAGGCTGGGATTGAGTTTGGGGGTGATGAATCATAATGGGGGTTCAAAAAATTTTGGGGGGATTTATTTTTTTTTCCTTTTTTTTCTTTTTTTCCTTTTTTGTTTCTTTTAAAATTTTCCATTTTAAGTTGGTTATTTCTGATTTATATTTAAAATCAAATAATAATGATATGGTAGGAGATACACACCAAACAGGATGTGTAAATTATTATATAATAAGTATTGTGCAATAGCAAGAAATTTTCAATTGCACAGTATTGCATAATAGCAAGAAATCTTCAATTGCACAGTATTGCGCAATAGCAAGAAATCTTCAATTGCACAGTATTGCGCAATAGCAAGAAATATCCAATAGCACAATATTGCGCAATAGCAAGAAATTGTCAATTGTACAGTATTGTGCAATAGCAAGAAATATTTAATAGCACAGGATTGTGCAAAAGAAGATACTTCCTATAAATTGCTTATTTCTTGACCAATTTCAATGGGGTTTTATTCTTGATTTCATGGGGTTCTTTAATATGCTGAATCTAACCGTGTATTTAGTTTTTGGATTTTGGGCCCCGTTTTTAAATTGGTCCACATTGAGGTCCAAAGGGTCCAAAATTAAACTTTGTTTGATTTCATCAAAAATTGAATTATTGGGGTTCTTTGATATGCCGAATCTAACTGTGTATTTAGATTCTTAAATTTTGGTTCCGTTTTCAAATTGGTCTACATTAAGGTCCAAAGGGTCCAAAATTAAACTTAGTTTGATTTTAACAAAAATTGAATTCTTAGGGTTCTTTGATATGCTGAATCTAAACATGTATTTAGATTTTTGATTATGGGCCCAGTTTTCAAGTTGGTCCAAATCGGGGTCCAAAATTAAACTTTGTTTGATTTCAACAAAAATTGAATATATGGGGTTCTTTGATATGCTGAATCTAACCATGTATTTAGATTTTTGATTTTTGGGCCCCGTTATCAACTTTGTCCACATTGAGGTCAAAAGGGTTCAAAATTAAACTTTGTTTGATTTCATCAAAAATTGAATTATTGGGGTGCTTTGATATGCCGAATCTAACCGTGTATTTAGATTCTTAATTTTTGGTTCCGTTTTCAAATTGGTCTCCATTAAGGTCCAAAGGGTCCAAAATTAAACTTAGTTTGATTTTAACAAAAATTGAATTCTTAGGGTTCTTTGATATGCTGAATCTAAACATGTATTTAGATTTTTGATTATGGGCCCAGTTTTCAAGTTGGTCCAAATCGGGGTCCAAAATTAAACTTTGTTTGATTTCAACAAAAATTGAATATATGGGGTTCTTTGATATGCTGAATCTAACCATGTATTTAGATTTTTGATTTTTGGGCCCCGTTATCAACTTTGTCCACATTGAGGTCAAAAGGGTCCAAAATTAAACTTTGTTTGATTTCATCAAAAATTGAATTCTTGGGGTTCTTTGATATACCATGTATTTAGATTTTGGATATTGGACCATAATAGGTGAATGTCCAATTTAAAATTTTTAAGTTCTTAGACCACATTCAATCTGTGTTAGAAACCTATACTGTGTCAAATATTTAATCACAATCCAAATCCAAAGCTGTATCAAGCTTGAATGTTGTGTCCATACTTCCCCCAACTGTTCAGGGTTCGACCTCTGCGGTCGTATCAAGCTGCGCCCTGCGGAGCATTTTATTTTTATATGGAATTGATTATACAAATTTTTTTATAGATAAAAAACCTGCCAATGTAGGTATGTCAAACCCAATGGAGACTATGGAGCCTGAGGAAGGAGGCTTCTCTACACTGGACAGAAATGCCAGACAATCACAGAGAAATATAGCTACTATTAGAAATGGCTTTCCAAGGACAGGCACACTACCAAGGTTTGTTATACTTGTTAATAGGATGTTAACCTGTACTCATTAACAAAGTATCCCTGGGAACATACTAGTATCAACTAGGAAACAATGATTCTTGATTAATTAAGCTTTTCATTAGTTAAATTTTAGTTTTATGAACATTGCATAAAATGTTAAGATAATGAGACTTAAGCGGGTCTCATTTTATAATAACAATTCATTAAAGCAAGAAAAGTATATTTTTGTTGTAAAAAGTACAGCTTCCTTTAACAATTGTGTCTTCATATCAAATAAATTTAAAAAATAGGAAAATACAAAGCAGTCATATTAACTTTTGTAACTTTTTTTTAATGTGATGCCCATTTTAATGATTTACTTGACAATCTTTGGTGTAATCAGAAAAGCAGAAAACAGTCATTGTTCTTCAAACAATAATTAAAAGTTTTATCCTTTGTTTTCTTTGATGCAATGAACTCATAAAAAAGAATTATTTGTAGTCTACTTATATTAGTTTTCCCCACTTCTGAAATTTCATATTTTCTGTTTCACTGGAAAAGTTTGCAATACATGTGCTTATTAATCATTTTTTTTATATATGTTTGATTTTTCAAGCAAGTACTCCCATTATTGTTCAGTTATGTTTTGAAATTAGCATATTTACTGATAGCATACTTACTAGGAAATATAAACAATCTGTTGATACAGAAAAATTGTTTCAAAGATATTTTGAATGTGTGATATGTTATTATATGTATTTCTTTGCACTCTGGTCTGAGGAGGTCCTCAGTGGCTGAGTGGTCTAAGTAGTCTAACTACTGTATCACTAGCCTGTCAACACTGATGTTGTGAGTTCAAATTAAGCACATGGTAGGTGCTCTTGGTCTTAATTGACTAGGATTGCCTGTTTTCCTATCGATTGTTAGCGTTCTCTCTGTTTTCCTCCACCAATAAAAAATGACCGCCATGAAATAGCCAATAGTGCTGAAAGTGGCATAAAACACCAATCAGTCAGTCAATATTGTCTCAGGCCTAATTCCCATATCTTTCTATTGTTGACGTTGACTTATGCCCAAGTCTTAATATTGTTATGTTTTACACAAGTATATTTCTTCTGTACAGACAACCACCAAGACCAAGTCCAGCTAGTGTGACCTACTCCGAGAGTGATATAGGAGCTACACCACAGAAATCACCATTACCAGATGATGATGATGGCAGTAGTGACACAACACAGAAACCTTCAGATCTAGAAGATAGTTCAGGGGTAAGAAACATCACACAATTATTTAAAATACTGTCGTTAAGTCAGCTAGTAGCTTTTATATATTGTAAAGAAAAGAAAGACTGAATTTGCTTTAGAGACAAATGTAGGTCTTCATTGAAGGAAGTAAAATAAAAAATGGAATTAATGTTATTTCAAAACAATAGTAGGAATTGAAAATATTGAACAAGAGTGAACATTTCATTTGTATTTTTTTTTTTTTTTTTAAATAGTTTTTATACGACCGCCAAAAAATTTTGTGGTCGTATAATGGTATAACGTTTGCGTCGTCGTCGTCCAAAGACACATTGGTTTTCGCACTCTAACTTTAGTTTAAGTGAATGGATCTCTATGAAATTTTACCATAAGGTTCAATACCACAAAAGGAAGGTGGGGATTGATTTTTGGGGTTATGGTACCAACAGTTCAGGAATAAGGGGCCAAAAAGGGGCCAAAAATAAGCATTTTTGTAACTTCCAGACATAACTTGTGTGTTAGTGTATGGATCTCTCTGACATTGTACCACAAGGTTCCATATCACAAAGGGAATGCTGGGATTGATTTTGGGGGTAATTGCCTCCAAATTTTAGGAATTAGGGGCCAAAAAGGGGCAAAAAACAAGCATTTTTCTAGTTTCATGACAATAACTTGTGTGTTAGTGTATGGATCTTTATGAAATTGTACTACAAGGTTCCATATCACAAAGGGAAAGCTGGAATTGAGTTTGGGGGTAATTGCCCAAAACGTTTAGGAATAAGGGGCCAAAAAGGGGCCAAAAATAAGCATTTTCCTAGTTTCCAGACAATAACGTGTTCAAGTGTATGGATCTCTCTGAAATTGTACTGCAAGGTACCATACCACAAAGGGAAGGCTGGGATTGATTTTGGGGGTAATTGCCTCAAAATTATAGGAATTAGGGGCCATAAAGGGGCAAAAAACAAGCATTTTTCTAGTTTCAGGACAATAACTTGTGTGTAAGTGTATTGATCTTTATGAAATTGTACTACAAGGTTCCATATCTCAAAGGGAAAGCTGGGTTTGAGTTTGGGGGAAATTGCCCATAACGTTTAGGAATTTGGGGCCAAAAAGGGGCCAAAAAACAAGCATTTTTCTAGTTTCCAGACAGTGTGTTCAAGTGTATGGATCTCTCTGAAATTGTACTCTGCAAGGTACCATACCTCAAAGGGAAGGCTGGGATTGAGTTTGGGGGTGATGAATCAAAAGGGGGTTCAAAAAATTTGGGGGGGGGGGATTTTTTTTTCCTTTTTTTTCTTTAAAATTTTCCATTTTAAATTGGTTATTTCTGATTTATATATAAAAGCAAATAATAATGATATGGTTTGAATAGGTAAATTCAAAATTTTGAAGTTCTTAGACCACATTCATTCTGTGTCAGAAACCTATGCTGTGTCAAATATTTAATTACAATCCAAATTCAGTGCTGTATCAAGCTTGAATGTTGTGTCCATACTTGCCCCAACTGTTCAGGGTTCGACCTCTGCGGTCGTATCAAGCTGCGCCCCAGAGGAGCATTTTATTGATGGTTGAAACTATTTTGACTGTAGCTGAGGTAGTTATATAAAAGAGCTTGTTTTGTCTTGGAAAGGATCAATGATTGAAGTTTAATCTGCACCTTTGGCAAATGGAAAATTTATTAAACAAGGAATACTGAGTGTTTAGCTCATTACATTTTATATTGTGTATACATTTTGTATGTATATATGATTTATATATTTTTTTTATGTTTACAGGGAAGTGAAGATGAGAGTGATTTGGATGACAAGCCATTACCACCACCACCTCCTCCTCTTCCACAGGAATCTCCCCTGCGCCCTCCATTTCCTAGAAATGCCTATGTTAATGACTATTCCGACGAATATCCTAGACTCCATCACCATGATCAGCATGATCACCATGATCACCATGATCACCATGATCACCATGATCACCATGATCACCCACCACAAACTCCACACAGAAATCAGAGTCACTATAATGCTTATAATTATACAGACAGTGAGGCCAGTAGTAGCCATTATGGCCTCAGCTTAAACTCAGGACAGATAGTGATAAACAATTCAGCAGGATCCAGAGCACCTTTACCAGGCTTTTCATCATTTGTGTGATGATGGCATGTTACAGTATTGTGTAATCAACGATGTTAGTTAATCATGACACGAAAATTTGAAGAGACAATCGATAAACAAATTGATGTCTGTTTCTGTGATCAGTCAAGAGTTACCTCCCATCGTGGCCAAAATATGTTTATGACGATTTTAAATAGTGCTTAATCATAGATGTACTATAATCATACTATATCATCTGCTCTTCTGTCCATCCCTTTAGAGCCTCCATGAACAGAAGTGGGAGAAATCCAAAATGGTCATTTTACTGAATATGTTTTAACACATATGTATTTCAGACTGTATAGAACAGTTAGAAGGTTCAGTCCTGGTGCAATAAGTATTTATAATGAGCATTGTATATTAAATCATTTCATCAATGATATTTAATTGACTGTTTAAAAACAGGTCTTATTAATGACAAATGTATTTTAAGAAAGACAAATGATATATACATATATTGTCTTCATTAAAATGGTTTTTTTTTTGTAAAAGTGATATAAGCTTGCAGTGTAAACTATTTATTTTGCATTTAATGATTTTTTTTGTTTGATAAGTAAATGTTTGGGAGATGAAAGAATTCACCCCAAAAAATAATGAAAAATGAAATGAATTAAAATCTGAGAATAATTAACCAGTCAGTATTGATGTACTGTAATGTACATGAACTAGTAACCAGATTTAAAACACTATAACTGTGCCTGTAATTTCTTATAGGATCACGGCAAATCCATGTGTTTTAATATGAAAATGTTTTGTGATAATATATGTTTGTTGTTGATATATGTAGATAGAATATTAAACACTATTTATGTACATAAATACTATGTTATTTTTCACAAATGTAACATTAACAATTGTAAATTTCCATATGTATATAACAATATTTCTAAATATCTTTTATAGAGATATATGTACATTCTTAGTGAGGTTCCAAAATCTAACAAATTTTAACAATACTCTGGTTAATTTGGAGATATGTAATTCAAATGTTGAATGAGCTGATCATAACAATTTCATTTATTCATCTGATCTGATGAACAAAATGAATGATATAATATAATTAAAACTTATTCTGTTGTATAGAATTATTTTTTAATGATGCATTCCGCAAACAAAAAAACATTAGATAAGTAAATTTGTTTTTGCAAAGGATAATTTAAGTTTTATTGGCTTAAACTAATCATCCTGAAGGTCTTAAAACTGAGAATTAGGTTGTGTTATTTGCCTTACTAAGAGAGTGTTTACATTTTATATGTTTTATTTAAATCTTATTTATTGTATTTTCACACGAATTTACATCATATCAAGTAACAAATTTCCAATATCGAAAATGAATCTGATAAATAGATTTTATTTAAATTATACATATCAACAATTAATTTAAAGTATGTGAAATATAGTTTTCATGAATCTATAAGAAAAGAAACCAATCTACTTTTTCTTGGAGTTATTTATAAATTAAACATGGACTTAAGTTTTTCCCCAAGAACTGTGTTGATATTGGTTTTAATGTGGTTGTGATTATGTTAAATAATATATATTTTTCTATGCAAACACGTCAGCATTGTTTTATAATTGTTTCTATGTATGAATATTTAGGCATCCATTCCATATCAGAAATAACATTCTGGATTTGTGATAAATATTAAATATATAGATACATTTTATTTAAGGTTGAAAAAACTTTATTTTACTATAAATACCATAATAATTTTATTAGTTATTTTGTACTGATAATATTTCAAAAAGCATAATCAAAACCATTTGTTCAGGGAAATTATTCACCAAGCTTTTTATCTCATTGGCATTTCACAAGATTAACTTGAACATTTTTTATGTTTATTTACTTGTGTGCTTTCTCAAAATTTTAATTGAATGCACAATTTATTATAAATGCAATTCAGATATTTCTACTATTGATTTATGCAAAATTACTATGAGAAAGAAAAGATTTTATGATCAAATCTAAGTTTCAGTTATTATATTTAAAAAACCTGCAAAAGCAAAACTAGTAAATGCAAAGGACATACTTCAATAGAGCTAAAAATGGCAATATGATATTTTTAACATAACTTAAATAAAGATTATTATGAATGATGAAATGATCGATTTTGAGCCTTTAACTTATGTTTAACTTGAAAACGAAGGTATTCAAATGATGCCCTCGCCCTAAAGAGTAAAATATTTCTTTTCATTAAGAAATAAAATTTCTATTATTTTAGAAGAAAATGCTAAAATTTTCATCTTCCTGCACTAACCAAAATGTTGTACTTTAATATCTTATGGTCCCAATACAAAGACTGCAAAGCAAATATTAGAAAGTCTGGCATTTTACACGTCATCTGAAATTTGTAGGAGTAGGATCATTTAGGCAAGAAATCATTCAAGCTTGAATTTTGAAGATGTAACAACATAGAATAGTATTTCTATAAATTCAACCAGTTAGGACCAAATAGTTTACATTTATTTTAAATATATACAGGTTGTGTTTCCACCAACCAATTGGTGCTACAGGTTGTGGTTAATGTCATTATATGTGTTTATTGTGTATCATAGTGCAAACTTTTTTGTTTTATAGTTTTATATATAGTTCTGTACATATCTGTTATACAATTATATTTTAGTTATTTTTAGTATAAACTAATCATTTTTCAATGCAATATGATGATGTAGCATGTTTAATGGTCATACAGAATTTATTATTTTCATCCTCATCATCAGCACTTGATTAACCCTAATACTTAAGTATTTACAGCTTCAATTAATTTGTTAAATCTTGATAAAACTCATAGGAAATTAAACCAAAGGTTCTTTGTGATCAAAGAAAGTACTGTGGATTCATTTATTTTCATTGATATCAGTTTTCGTGGGTGGATAAAGATTTGTTATTATGAAAGTTCTTAATTTCATGGTTTCATCATTTGCGCATATTAAAGTAACTTAAAAAATGGTATTTAGTTGAATGTTTCCCCATACCCACGAAACCAATGAAAATTTATATCCCATGAATATTAGCAAGTGACATTTTTAGGGATAAATGTTTTTAATCTTTTACATTTCTATGTTAAATTGTACATTTAAATAAAATAATTTAAACATATAACTTAAAACAGTAAAAGCAGGCAAGGCACAAAGTCTCCTGAATTTATAGATACAGAAACTTATTATTTGAGAAACCATTTTGAATATGCCTTTTCAAGTGTCACATTGATAAGGCTTAATGTCACTATTTGATAACTTGTGTAAGTTCAATATTGCCAGATTTATTAATGGCGGGAAATGAAGAACATGTGCTAAACAAAAAGCCTTTGTCAAGTTACATAGCATTAAAGGTATATTGTCAATTTAAAAGTTAAAAACATATGATATAGTTATATTTGCTATTATGAAAAGTATTTTGTATGACTATTAATGGAAAATAAATGAATTTTTTCCAAATGCACTTGTAAATATCATGAACTTATTTACCATAATTAATTTAGAATCACAATTATTCATTAATTAACAATCTAGTCTTAAATGTGACTCTAAAAAAGTTTTAAAAAGAGTTTTTACTTATTTTTTATGCTCATAGATTCGTACTTAGCCAATATCTCATTATTTACTTTGCAAGAAAAATAGTAAAATTTTGCTGAAAAATAAAGTATCGGTTAGTTATTTTGTGACGCTATTTATTACTTAATGTAATTTGGTGATGTTTAGACCATATCATTAACTAACACTTCTATTTTTAAATATGTAAACAAAGTAGTAAATTCTTCTGACACAATCATGTTTCAATATAATTTCTAGAAAAAATAATTAGCAAATAAATAAATACTGTAAATCTTGCAAAGTTTTTAATTTTTGTTGATGTATTTTTGTCTCATTTCAATGGTTTTTATGTGTGATGGATGTGAGTGTTATTTTACAAGAAATCATGTAATTCTAAAACTAAAAATTCAAAAGCTCAAATCAAGTAGAATGAAAAAAGTATATTAACATGCACTAGAAAATTTAACATTTACACTGAAATACTATAGAAAAGTACAATAACACGTACCAGCATGTGATTATTAATACATAAGTTGTAGTAAATTATGCAAAATTGTATCCTTTTTAATAAATAAAAACGAGAAATGAACACATTTTATTTAACCAACAGTTTATTTACTTTTTAATGTCTCATTGGCCAGTTTTTTTACTGGTAACGTTCCTGATAATACTTACAGAGTAGTGAGGGCATTTCTTATTTAATGTTTTTTTTTTCTAGACCTAACAAATTAATTCATGTAGAGGCATATTTTTCCTATGAAATTCGAATGGTCTTCGAATTTTTTTTTGGGGAATACTTATAGAAACAGAAACTGAAAATTAAGATATTAGGATTAATCCATTCAAAACACATTTTTATACGACCGCAAAAATTAAAAATTTTTTGGTCGTATATTGGTATGACGTTGGCGTCGTCGTCGTCGTCGTCGTCGTTGTCGTCGTCGTCGTCGTCGTCGTCCGGCGTCGTCTGGCGTCGTCCGAAGACACATTGGTTTTCGCACTCTAACTTTAGTTTAAGTGAATGGATCTCCATGAAATTTCACCATAAGGTTCAATACCACGAAAGGAAGGTTGGGATTGATTTTGGGGGTTATGGTACCAACAGTTAAGGAATTAGGGGCCAAAAAGGGGCCAAAAATAAGCATTTTTGTAACTTTCAGACAATAACTTGTGTGTAAGTGTATGGATCTCTCTGACATTGTACCACAAGGTTCCATATCACAAAGGGAAGGCTGTAATTGATTTTGGGGGTAATTGCCTCAAAATTTTAGGAATTAGGGGCCAAAAAAGGGGCAAAAAACAAGCATTTTTCTAGTTTCATGACAATAACTTGTGTGTAAGTGTTTGGATATTTCTGAAATTGTACTACAAGGTTCCATATCACAAAGGGAAAGCTGGAATTGAGTTTGGGGGTAATTGCCCGAAACGTTTAGGAATTGGGGGCCAAAAAGGGGCCAAAAATAAGCATTTTTCTAGTTTCCAGACAATAACTTGTGTTCAAGTGTATGGATCTCTCTGAAATTGTACTGCAAGGTACCATACCACAAAGGGAAGGCTGGGATTGAGTTTGGGGGTGATGAATCATAAGGGGGTTCAAAAAATTTGGGGGGGGGGATTTTTTTTTTTTTTTTTTTCTTTTTTTCCTTTTTTTTTCTTTTAAAATTTTCCATTTTAAGTTGGTTATTTCTGATTTATATTTAAAAGCAAATAATAATGATATGGTAGGAGATACACACCAAACAGGATATGTAAATTATTATATAATAAGTATTGTGCAATAGCAAGAAATTTTCAATTGCACAGTATTGCACAATAGCAAGAAATCTTCAATTGCACAGTATTGCGCAATAGCAAGAAATCTTCAATTGCACAGTATTGCGCAATAGCAAGAAATATCCAAAAGCACAATATTGCGCAATAGCAAGAAATTGTCAATTGTACAGTATTGCGCAATAGCAAGAAATATTCAATTGCACAGTATTGTGCAAAAGAAGATACTTCGTATAAATTGCTTATTTCTTGATCAATTTCAATGGGGTTTTATTCTTGAATTCTTGGGGTTCTTTAATATGCTGAATCTAACCGTGTATTAAGTTTTTGGATTTTGGGCCCCGTTTTTAAATTGGTCCACATTGAGGTCCAAAGGGTCCAAAATTTAACTTTGTTTGATTTCATCAAAAATTGAATTATTGGGGTTCTTTGATATGCCGAATCTAACCGTGTATTTAGATTTTTAATTTTGGGTCCCGTTTTTTAAATTGGTCGACATTAAGGTCCAAAGGGTCCAAAATTAAACTTAGTTTGATTTTAACAAAAATTGAATTCTTGGGGTTCTTTGATATGCTGAATCTAAACATGTGTTTAGATTTTTGATTATGGGCCCAGTTTTCAAGTTGGTCCAAGTTGGGTCCAAAATTAAACTTTGTTTGATTTCAACAAAAATTGAATATATGGGGTTCTTTGATATGCTGAATCTAAACATGTATTTAGATTTTAGATTTTTGGCCCAGTTTTCAAGTTGGTCCAAATTGGGGTCCAAAATTAAACTTTGTTTGATTTCAACAAAAATTGAATATATGGGGTTCTTTGATATGCTGAATCTTACCATGTATTTAGATTTTTTATTTGTGGGCCCGCTATCAAATTGGTTCATATTGAGGTCAAAAGGGTCCAAAATTAAACTTTGTTTGATTTCATCAAAAATTGAATTATTGGGGTTCTTTGATATGCCAAATCTAACCGTGTATTTAGATTTTTAATTTTGGGTCCTGTTTTTTAAATTGGTCTACATTAAGGTCCAAAGGGTCCAAAATTAAACTTAGTTTGATTTTAACAGAAATTGAATTTTAGGGGTTCTTTGATATGCTGAATCTAAACATGTGTTTAGATTTTTGATTATGGGACCAGTTTTCAAGTTGGTCCAAGTTGGGGTCCAAAATTAAACTTTGTTTGATTTCAACAAAAATTGAATATATGGGGTTCTTTGATATGCTGAATCTAAACTGTATTCAGATTTTAGATTTTTGGCCCAGTTTTCAAGTTGGTCCAAATTGGGGTCCAAAATTAAAATTTGTTTGATTTCAACAAAAATTGAATATATGGGGTTCTTTGATATGCTGAATCTTACCATGTATTTAGATTTTTTTATTTGTGGGTCCGCTATCAAATTGGTTCATATTGAGGTCAAAAGGGTCCAAAATTAAACTTTGTTTGATTTCATCAAAAATTTAATTATTGGGGTTCTTTGATATGCCAAATCTAACCGTGTTTTTAGATTTTTAATTTTGGGTCCCGTTTTTTAAATTTGTCTACATTAAGGTCCAAAGGGTCCAAAATTAAACTTAGTTTGATTTTAACAAAAATTGAATTCTTCGGGTACTTTGATATGCTGAATCTAAACATGTGTTTAGATTTTTGATTATGGGACCAGTTTTCAAGTTTGTCAATGTTGGGGTCCAAAATTAAACTTTGTTTGATTTCAACAAAAATTGAATATATGGGGTTCTTTGATATGCTGAATCTAACCATGTATTTTGATTTTGGACATTGGACCATAATAGGTAAATTAAAAAAATTGAAGTTCTTAGACCACATTCTTTCTGTGTCAGAAACCTATGCTGTGTCAAATATTTAATCACAATCCAAATTCAGAGCTGTATCAAGCTTGAATGTTGTGTCCATACTTGCCCCAACTGTTCAGGGTTCGACCTCTGCGGTCGTATCAAGCTGCGCCCAGCGAAGCATTTTATTAGTTTTTGTTATGCCATAAACCTTTAGGTTGACAGAAATCAAATGCAAATTACTTTTAAATGCATATTGATTTATGTTTAATTTGTTATTTACCATTATAGAAAAAAAACTACAATAAGACAGTGCATTCTAAATTAAGATCAAAAAGAACTTAAGAATATGAATAATTTTTTTTTTACTAAAAAGAAGTTAGAATTATTGAATGGAAATAGAATTTTAAACTATTATGAATATTTTGCTTAGTTGTGACTATACAAGGTAATGAAATATGCATTTCAAATTTTTGTCAATTTTGATACCATTTCTATGGTATGTTAACTATAGTAAAATCTGAATTGTCAATAATTGAATATATTTAATTACTGCTTGACCGATGCATTAAATCCTGGATTAATTTTATTTAACTTTTTTTTTTACAATTATCATGTGATATGAGTTGATGATCTGTTACCAAATGGTATGTTTAATGATGAATGGTTTTCCATTTTGAATAAATTCCTTACGACATAGATGAGACTTTTTATTTATTGCATGCAACAGTTTTCAATTTACTGTTTTTATTAGAGCAAAAAATGTGACAGGATGCTGATCACATTAATTTAAAATTCACATCAGGTACAGCTATCTCATTAAAGTCAGTTGTCTAAATATCACATTGATAAATGCACACATTAACTTCTGAATTTACAGTAAATTATATTCATGAACTCAATTAGCCATGGCAGAGTAAATGTTGGATTAAAAAGATTTTTTGGAAAGATCAGAACTATTGTTTCAATTCTTTCCAAAGCACTGGCCTCACAAACAGGAAGTAGTTAGATTAGGTATTAAATCTAAACACACTGAGATATAATTCCCAATAGTTTCCATGTCTTTGTACATATGTGTGTGAACTATGAAAAATTTGATAAAATCTTTAGAGCAGATCATTCAAGTATGTAATCTGCTGGTTATTTTGGTCATTTTCATTAGGTAATGATACAATACCAACAATGATTGACAACTGCCATAATAAAAAAAAAAGCCACGTTTAGCCCTAATTTTAATGTCGAACCCTCCTAAATGCCAATCACATTGACCAAATTACTTATTAACTTCAGTTTAACATAATTAAGCAGACACTTTATTACATAACCCAATATACAATTCTTGACCTCAATAGTGAATACACAAATGTATGATGTTTGATATATTGAAATGATAATTTGATAATTAACCTATAACTTCTGATCTACACTACATAAAATGATACTGTAAATTATGTCTGAAAGATTAAAGATAAGTATTAACAATATCTATTTCAAATGAAAACAATCATAAAATTAGATCTGCATATTTGAAGCTATTCAAAAGGATCTATAATTTTTTGATAAATCAGTGTCATATAATTGTTTTCAAAATCAATAAGCAACCATTAGAGGAGTAAAAAGGTAAACTTATGTTTCAAAATACAAAATGCCCCAAAAGGTTAGTTTTGGGAGACAGATTTCTTAGTTTCAAGTCTATCTATTGTGCCCATGGATAAACTTTATTAGAAGAATCTTTATTTGGTAATTTCTTCTATTTCTAAAGATGAAAACATGGAACGGTGAACTTTTTTTTTTACAAAAAAAAAATAAAAACAGTATATGGGCAAACTTTTTGCCTGATTTGTTTATGTACTTTATCCTTTAACTTCTCATTCTGCTTTATAGATTATGACATGAGGATTGAATTTAGGATACCACAGGTACAGTAAGGACTACTTTATATCTTGATTTACATCAAGAAATTGTCAGTGATAGTATGTTGAGAGCTAATTTAGGGATGATTTCAATATATTATCTTCACATAATTAACTTTCCAGCAACACCTGAGTATTATATCTCAATGTTGTAAAGATGTTACAGGGCTTGTGTTTTCTATTATAATTTCTTTGAAGAGGGTCACTTCTTACAAGGAATATATTGTACCAAGGGTTCTGAATAGTTTAGTTGGAAGTCATCACTTTTAAAGTTTTGCAGATTTTCATGATTTCTTTAATACATTGTATGTTGTGAAATATCTGTGTTACTATACGAAACCTGTCCTTTCCTTATTTACAAAAAGTTGAATGCAATTTATCAACAGAGTTTTACTAGCCATGAGCGAAACAAATGATGGTTCAGGAATGTCATTCTCTTCCTAAGCGCCCGAGTTAACACAGATTTTTTTTCTCATAGTAGTCGTCATGTTGTGTTTGCTTTAGTTTTCTGAGTTGTTTGTTGTTGTCAGTAAATGTGCTGTTTTTTGGGGTCATTGACAAGTAAGTAATGTCTTATCAGTTTTCCTGAACTTTTTCATATTTTCCATTCAAACTTTCACATCTTTTTTAAAGGATGGAAACTTCAAATGTAATGAGATTTTATGAAATCGGTAATGTCTTAAGGTAAGACCAGCGAATGTTGCCAAATCTGTATGGTATGAAGCTTTCACTGACTAAACCCCACTAACTTTAATATGATATTTCTCAGATACTATAAGTAATAGGTCAACTATATATGGTGTATGGAATGATAGTGAGGTGAACATGATTGTCTTGCTTTGCCTCCATTTTCATAGAATTTTATGTTAAGTTTATCTGTTAATGTCAATGCCAATGTTAAGTAAAATCTTGATCTTAAAGACTTTCAACATCATTAAGACAGGCAAGACATTTCAGCGTGTGCACTCTAAGTTATAATAGTATATATATAAATTAAACAAGTTAAATATTTTCTTCCAATCTGCATCTTTGCTTTTCATTGACGTATTAAAAGTTATGATTATAATATTGCTGTCAAATCATTGTACTCTTTTTTTAGCTCACCTAGCACAAAGGGCTCATTAAGCTTTCTCAGCACTAGAGATATAATTTCAAGGAAAGAAAAGATCTACAAGTAAGTCAATGTTTCGGAAATCGTTAGTTAACTTCTTATCATTGTCTCAGAACATGTAATCAGAACTTAGAGGTGTTGACATCTTGTAGGAAAGTGAGAGTCGACTCTGAGGAGTTATCGCTCTTAAATGACGAATTTTACCATTTGTTTGTGTTATTGCCTATTATTTTGAAACTATAGCAGATAGAGATATACTTTAGCAAAAATGACCCACAAGGCAAGATCTACCAATAAGTTGATATTGCTGAAATCGTTGGTTAACCCTTTTTAGGAGTTAGTGCCCTTCAACTCAGTCTTTTAGTGCTTACATGTATTATTGCGAATCGTAAGGCAACCCCATAATGCAAGATTATTTAATCGGATTTCTAAACCTGCTATAGTAGAACATTTAAAAGTATCATTACTTACTTTGCTTGCCAAGTGTGCTGGGAAGTTTGCTCAAGTATTACAATTAGAATTGACATATACAGTCACAAAGACGGATAATTGAGTAAAACTGATCATGAGATTTGATTGTACAAATCATATGAACAATATCTTAATTTTACTTGCAATACACGAGTTAACTTCCTAACAAACTATGCAAGCAAACCAACATTTTTTTTAAATTTATGTTATTCTAGAAAAGACTCTGACCATGGTAAATGAGTTTTTATTATTATTGCATAGTTCATTATGTCGCATCTTTTTATCAATTTTATCGAAAATTTCTTAAAATGCTGAATTTAAAACAATACTTAATACAAAAAATACAAAAAATACATGACGCAATGCAATTAAAGGACAGCATTATCAAGGAAAGAAAAGTTCAAAACAGGAAAGGAAAAAAAAAGACTGTTATGAGATAGCTGTTATAAATATCAAATTACGACCGTGCATGCAAAAAAAAAAAACACAGACTAAAAATGCGCTTATCATAGTTTTAATAATAAGTGTTAACTTATACCAGGCATCACATTCATAGCGAAAATGGATACGAAAATCAAATAAATTTTACTCTCTGTACTCTTTCTGAAATATATGTACAGTACAAATAATAGGGAACATCAGTATAATACAGTGAACATTTTAACAATTGACATGTCGTGCTGTAATTCGTGAAGTTTTCATATTACCAATCTGATCGAGATAAGATAACTTTGAAGTGTTAAACCTATTACATAATGTATTCAAAGCTTTTGACATTTACGTAGTTTAAAATGGGTTATCAATAAAGTTAATTATTTGATTTTGGAATAAAAAAAATATATACCTCTAACGTAAACTGATGAACTTGAACCAGATTTTAATTTAGCTATCCAGAATAAAGTACACACTATATTTGTTTTATTCAATATTGGAATGCCAATTAAACATGTTTGTTTTGGATCTACCAGTAGCGCCTATGTATATTTTTATTGGTAAGTATATTTTGTCGCGTCAGAGTCCCTAATACTGAAGTGAGTCGGGCATAATACAAAAATAACTTTTCTTGCAATTCAAGTAAAAAAGTCAACAGTTTGTTTATCTAGGATATATGTATGGTCTTAATGGTTTATTCACTTTTATCAAATTCCGTTAATCTTTAACTCAAACGTTTTAATCTTTGATGCATATCCTTAAATTTCAAGATTTCTTTTACGGAGTATTGACATACGCTTGTGCAAAATATAGCTAGTAGAAATATACATTGAAGTTGATATGTTAGGAATTTGTTCTCATAGCAACTTTAAACAGATTTTACACAAAACTTCTACAGTCTGCTGCTGTCTTCGTTTCTTATATAAAAATAAAGATAAAAAAATTATATAATTACATATCATTATTTGTATTCATCATTTCTATTTACCGGCACGTTTTCTTGCGAACATATAAACCTTGCGTCTTTGCGGAGAACGACTTTACTGAAGAGTTCCATTTGTTGGCAATATTTTAGTCCGGTCAGTTTCCCGGCAATAACCCCATCTTGCACCATCGTAAAATTGCAATCAAATTAAAACAACAGGCAAAACAGATTTACTCTGTATCAAGCCAGTAATTTGTAGGTTTATATATCTTAATAATCTGATAAAAGAAAATAAAATTCCCGGCTGGTTTTCAAATTTCATTATATTTCAGTTTGTTAAAAAAAGGTTTTTTCCCTATATATTAGAAAAACTATGTTAAAATACTTGAACAAAATAAAACAAAATTAAGGTACACCTAATCAATGACAAATGATGTCACTTGCTTCTTATTGACGCAAACGTAGTTTTAAGACAAGTATCTAATCTGTATACATATATTTCAATAACAAATATGTTTTGGTCCAATGTTGTGACTTTTGGTACTGTTATAGCTCCATAAACACAGCAACTCGGTCTAGATTCTCTAAATATCCCAAAAACCATTAAGACCGTGTGAAACAAACGACTTATTTAAAAAAAGATTATCTTATCAAATAAAAGACAGATTTTACGACAGTGAGACATAAAGTCAACGACTACTTAATAAAAAAAAACATTTCGGGTTCTTTTAAAAAAATCTTACGGCAAAAGTTGATCGTAACTTATACTGAAATTTTCATGATTTTACTCGTAAGATTTTTTTTAAATGAGTCGCTGGAGGTCAGCTTACAATCTTCAACAGTATGCAGGTGTCTTTACAATATATCGAGCTCTAAATCGTCCAGAGTCGAAATGACTTATAGTATCAAAACCTACCATTAACACCAAATTCTCCCAATAATAAAAAATGAAAACAAAACGATAGCAAATTACACCTTATCAAGGTGTATTAGCAAATTAACTTCTTATTCTCAGATACCGTTTTCTTCCTAAAATTATCAGATGGTAACTTTCTCTCTCGCACGTTTCTTCTTTTTCTATTCCCTTTTTCTTTTTTTCTGTCCCTCTCATTCTACCATACAACTTTAAAAAATCTCCCAATTTATAAAATCCTCTCTATGATTTACCAAAGGTAATGGCGATTCATTAGAGCAGTCTTTCAATCTTTTCTTATGTTCACAGTATTACAGCTTCAAGTATCCTGTATTATATTTAGACATTAATTATTATGTATATTTCTTATCATTTAGTAAAATTATTAGTGATTAAAGATCAAACTTCAGTTTTGGTAAATTCCGGACATGTGTAACATTGAAGAAAACCCGATGCACTTGCATATAGGACCCATTTAAATTGTACCTTACACATTCTGAATACTAGTAATAAAAAAAATCAACACAGTTTACATCATACTTTGTAGATCTTTCAGCTAAAGACCAACAGCTATTTTCCCATCTTTTTGCATCTGCATCCTCCTCTAGTTTACAGCTTTCATCAAGAAATTGTGGATTCCGAACATAATTCATTGATTGTTGCTGACTTGCGAGTGGATCTTTGTCGTGAAATTTTATTTGAGAAGCTGGATAAGTCATATTGTTCTGGGTCAGTGATACCCTACAGGTTTTACATTAGCTTATTGTCTTATTTTTTTATTTTTATTTTAAAGATTTCATGTAACTCCATTTGATTTTTTTTTTTGCAATATAAGATATGTTTTGTTCTGATCGTTTCTGAAGCCTCGACTTCAATATATCTATTGGCTGCTCGTTAATTGTTTTCTCACGACACCTTATTTACATTTAAATACATAAACTTAAAGGCAGTTTTAACCTTAGTATGTTTTGACTTTATTACTTTGAGAAGTATCTGTGATATCGTGATGAGTTTCGGAAAAAATTTAAACTTGAATGCTATTTTTGGAAGACGTATCATTATTTGGTCTGTCACAATCAACACTTTGTACAATGTAGTTTTATCAGTAATCGTTTCATTTGTTACCTTCGCTTGGATAATCCGGTAATTAACAAGATACCATCTTTTTAAATTTGAATCTCTTTAAACATGTTAAAATCTGTATTTTATTTGCTAAATATTGCATAGGTTCTGAAGAATTAAAAACATTTTAATGCTGATTGCATTATCTAATTTTGATATACTATTGTCCCCGTATATCTTTTGTTCATATGCGTTAAACAGACGACTAAACCTAAACTAGTTCTCGGCTGACTACTACACTTGTGGGAAGCGTTAAATACAAAGCGGATTCCAGTTTAGACTAAACCTTGACCGTTATAACCGAAATAAATCTTTATTGTCCGATTAAAAACACAGTCAATACTAGTACTCTGTATCGTACTGACTCCACTAAAACGTTTTCGTCAATTGATTAATTGATTGATTTGTGTCATCGTCCAGCATATACTTCACGTATATTTAGGTCGAGAACAAATTAAACAATAAATCAACTTGGAAGCCTCTGAAAATTTAGAGGCAACAGTGGTCAAATAGTGAGTCGACAGAACTGAAGGGTACGTGAACAATATAAAGTTGCGCTAGAAATATAGGGTCTGTTGGTAAGGCTAAAATTGTGCCGTGCAAATATATCAAATGCGGATCACTGAAAATTATTTATAGGATTCTTCTACAAGCAGAGAGTACGACTCTCTACATGACACGTAACATCGAATTATCGTTCCCAACAAACTTTAACAAAACCAATACCGTGTCTAGGCCTGCTTCGCTTCATGCAATTGTTTGAGGTTACATGTATACTGAAGCAAAACTGTATGTTCCCTAAAATCTTTGATGAAAATCTTCCTTGTACAATATCGGCAAACAGGACGTGGCTGCACGACAGATACAAAAATTGCTAACACGCTTTAATTCATTCAACATTATCAAGCTGCAGATCAAATATTAAATATGAAATCATTCCCTCCTAAAGAAATCCAAGAAAAGTTCGAGGAATCTTTTTTCTTTGTACAATGAGTATTGTAAATTTTAAACTGTCGGCAAACAGGAAGTTATTTCAATGTGGATGTAAAAATTGCTTACACGCTACACCTCAGCATTATCAAGTTGCAGAATAAAAAACATAAAATCATTCCCTTTCATAGAAGACAAGAAAACTTTAACGAAAGCTTTCTACCCAAGGCGTTCGGAAGAATAAAACAACGGACGGTCGGAGTCAAGCGGTTACTAGAGCTGCTTTCGCTTTTAGCGACACAGAAAAAAATAGAGGTTTGGACTATCTATCGTGTGTGAATTTGATGACGACACAGTAAACGATATACAACAAAGTTATCCATAACATGCAAAAGTGTTAGAAGATAATGTTGCTTTGGTCATAAATCCAGAAATGACCAATGTTTCTATTAACTTCGGAACGTATCAAAATCAATGCCCAGTTTATATTGTTGAAACGAGAAGGAAGTATTTTTCAGACACTGCCTAATAAATAGTTAGTAAAAAACATCGTAATTGGTTATTGAATTTATGAATAGGATGAAAGAAAATGAGTAAGGATGACTTTTTCTGGATATATTTGGTGAAACCGTGTGATACGAAAGTAAAAAAATATATACAATGTGAAATCAGATACTTGTTAGAATTTTCAACCCACCACAAATAAAATATTTATATCATATCACTAGCCAAGTAGTGACATTAATTATCATTGATATGGTCATAATTATAAATTAACTGTATACAAAACTTTGAAATTTTCGAAATGCTAAGGATTTTCTACTTTAGGAATAGATTGTCTTAGCTGCTTTCGGCAAAACCTTTCAGAATCTTGGGTCCTAAATGCTCTTTTATTCGTACTTTCTTTGGCATATTCAATTTTTTTATTCGAGCGTCACTGATGAGTCTTTTGAAACCGAATGCGCGTCTAGCGTACAAAATTTCAATCCTGGTATCTATGATGAGTTTATTTAGCAATATTTTCACGTTGCAATACAATACAATACTATTTTGTTTATTAAACCAAATTAAGATCCCATTGAAGGAATCGCTGACAAGACATCAATTAGAGAACACAACACTACACGCAGTAGATACTATGGAGGGATTAGGTTTTAATATTCATGAACAAAATTAAAATTCTGATAAAAAACTTGTGTGATGAAAACTGTGTTATCCCGCTTTTAACAGAATACTTGGTCCCAGATACCGGTACACCAAACCATTTATATCATATGTAATATGTTCCACGATTTTGTAAAAACTCATTAAAGATAGCAAGATGTTTTACACCAGACGCGCGTTTCGTTTACATAAGACTCATCAGTGATCCTCAAATTGAAACAGTTGGGAGTCCAAATCAAATACGAAGTTGTAGAGCTTTAAAAACCGAAAATTCGAAAGAGTTTTGCCGAAGGCTAAGGTTATCTATACCTAGGGGTAGACACACCTTAGTGTTTCGAATAAAATCACATTTTATATGCAGTAAATTTACAGAAAATTAACATATCAACGATATTTCATGTCAACACAAATGTACTGACTACTATAATAGTGATACCCCGGGGACGAAACGTCCAGTATCAGTGGTATCGACCAAGTGGTTGTAAAAACTCACCAAAGACATCAGGCTTATAAATTAACCCCATACATTAAAAAGAACATGCATCCAGTTTTGTGGTAGAGCAAGACTAGACTATAGGTGTATGAACACATTTTCTTTTTATCCTAACACAGTATATTTCATGTAAAAATAAGTAGATGTAGTATGATTGCCAATGAGAAAACTATCCCCCAGAGTTCATAATGTTTCTTTTTTGAAAGTTTCTGCAAACATTTCCAGGTTTGTATGCGACATTTTCTCACCAGATGCGGTCCAGTAGTATTTTTCATGCAAAATGTCCCCCTTTGCACCATATCTCATGGTCGTGCTCGTCAGAAAGGAGGCTTTCACATTGCATACATACATATATAACAAGCATAACATGGAGCAGATTAAAGACAAAGCAAGCATAAGATGAAAGGGGAAAACATTTTGAATTACGTTCTCAGTTCAATTGGCCGTTTTATGATGGACTCATTTATTTCTATTGAACCACAATACTAGAAGGTTATAGTGAAATGTAAAGAAAACGGCTGTTGTCTGCTCTTTGGTCGGGTTGTTGTCTCTTTGACATATTCCCCATTTCCATTCTCAATTTAAAAAAAAATAAATTAAATTGATAAGGATTAAAGAGGTAGTACCAATTTCCCCTGAATTTATTTCACAACATGGCCATTCAAAAAATGCTTTCAATATTTATTTCAATTTATGGCATCATAGCTCCATGTGTTTACTTTAAAAGGGCATTAGCTACAATCTTGATAAAAATTGATTTTTATTTCATTATTTCATTTACAAAATCGGAATTGTGAAATATTACTTCCCTATTAAATGTCAGATTGGTTCAATTTTGTTAAAGTAAGCTCAAAAACATCGCTGATGTATTATTGGCTTGCAAGTCAATAATTCAACCTTATTTGAATCCATATTTATGTGACCTTCAATTTGAACTTAGCTGGAGATGGGATAAGCATGTGCTAAACATGATTAGTTATTTAAAAGAAAACAATGTCAACATCGAAAGAGAAATAAGAAAGCCAACGGGAAAAACACATTTCGTTGACTGATTCGGTCAACACAAAATCATTCTTATACAGGTTAAAACAATGATTTACATATTTTTTTAATCTATGACATGAAATCAAACAGACCTAGAAAATTCGTCTTTATACGATTGCACGTGCTTGTCTGTCTATTTCTATTTCTATTTATGTTAACATCGGTTCAAAGGACTATCGGCAGTTTTCGGAGGTCATCTCGATGGTAAATAAGAGAGAGTCAAGTCTAAAATACACATGAGAAAGTGAGACATTATAACGAGTCATTGGATTGTTAATTACTCTGGGACGTTTTGTAATTTGGATAAACGTTTTAGTACGTAAAAAGTAAAATAATGAAATTGTAGATAAATCGATGATCACGAATTTGACAGCTAATGCCAATTTAGTTTCCAACAATATCAATGGTTCTTTTTTAAGCGATCACCAAATTATAAACACACGAAGATAGCCCATAACCGCAATTTTGACATATTTAGGCTTTTGAGTATTTTTCCTTAATATGTATAAGAAGGTTACACTTAAGCAAAACCAAAATTATGTTGAAAATAAAGTTACATATTGTCTTTCGGATGAAAATGTATTTATTTTGGTTAGCGAAGTCCTTCAATGCAAAATTTCACAAAAGCATGTAAAATTTGCATATTTTACTTTCTAACAAAATGCCTTCTACGGCAACAATATTTTTCACTAATTTTACATATAACACGTTGAATAACATAGAAATATGTTAAATTAGTGAAACAAGTTTAAATTTTATGAATTAGCCTCGTTGCTATTCAATTTCCCAAATGATTTCAAATTAGCACAACCTCAATTTTGATCAACGTAGTTATATATTTTTTTTAATTCTTTTTTGAATAGAATAGAATAGAATAGAATATTTATTGAATCCAATTAAAGGGCCCGTTTCCGAGCATATACATATGTATATAGTATTAATTATACAGTAATTTTTAAGATATAATGCATTAAATAACTTTACTCCATACCAGATGGTGTTTGAAAAATAAATAAAATAGAATATTAACCCTCTCTAATACATAAAAAAAAGAATATGTGTTATTGTCATTCACTTAATTACATTAGTTTAATGAATAACGTTAATCATAAAGGACCTAAAAGAATTCCTTTTTGTTCAATCCCGGAATAGTTTTGAAAAAAAGCAGACGTTTTAACTGTAGCCGCAGAAAAAGTTTAAAAAAATAAAGGGACATTTGGTGTTGTTTCTGCCCAAAACTTCTTTTTAATTAAAAAAATAAACTTGACTGTCATGAATAATCTATTTTTGCAATATTGGAGTGAATCGATTCTCTTAATTTGCTGGTCACCTTATAATGTATTCCAACCTTTAATTTGTTCTACAAGTTTGTATTTCAAGAAAATTATATAAAAACCTATTCTTTAACAAAAAATATTTCCACAAAAAATAATTTATCAAATTATATGCTCATGTCCAATATTCCGAGAATTTTTTTAATAGTTATTAATAAGGGGATTTTCGTTTTTCAGTACACGTCGATGCAAATGTCTTGATTTATTCCAACACTTTCATCAGAATCTTAGATCTTTAGGTACCAGCGTACCATAATAGTAGCTTATCTGTTAATTTAACGATTGTATCCTATTTCCTATTATGATACATTGAGTGTGATTCGCATGACGGGTGTTGTAAACATAGCAGGAGACGCCTACCTGTCTATGCAGCCGGTCTAGATCTTGTTGGAGATTCCCTCAGGTTTGTTTTTACCTTGAGTATTTTGTTCTGTATGGATTGATGAGAGTTATACATCGATAAACTACTGTTTTCTCTATATCCTACCTATCAATCTACGATCATACCGTATTTATTACAATATCTTAATAAGCTATTCTATAATAATTTGATTTATATTACTTATTACTTATATTCTCAACTCTATAAAAACATATATCCAAAGTAAACGAATGGGCCAATTGATATGCATACCATAATATTGAAAAATGTTTGACAGCCTGAAGATATAATACAATCTCAGTAGAAAAAATTATGAACACTGACATCTGAAATATACCCACCCGTCTACCCACCCAGACAACTTGGTACATACAGAGCACATGCCATGAATTAAGCTCATTAATGAAGACAATCATTTATTTCTGTTACATGACCTTTACTATACTTCATATATTGTTGACTAAAATTATACTGCAACTATTTATTTACTTAATTGTTCTATGCCCACCCTTCGAAAGTAAATGACTTGATAAGTATAGTTTTTTGTAGGTATTATGATCAGTTCCACAACAGCAGAGACAACTATACCAGCAGATCCGTTTCCAGCTGGTGAGTGACGATGCTTTTATTTCATTTGATCGAACTCCGTGAAAGGTATATTGTCTTAAGCGAATTTATTTCTCATTTAAATCAATCAATACTCCAAAAAGAAAGATCAAGTCTTATTTATTCATGATCACGCTTTAAAGCAACATCCGAACAACATTACGCTCTAGCTTATATTTTATAAAGACATATGCTATACACAATACGCTACATTAAGCTATATAACACATCTGTGAAGATTTACGGTAAAATTTTACTGCAACAGATGTGCGTGTTTGTTGATGCCCGATATTTGAAAACCAAAACATGATACAAACGTAGAAGAAAAAAAAACAAAAACAAAACAGAACAAAGCGTAAAGCTTAAAAAGGACAATTTCAGAGCTTCACATCAGGAATATATATTCCTTAATCTTATTTATTTTCAAAATTTTGTAACAGCAAATTTCAATAAAACAGTTTCCGTATTTCAATGCCCCTACCGAACTACTGGCCACTGGTCTGGTGATACTCTCGGGGACCAACAGTCCCCCGACATAGAAAATAACATACATCTCGCTTGATAAGGACATCTGACAAACAAAGTAACCGGCATCATGCTTATTAAGATACATAACATACAAACTAACATAAATCATCTTTATAACGACGCCTGGCAAACAAAATAATCTACAGAACGTTTAAGATTCATGACACAAAATCAGTAAATGAGGGTTTCAACATGTACAAAAGCTCACACCTCAATGCAAGTTCAAAATGACCCACATGGGGATACTTTAACATCGAGGACGTTTGACACACTAATGTAACCCTATGGGGAAAATTTTCACACTGGATAAGAGAGGCGAAAGATACCAAAGGGACATTCAAACTCATAAGTCGAAAATAAACTGACAACGCCATGGCAAAAAAAGAAAAATACCAACAGACAAACAACAGTACATAAAACACAACATAGAAAATTAAAGACTGAGCAACACGAACCCCACCAAAAACTGGGGGTGATCTCAGGTGCTCCGGAAGGGTAAGCAGATCCTGCTCCACATGTGACACCCGTCGTGTTGCTCATGTTAGTACAAACCGGTGACAAGTCTAATTCGGTAGGTCACATTCGGGAAAAAAGGGGACAGGATTGTAGTTACAACAATTGGAACATATCCGTTGTCATCTGTGAAACGGATATTCCATAACGGTCAACCAACTCGAGATGGCGTCCGTAAAATTTACGAAGGGATGATTTCAACTTCACCACTTGGAACTCTTGGTTTAATAGCTTCCTTGTGAGCAGCAACCCTCTATAAAGAAAATACAAGCCCTGGAATATCGTATCAACTGGTATCTTTCGTCTCTCTTTTATTCTTTTTCAATAGCCTTTGAGAGGGGCGATGTTTGATATAAAAGCAATGCCTTTGTTTTGAGAGCGAAATAATCCAGATTGTCTAAATGTAACTGTTGTTTGAAAGAGTTTGAAGTTTAAACAATTTAAATGGATTGAATAAAGTTCAAAACACAAACACTTATTGTGTGCTATTGTTTTCAAAAACAAAAAACAATTTGATCTCAAACCAAATAGTAGATTTTTTTTATTTCGGCCAGTGAAGGTAACTGTCGAGCGGAGAAATACTGACTCGCGATATTGCACTTATGCTTACCTTTAATATCCAGCAGCAGTCGTCATAAAACCGTAAATCTCAAATGAAAAAAAAGTGTGAAAAATAAATAAATGTTTATTTTAATGGTAAGATTTTCAACGAGGAACATAGACAACAACGTATGCATAACAATATACAACCCCTAAACAGATCTACATAGGTAAACAAATCATAATAGAGAAAATTCCATCTTTTACTGGATAATTTAAAAGACAAGAAAGAAGAGACTTCATCCATTTTTTCATTGTAAGAGTAAATCTAAATCATTTAGACCTTTAGGAAAATGATGTAAACAGAACTCACCAAGACATTCTGTTAATGTAATAACTAAAAGTATCATTTTTCAACAACCACAACAGAAGAGACTGTTACAAATGGTTTATACGTACATAGTTTACATATAGTTCTTAATATGATACAATTCACCGAGATCTACCTATTTTCCTAAACTTAGTTATTGTGCACGCCGGTCTCCTGCTCACCGCCACAGAACATAGATAAATAGACATGCTAGATAAATGTTGACAGTTTCCATTTGTGAATCGAAAGCCGATCCTCTTCTTGCCGACTTGTTCCTTTATTCATATGAAGCTGACATCATAAAGGAACTTCTTAGGAAGAAGGAAAAAAAGTTAGCAGTATCCTTTAACTATATAGATGATGTTCTCTCACTAAATAATTCAAAATTATGTTGAACTATCCAATCGAACTTGAGATAAAGGATACAACAGATCCAGTTAAGTCTGCCTCATATATTGACTTACATCTAAAAATTGACAAAGATGGTCGGTTGAAAACAAAACTTTACGACAAAAGAGATGATTTCAGCTTCCCAATTGTGAACTTTTCATTTCTATGAAGCAAAATTCCAGCAGTGCCTGCACACGGTGTATATATCTCCCAGTTGATACGATATTCCAGGGCTTGTATTTCTTATCACGATTTCCTTGATAGAGGTTTGCTGCTCACAAGGAAGCTATTAAACCAAGAGTTCCAAGTGGTGAAGTTGAAATCGTCCCTTCGTAAATTTTACGGACGCAATCACGAGTTGGTTGACCGTTATGGAATATCCGTTTCACAGATGACAACGGATATGTTCCAATTGTCGTAACTACAATCCCGTCCCCTTTTCCAAGAATGTGACCCATCGAATTAGACTTATCACCGGGTTTGTACTAACACGAGCAACACAACGGGTGCCACATGTGGAGTAACCTTCTGCTTACCCTTTCGGAGCACCTGAGATCACCCCAGGTTTTGGTGTTGCTCAGTCTTAGGTTTTCTATGTTGTGTTTTGTGTATTGTTGTTTGTCTGTTTGTCTTTTTCATTTTTAGTCAGACGTTGTCAGTTTACTTTCGAATTCTGAGTTTGAATGTCCTTTTGGTATCCTTCGCCTCTCTTCGGATATTTGAAATAGGGATCGTCTCAAACATCATTATTTGATCGACTATTTACTCATTATTGAAGTAAATAAAAGATATATATAAATGAATAAATGTTATTTATAATCTAACAGGAATTTGAGATATCAGTAAATAATTTAATGATATCGGGCATGGATAAGGATATTCCGAAATGAATTAAGGGATTTTATTTTAAATATATTATTTAAAGATCGCCTCCTTGATTTATGGGTTTCATTAATTATTGATTGATATCCTTAATTCAGTAAATTTCAATTCAATTTTCCTGAAATGATTTTAGGATATCTATAAATCATATAAGGATACCCTGGATCATTTAAGGGACTATCTTAATCCTTTAGGGATATCTTAAAATCTGTTAGGATATCCTTTGATCTTTTAAAGATATCCGTTATTAGATTAAATGACAGATGCAATTACTTATGGATATCTCTAAATGAGTTATTAGTATCCTCAATGATATTAATAGATCATTATACAAAAAATGAGTTTAACGTACTATTTAATCATTTAAGATTATCCATAAATCATTCAGGGATATCACAAACTCTTTCTCAATTATTGATATCTTTATTTAACATATTGATATCCTCCAATTACTTATACAATTCCATTAGGGATATCCCTAAATAACTATTCCTAGAGATATGAATTATGGAATTCAGTCAACCATTAAAAGATATCCTGCAATCAATATAGGTTATCCTGTCATCAATATAGCATATACTGCAATCAATATACGATATCATTAGTTTAATTAAATTAAGGACATCCTTAGGGATATCATTTATAGATATCAATTAACAATTAAAGAATATCATACAACCAATATAAGATAACCCATATTCATTTGAATTGAGGATATCCTTAGGTGATAAATGATATCCATTAATAAGTTAATGAAATAAATTAATCCTTTAAGAATATTCATTATCTCATTTGATGATATCATTTAATGATAAATTCAATATAAACTGAATGAAGATCTCTACTTTATATATATCTCGTTTCCCAAATGATCTTAAACTAAATAGAAAATTTATCAACTATCATACTCTAACGGAACTGACGAGCAGAGAAATATTGATATATGATATCACGTTTAACTAAGATTTGTTTATGTCTGTATTTGCATTTTAATTATATTTTTTATTTATGTGCGACAGTAGTCTAAATAAATGAATTGTAAAAATGAATTGCCAAACACTCAACAAAGCAAATAAGGCAACACATGTCTGCCTCAGAATCACAACATATAATACCTGTACAATGAAAACTTCGCACACTGTTTTATGTTCTACAAAAGTGTCCAAGTCACGACCAATAAACGAATAACAAAGATGGGAATAATGACGTCTTTTAAGAATGGGCGAATCAAAATTCTTTATAACGTTTAGTAGAACTGGTTCTTACAAATAACTTCAAGAACAAAGCTTTTAATGTAACATTGTATATTAGTGATCATGTTCTATTTGTATTTGACTAAGAGACAATCGTATTTTACGGAACAGAATGATTAAGTTTAAAATTGTTGCGGAGCAATTGGTATTTTGCAGAAGGCGATAATATATGTTTAATTTGTTGCGGATTGTATTCATAAATAGTGTTTTTCCCATGTAGATCCTATGTTCAATACTGAAACAACAATAGCTCCAACAGTGCAGACTGTACCAGTAGGTAAGTAAACATTATCATTTGTTATAAAAGAGAGGCGAAAGATACCAAAGGGACATTCAAACTCATGAGTCGAAAAGAAACTGACAACGCCATGGCTAATAAAGAAAGAGACCAACAGACAAACAATAGTACACAAAACACAACATAGAAAACTTAAGACTGAGTAACACGAACCCCACCAATATAATGAGCGTAAGTCAAGTAGGAATCGGCAATTGTTTGTGTTTGGAAAATGCCTGTTATTATGAGAGAGAGAGAGAGAGAGAGAGAGAGAGAGAGAGAGAGAGAGAGAATCAATTCTGAAACAACCACAACAACACCGTGTGGAGTATACCAGAAGGTAAGTTAGCACAATCATTTGTTATAAAAAGCATAAGTCTAAATCAGCAAGTGTTTGTAAAATGCCAGTTATTATTTGAGAGAGAGAGAACGCGTTTGACAATCGTAGTATTGTTTATAATTGATCAGTTTGATCAATTTTGGAACGGAATCTTTATTTTACAACGAGTAAATATAAATCTTAAAAGAGCTAAGCATTAATGTTTCTTACAAATATCTCCAAAAGCGAAGATTCAAACGTGACATTGTATTTAAGCGGAACGGACTAATTAATGTTTAAGCACATTGTATTCATAACATTTGTTTTCAATGTAGATCCTATAATCAACTCTGAAACAACCACAACTACACCATTGGTGACTGTACCAGAAGGTAAATTAAATTATCATCTGTTTTAAAAAGCGTTAATCTAAGTTGCCAGTATTTGTGATTTGTCAGCTTGTATTTGAAAGAAAGAAGGAGAGTTTGACAATCAAAGAAAAATCAGAGTCAGCAATATCACATAGATATTTTTATTGTATCATATCATTATATGATATGTAATAATGATATGATGGTACACCTACCGGTTGAAAACCTATTTATCCATAGTTTTTGGCTCTTTTACTCAAACATCATTGTAAAAAGAAATAAGATAAAATCACATTTCCTGTTCAATTATGGTTATGTGACGTAAAAAAAAATCAAAGAAAATGGTTCATGTATTTTTTTAAAAAGTTTTGTTATATATTATGCGTCATGTTCCATATTTTTTCTAAAAAAGAAATAATGTAAAAAGTGAATAGCTGTGGTGGATTTGCCAGATACTCAACAAGTCTAAATAGACAACTCAATCTATGTGTAAGGATCACAGCATACAATCATTAAACAATAAAGACTGTACAGGCTATTTGATGTTCTACAAAAGCATACGAATCACGATCGATAAACGAATAACAAAGAATAGAAAAATGACAAAATTATTGATTTTAGAAAAAGTAAGTATTACTCAACTCTCTTTGTTCCGTTAGGTACCGTTAAGTACCATTTTCTAAGAAAAAAAGGAAAACAACAGGTTATTAATGTCATGCGTCCGAAGCGTTTTTCTGGATTTACCTTCATCAGGAACGCTCAAAGCCGAATATTTGAAATCCGAGGATGTAAAATAACCGAATCAGTTGAAGAGCTAAGAAAAATTGATATTTTGCGGAACGGACTTATTAATGTTAAAGTTGTAGCACATTGTATTCATAACATTTGTTTTCAATGTAGATCCTATAATCAACTCTGAAACAACCACAACTACACCATTGGAGACTGTACCAGAAGGTAAGTTAAATTATCATCTGTTTTAAAAAGCGTTAATCCAAATTGCCAGTATTTGTGATTTGTCAGCTTGTATTTGAAAGAAAGAAGGAGAGTTTGACAATCAAAGAAAAATCAGAGTCAGAAATATCACATAGATATTTTTATTGTATCATATCATTATATGATATGTAGGAACACCTACCGGTTGAAAACCTATTTATCCGTAGTTTTTGGCTCTTTTACTCAACATCATTGTAAAAAGAAATAAGAAAAAATTTCATTTCCTGTTCAATTATGGTTATGTGACGTAAAAAAAAAATCAAAGAAAATGGTTCATGTATTTTTTTAAAAAGTTTTGTTATATATTATGCGTAATGTTCCATATATTTCTTCTAAAAAAGAAATAATATAAAAAGTGAATAGCTGTGGCGGATTTGCCAGATACTCAACAACTCTAAATAGACAACTCAATCTATGTGTAAGGATCACAGCATACAATCATTAAACAATAAAGACTGTACAGGCTATTTGATGTTCTACAAAAGCATACGAATCACGATCGATAAACGAATAACAAAGAAGAGAAAAATGACAAAATTATTGATTTTAGAAAAAGTAAGTATTACTCAACTCTCTTTGTTCCGTTAGGTACCGTTAAGTACCATTTTCTAAGAAAAAAAGGAAAACAACAGGTTATTAATGTCATGCGTCCGAAGCGCTTTTCTGGATTTACCTTCATCAGGAACGCTCAAAGACGAATATTTGAAAGCCGAGGATGTAAAATAACCGAAACAGTTGAAGAGCTAAGAAAAATTGATATTTTGCGGAACGGACTTATTAATGTTAAAGTTGTAGCAAATTGTATTCATAACATTTGTTTTCAATGTAGATCCTATAATCAATGCTGAAACAACCACAACTACACCAGTGGAGACTGTACCAGTAGGTAAGTACACATTATCATTTGTTATAAAAAGCGTAACTCAAGTCCAAATCGGCAAGTGTTTGTAAAATGCAAGTTGTTATTTAAGAGAGAAAGAGAGCGTTTGGCAATCGTAGCATTGTTTATAAGTGATCAGTTTGATCAAATCTCTTTGTTCCGTTAGGTCCCGTTAAGCACAATTTCTTCAGTTTAGTGTTTTTTAAACGGAATCTTTATTTTACAACGAGTAAATATTAGTCTTAATAAAACGACAAGCATTAATGTTTGTTGGAAATAACACCAAAAGCGAAGCTTCACACGTGACATTGTACATAAGTGATAAGTTTTATCAAATTCTTGGATGCGTAAGGTCCCGTTAAGAACAGTTTCCTGACAATTGATATTTTGTGGAACAGACTAATAAATGTTTAAGTTGTAGCACATTATTCATAACGTTTGTTTTCAATGTAGATCCTATAATCAACTCTGAAACAACCACAACTACACCAGTGGACACTGTACCAGAAGGTTAGTTGAATTACCGGTATCATATGTTTCTAAAAGTATTAATCCAAATTGCCAGTACTGGTGAAATGTCAGTTTGTTTTTTGAAAGAAAGGAAGAGAGTTTGACAATCCAAAAAAATCAGAGTCAGCAATATCACATAGATATTTATATTGTTTCATATCATTATGTGATATGTAGATACACCTACCCGTTGAAAACCTATTTATCCGTAGTTTTTAGCTCTTTTACTCAAACATCTTTGTAAAAAGAAATAAGATAAAAAGTATAAACAAATCACATTTCCTGTTCAATTATGGTTATTTGACGTCCAGTCAAATTCAAAGAAAATAAACCATGTATTTTTTCAATAAGTTTTGTTAAATATCATGCGCAATATTCCATATTTCTTCTACAAAAGAAATAATGTAAAAAATGAATAGCTGTGGTGGATTTGCCGGATACTCATCAAGTCTAAATTTTTTTAACATAATCTAAGCATAAAGATCACAACATTCAACCCCATAACAATTAAGACTTAACACTCGGTTTAATGTTCTACAAACGCATTCGAATCACGATCGATTAACGAAAAACAAAAGAATGAAGAATGACGATTAATAAACTGACCACTGGCGCTGAAAAACCAACAATACAAAGTGTAGAAAGAATACAGAATATTTATTACTAATAATACAACAAGTATATGTACAAAAATATGTATGTGTGGATATTTGATAGGCCGCAGATAAAATGTTTTACAAGTTCCAGGGAGACATACAACCCGATAGCCAAAGGATTGAAAAGAGCATATCGGGGACCCTATGATAATATAAGTGTCAAAATATCCCTCCTACGTGCAAGAGTGGACTGGACGGAGAACCCCTCTCTGTTTACACAAACCTCTGCAAAACAACAGTCTCTCCGATTTTTTATATGCAAACAACCTGAATTACGTGTACTGCGGAGATGACACCTCCCTTCTAATACCAGAAGTGGAGGGGATTACTCTCGTCGACAAGAGTGAACCCTAGGAAATTATTTAATACCCTCCACTATAGAGCCGGTAGGGTAGAGATATGTGCCAGAGGGGGACAGTTCTAAGTCTGTTTATTGTCTCCCTGAAACGCCAAATGAATGCGGGTCTCATAAATCCCCATTCACCGCCAAACATTCTCTGCGCTCATTTATCTGGTGGGAAAACCTTAGCAACACCGAGTACGAATGTTTCAATAGCTGCCTGAATGTTATTCAAGAAGATACCAATACCAACTTGTGACAGCTGTGTGCCGTCATGTCTAAATAAATTAGACTCAGAGGCTTTGATAGATGGATACCTTAAAATCTATTGACCTTCTTTCTTCATAAATGATCTTACAGCACAGTTTACTCTTTTTCTGGCTATTTCTACTAACTTTGGCCTTAATGTTCCATGCCAATAGGGCCTTGGTAAAATATCTGACCATATGATTTTAATGTCAGGTGCGAAAACTTTTATTCTTAAAATTGAACATTTGATGTTCTCGATTATTTCTTTTGACTTCATTAGCACTAAATCATTTGCACCTAGGTGTATAAAGATATAATTAGGGGCTGGCCACTTTTTTATTTCACTTTCAAAAGATGAATCCAGATCTTTCCATTTCATTCCTGATTTTGTTATCTATTAAATTTGTACTCCTAGCCTATCCAAATTAAGATGTTTCCCACCAGATCGGCTAGCAGCTGTTACGCCAGCCCAATGGGGAATAGACGATCCCATTATCCAGACGGTTGACTGTGCCTCCTGACCTACAAACCGAAAACTATTTTAAGGATTTTGCTATAATGTTGTTTACTTCTGTTCTATATGTACATTTAAAGAAATTGAAAATTGAGATTATTTTCACCACGGAATCCTGATGTAGCGCTCAAATGCACCTGACGACCACCTTCCCCATTTTTTAATAGCTTCGTCATTAATACCACGATTGCTCGCCTCTGTGGCGGCTCCAATTCTAAAGAAAGTTTTAAAGTGCTTTACACTCTTGAGAATAAAATGCACCTGATAGTAATCATTCTAAACAAAAAGAGGCGTTCCTGAATGTAAGCCAGTGTAAGCAGACATTTTTGATTTATAATACAAACACATTATAATCCAAACAAAAACAACTTACGCCAGTAGCCTCATTAAACTCAATTATCTGATAAACAATAACTGCTATTTAGTTTCAAGAACGAATGAATATAAATACGTAGAACGCTGAGCCGTGGTGCTTCTTACAAATAACTAAACAACTCCAAAAGTGTATATAAGTGATAAGTTTGAGCAAATCTCTGCGTTCCGTTAAGAAAAAACAAAACAAAACGTTACAACACTAAATAAACCTCATGCGTCCGAGGCGCTTTTCTGGATTAACCTTCATCAGGAACGCTCTCAAAGGTCAGTTGAAGTACTATTTCATAAGATTAATTTGAATTTGTCGTACCGCAATAATAAATGTTAAATTTGTTGCCCATTGTATTCGTAACCTTTTTTTACATTGAAGATCCTATAATCAATTCTGAAACAACCACTACTACCCCGGTAGAGACTGTACCAGTTGGTAAGTAACCATTATCACTTGTTATAAAAAGAGTAGGTCAAATCAACTTAGGCAGCACTTGTAAAATGCCATTTAGTATGAGAGAGAGAGAGAGAGAGAGAGAGAGAGAGTGTGTGTGTGTTTGCCAATCGTAGTAGTGTATATAAGTGATCAGTTTGATCAAATCTCTTTGTTCCGTTTGGTCCCGTTAAGTACCATTTCCTCAGAACAATTGGTAGTCATTGGAACGGAATCTTCATGTTACAAGGAGTAAATATAAATCTTAAAAAACCGCTTAGGATTAATTTTTCTTACAAATAACTCCAAAAGCGAAGCTTCAAACGTGACATTGTATATAAGTGATAAGTTTTATCAAATCTCTTGGATGTCTAAGGTCCCGTTAAGAACAATTTACTGACTATTAATATTTTGCGGAAAGGACTAATTAATGTTTAAGCTGTAGCACATTGTATTCATAACATTTGTTTTCAATGTAGATCCTATAATCAATTCTGAAACAACCACAACTACACCATTGGAGACTGTACCAGAAGGTAAGTTATGGCATTGGTGATATGTCAGCTTGCATTTAAAAGAAGGAAACAGAGTTTGACAATCAAAGAAAAATCTGAGTCCGCAATTTCACATAGATATTTATATTGTATCATATCATTATAAAATATGTAGGTACACCTATCGGTTAAAAACCTATTTATCCTTAGTTTTTGGCTCTTTTACTTAAACGTTATTGTAAAAAGAAATAAGATAAAAAGTATAAAAAAAACACCTGTTCAATTATGGCTATTTGACGTCCAGTCAAATTCAAAGAAAATGGTTTATGTTTTTTTTAATAAGTTTTGTTCTATATCATGCGCAATATTCCATATTTCATCTACACAAGAAATAATGTAAAAAACAAAAATAGCTATGGTGTGATTGCCAGATACTCAACAAGTCTAAATGGCCAACATAATGTAAGCATAAAGATCACAACATACAACGCCATAACAATTAAGACTTAACACTCGGTTTGATGTTCTACAAACGCATTCGAATCACGATCGATTAACGTATAACAAAAGAGTGAAGAATGACGATTATGTTTTAGAAGGAGTGAATATGTATATGTAAGAGAATGATCATCCCTTTCTTCATGATTAAGTACGAGCGTTCGCGAGTACTTATCATAAAGAAAGGGATGATCATTCTCTTACAAACTTAGAATATTGTAAAGTGCTCAAGGCTCAAATGATCTCTTGATTGGTTTTATTCAAGAATTTGTTTCATTGTCAGTGCAATGTTTATAATTTTATAATTAGTGATGTCAGGACTTCCTTTTAGTTTGGGAAATTCTAATAAATTGTATTTTAGGCATTAGTTGACACAACGGTACAATGAAATGGTAGAAATTGTATAAGTTTCGTAATTGTGAGTATGAGTGTAAATTATGTAATACTTTAATGAGGAATTATCTTTTTGTTTATTTACAATTCAATTTAATAAATTCAAAATCAGAGTTACAACTAAATTGCATTCCACAACCAATTTTATTCCAGCTTTTTACATCAAATACTACTTAATTAACTAAAATTTAACTATTAAAAGAAAATCTTTTTTTTAAAGAAATTCAAAAGTTACATTTGTAATTCGATCTCATGTATGTACCGGTATATTGGAAATGACTATTCCTAATAACTACGGATACAGTAATCTGATTTTTGGTAAGCGTATTAGCTAAAGATTTAGGTTAAATTTAATTTTAGATTTTTTTTTCTTTTTCTTTTTTCACATTGCTTTGATATTACTTTTTTTGTTGTTGTAATTTTGAAGTTCTAAATATTCACATAACATAAACGACACCAATTATACTGCACAAGTAAACTTTAAACTTATTTTTTTTGTTTTTTTGTTTGTTTTAAAATTCAACTTTTAATTAATAATCCTGTCAATTTGATAAATGTGCTTCGGGTAGATGTGACTCATTTATATGAATTCTTTGTTTTGAACTGTAAATAGGCCTAAGCAATAGAATAATCCCTTACTAAGAACATGTTTACATTCATTCTTCACAATTAAGAATCACCACATTCTACACTTTGATTGGTCGAGAGCACTTTGCTATATTCTAAAAATCCGAAGAATGCTAACCCTGTTTCTTACAAATGGCTACACAACTCCAAAAGTGTATATAAATGATAAGTTTGAGCAAATCTCTGTGTTCCGTTAGGAAAAAAAATGAAACGTTACAACACTATATAAACCTCATGCGTCCGAAGCGCTTTTCTAGATTACCTTCATAAGGAACGCTCTCAAAGGTCAGTTGAAGTACTATTTCATAACATTATTTTGAATTTGTCGTACCGCAATAATTAATGTTAAACTTATTGCGCATTGTATTCGTATCCTTTCTTCCTTGAAGATCCTATAATCAATTCTGAAACAACCATTACTACCCCGGTTGAGACTGTACCCGTTGGTAAGTAAATATTATCATTTGCTATGAAAAGGGTAGGTCAAATCCACTTAGGCAGTACTTGTAAAATACCAGTAAGTATGAGAGAGAGAGAGAGAGAGAGAGAGAGAGAGAGAGAGAGAGAGAGAGAGAGCGTTTGACAATTAAAGAAAAATAAGAGTTGGCATGATATGAATACTGGTTCATCATATTTTGGTACACATACTGATTGAAAACCTATTATCTGTAGTTTTTGGCTCTTTAATTCAAATATTATTGAAGGACCATTTGATCAATGATGATAAACACTATCATTTGCTATCAAAAGTGTAAGATACACAAAAAAGATCATGGAAATAATCGAATTCGTTTGGCCATACACATTTTTTTCATGTACTAGATACTACAACCAATTCTGAAACCACCACAGCAACCACAGTGGAGACTGTAATAGAACGTAAATAAACATTATCAGTTGTTATAAAAAGTGTTCGATACATCATACACAAAAAAGGCTAACAAAAATAATAATACATTTGGACATACAACAGACCTGGTGCACGTTACATTTTTTTAGTTTTCGATGCAAATTATTTTTAATATTGGCAAACAATCGTTTAGTACACAATCAAAGAATTCGATTTGTAATGGTGCTTATTTAACTTATTTCCATGTGAAACAAACCTATCAAAGCACCTTTATGATCCCCATTAAGCTCTGTTAAAAATAGGTTTTATCATGCATTATTCAAGATACATATACAGAAAACAAAGTCAAATACTGTTGATTAAATAGCGGTAAAATGGGATAAAACGGCCCATTTCACTTCTACAGACGCAAAAAAAGGTGGGAACAAAACAAAAGCTCATTGGCTCAATGGTATATTATACTTTGTCGCATAGAACCATTCTTGCCAAATACAATATTTATTTAGACACCGGTTGTTTTATTAATTTTTTTCTTATTCATTCGTTTTTAAACGACAATATTAACCCTGTTTGGCCATTTTTCTGGCTTCCTGAAGTAGCTTACTTATTATTTCCTAGCTTTCTCAATTATGTGTCGTCTTCTCTTCGAATTGAATTTTGTTCAATGTAGTGGTCATCCTGTTGGTAGTTGCACTGTGCATTTTTTTTTAACTGTGTCTTTTATTTTTCTGTCACATTTACTATACCAAAATCTGTTCCGGTTGAATCCGTCGTTGGTGATGTTAGGGTCTGTTGTATGGCCATATGTATTGTTATTTCTGTTAGCCTTTTTGTGTATGATGTATCTAACACTTTTTAAAACAGATGATAATGTTACTTACCTTCTGGAACAGTCTCCACTGTTGTAGCTGTGGTTATTTCAGAAATGACTGTAGTATCTAGTACATGAAAAAATTGTTATGAATACTATCTTCAACAAATTAAACATTAATCATTCCGTTCCGCAAAATATTAAATGAGCTTAGGAATTTACGCTCTTATTTGTCTTTTGGTCGTTTTCTGCCGTGGCATTGTCAGTTTGTTTTCGATTTATGAGTTTGAATATCCCTTTAGTAACTTTCACCTCTCGTTTACTCTCTCTCCTCCGTTGGTCTGGAGATTTCAATACTTCATTGACCTCACAAATGCTATCGATTTCAAAGACATTTCATGAAAACGGTCAGAACTGTTGTTTCTGATTCGTTTGTTCTTTTCAACAATACAACAGTTGTGGTTACTCAAGATAGTGGTCATCCTGTTGAGCGGTGGCCTGTGCGGTTTTTTCGATATGTGTGTTTTACCTGTGTTACATATTATTTACACGTAAAACTCGTTTAACAGCACCATATATCGTTCCTTGTTTGTGTTGGTTTTTGTTTGTCTTTGTTTGTACGATTATCTTTTTGGTTGAGTCCGGCGTTTGTGATTGTTTAGTAAAAGATGTTTTAGCCAAGATCAATCTCAAGCTATACCTTTTGTTCCCCTGTACACGTCAATGAAGTTAATGAAGGTTGTCTTATCAAAGATAAATCTCCAGCAATGCATGATGCTTACTTTTCACACGTCATCGAAGTAAACGAAGGTTCTCCTTCTAAAAATCAGTTTCCAGCAATGCAAGATATTTATCCTGCACACTTTATCAACGAAGCTAACGATGGCCGCCTTACTAAAGATCTATTTTCCGGCAAAATGCATGATGTTTACTCTGCACACGCCAACGAAGTTAAGGAAGGCTATATTACCAAAAAAATAATTTCCAGCAATACCTGATGTGTACTCTGCACACGTCAACGAAGTTAAGAAAAGCTGTAATACCAAAGATCAGTTTCCAGCAATGCCCGATGTTAACCCCTCACACACCAACGAAGTTAATGAAGGTAGTATTACCAAAGATCAGTTCTGAAACCACCACAGCAACCACAGTGGAGACTGTAATAGAACGTAAATAAACATTATCAGTTGTTATAAAAAGTGTTCGATACATCATACACAAAAAAGGCTAACAAAAATAATAATACATTTGGACATACAACAGACCTGGTGCACGTTACATTTTTTTAGTTTTCGATGCAAATTATTTTTAATATTGGCAAACAATCGTTTAGTACACAATCAAAGAATTCGATTTGTAATGGTGCTTATTTAACTTATTTCCATGTGAAACAAACCTATCAAAGCACCTTTATGATCCCCATTAAGCTCTGTTAAAAATAGGTTTTATCATGCATTATTCAGGATACATATACAGAAAACAAAGTCAAATACTGTTGATTAAATAGCGGTAAAATGGGATAAAACGGCCCATTTCACTTCTACAGACGCAAAAAAAGGTCGGAACAAAAAAAAAGCTCGTTTGTGATTGTTTAGTAAAAGATGTTTTAGCCAAGATCAATCTCAAGCTATACCTTTTGTTCCCCTGTACACGTCAATGAAGTTAATGAAGGTTGTCTTATCAAAGATAAATCTCCAGCAATGCATGATGCTTACTTTTCACACGTCATTGAAGTAAACGAAGGTTCTCCTTCTAAAAATCAGTTTCCAGCAATGCAAGATATTTATCCTGCACACTTTATCAACGAAGCTAACGATGGCCGCCTTACTAAAGATCTATTTTCCGGCAAAATGCATGATGTTTACTCTGCACACGCCAACGAAGTTAAGGAAGGCTATATTACCAAAAAAACAATTTCCAGCAATACCTGATGTGTACTCTGCACACGTCAACGAAGTTAAGAAAAGCTGTAATACCAAAGATCAGTTTCCAGCAATGCCCGATGTTAACCCCGCACACACCAACGAAGTAAATGAAGGTAGTATTACCAAAGATCAATTCTGAAACCACCACAGCAACCACAGTGGAGACAGTTTCAAACAATAATTGATGTTTACCCTGCACACGTCAACGAAGCTTATGAATGCATTTTTTTCAACGATCAGTTTCCAGCAATGCCCGATGTTTACCCCGCACACGACAACAACATTGATTAAAGCTGTATTATCAAGTATTAGTTTTAGGACTGTCTAGTATTTACCCAACGAAGTTAAAGAAGCCTGTATTACCAAAGATTAGTTTCAGTAGTGCCTGATGTTTAATCCACATACCTCAACGAAATTATTAAAGGCTTAATGCCGAAGATCAGTCTCCAGCAATGCCTTATGTTCGCTCTGCATATGTCAACGAATTCAGTCGTCTTGATGATAAAGACTAAATAGTATCAAGTCAGGAATATGACAGCTGTTTTTCATTCGTTCCATTTTTTTATATAGTCGAGCGTTTGATTTTGTCAGGTTTTGTGGACCTACCCCTTTTTGAATTTACCTTGGAGTACGGTATTTTTGTTATTTTTTTTTTATTATCAACGACCAGTCTCCAGCAATGCCTAATGTTCACTCTGCACAATTCAAAGATGTGAGAAGCCATAAAAAGAAAGAAAATATACCAAGGGGCAACCCAAAATCATTAGTTCAATAAAAACAGACAGCACCATCTTTGTAAACCTGTATCACAAATTAATGAGAAATCTGATTATCCGTTTTTCAACCCTGCAAATGATTGTTTACCTACTTTGACGATAAACGAACTCATATCCCTAATTTTTAAATCCAAACAAATATCTTAGGTTTATTGTTTTTTTTTTAATGAATATCAATTTATGTTTCTAGCAGACTCTACAACAGCTTCGGGAACAACAGTTCCTCCTGTGGGTAAGTATTCTATAGATCTAATTTTCAAGCTAAGCCTTAGTATTTTCTTAATTCAAATAAATCAAGTATTAACGACAAGAATTGTCCTTTATTACATAGATATTTCAGGTTCAGACGGGACACTTTAAACCAATTTACGACAAAATAATCTTTCCTTTTTTGGATAGTTATGTCCCTTTGGTCCCTTCTTAAGCTGTGTGGATATTCCCGAATTCGTTCAATATACCTGTGTTTGTAGGGAAGTTTCAGATTTTTAAAAACGTAATCTATGTAAAACTGATAGATTATTAAGTCACGGATTTCGTTATTACAAATAGCTTAAAACCTTTACTAAATTCTTTCATATATACAAATATTAACAAAGGTTTGGTAATTTTGCTCTTCTCAAATCTTATTTAAAAAGATGTCAACATTCTCTTTTTTACCGAGGGGCCTCGGTGGCCGAGTGGTCTAAGTAGTTACTACTGTAATCACTAGCCAGTCAACACTGAGGTTGTGAGTTCGAACCCCGCTCGTGCGGGTGCACTCGACTCCAATCTTAATTGACTAGGATTGTCAGTTTTCCTATCGAAGGTCGGTGGTTTTCTCCGGGCGCTCCGGCTTCCTCCACCAATAAAAACTTAAAAGTGGCGTTAAACACCAAAAATCAAATCAAATCTTTTTTTACCGTGATGTTGTTTAAACAGCTCTTACATTAAAATTGGACCAAATATAATCTGATTGTTTCTTTGAATAAACACATTCTAAAAGGGTATGGATGTAAAAAGATATTTGAATAGTTTCTTCATCTGTACTAACATTATCATTAACGGGAAGCTTAATACAAAAATTTATGATAAAAGAGATGATTTTTCATTTCCTATCGTTAATTATCCATTTTTAGATGGTGACGTTCCCTTGTCACCATCTTATGGTGTTTATATATCTCAACTTGTACGATTCGCTCGTGTATGTAACAACGTATTAGATTTTAGCGAGAGAAATTTATGTATTACTGAAAAATAATTACTCCAGGGTTTTTGATATCATAAACTAGTCAAAACATTTACTAAATTTTATCATCGGTATAAGGACATCATTCTTAAATATAACCCAACATGCAGACATCTTATACGTTCGGGTATTTCACATCCAATCTTTTATGGTAATATTCTTTACAAAGCACAAAAATGTCAATATTCACCTCAAAAGCTAACAAAACCTTTAAACAGACTTATCAAGAAGGGATATAGTTACGATACTGTTGTCAGGTCATTAAAGATTGCATATTTTGGCTTTAATATTGATTCACTTATAGGGTCTTTGCATCGGTTTTAAACATATTTATTCTAAAACCAGTTGTTGGCATGACACGGGTTATGTTCTTCTCATATATTTTATGATGGTATAATACTAAACCCCTAACAGGAGGGATTGTGCCTGATATTCATATGATGAAGACATAATCTTTCAATCAGTTTAATTGAGGTCTAGAGCTGGCATGTCAATAACTGCTAGTAGTCTGTTGTTATTTATGTATTATTGTCATTTTTTGTTTATTTTCTTTTGTTTCCTATTCTGACATCGGACTCGGACTTCTCTTGAACTGAGTTTTACTGTGCGTACTGTTGTACGTTTGTTTTTCTACATTGGCTAGAGGTATAGGGGGAGGGTTGAGATCTCAAAAAACATGTTTAACCCCGCCGCATTTTTGCGCCTGTCCCAGGTCAGGAGCCTCTGGCCTTTGTTAGTCTTGTATCATTTTTAATTTTAGTTTCTTGTGTATAATTTGGAGTTTAGTATGACGTCCATTATCACTGAACTAGTATACATATTTGTTTAGGGGCCAGCTGAAGGACGTCTCCGGGTGCGGGAGTTTCTCGCTGCATTGAAGACCCATTGGTGCCCTTCGGCTGTTATCTGCTCTATGGTCGGGTTGTTGTCTCTTTGACACATTCCCCATTTCCATTCTCAATTTTAACATTAATATTATCTTTAATAGGAATTAAAACATATGGTCCTACATACATTATTTTGGCACTTCACTTGTTTTGCGTTCCTCAAACCGCTTATCATGTTTATGGCGCCTTTTTACAAAATCTGTTGGAAATGTAATTTAAGGTCAGCAGAACATGGTTTATTTACTATTTGAAATTGGACTTTAATCATTTTTTTTTGTACCCGCGAGTTCGCCTAGATTGGTTCTTTGACCATTTAAGGTCAAATACAAAAACTTCGACATGTTTATATAGAATGACGTCATGGTGATATCACGTTTCTACACTAAAAGTGTTCAGATATATTAACCTGTTCATTTATTAATGAATTAAACATCATTTTGAAAAGCTTGAATAAGTTTACTATTTTTGCAATTTCAAAGACCAACTAATGGCGGCCCTTATCACATCTCCTCCTTTAAGAACATAAAATGTATATGTTTGTAGAAGGATTTACACAGTCATTCAGACAGAAACGGTTTCTATATCTGTATAAAGAAAACCCACATTTATCTGAATGATTCTAGTTTTTAAACATTCTTACAGAATATATTATAAAGATATATCTTTTTCCATTAATAGATGGAGAATGGGGTGATTGGAGTACTTGGACAACTTGCAATGCTTATTGTGGAACAGGAAAAAAATACAGATCAAGGGCATGTGACAATCCAGAACCATCCAATGGAGGTCAAGATTGTGCTGGTAGTACAGAGGAATCTGCAGATTGCGTAAATGGCGAATGTAAGTGGAAAAGTAACACTTAATTGTCTTGTAACACTCAAGGTGTCAGACCACCAATTCAAAATCCCTATATATTATAATCAACCAACATTTGCAATTTTCACAGCTTTCTACATATTTTACCTTAAGTGTAACTTCATAGAACCTAGGTATATCCTGAATTGTACATGTATCACCTTTCTGCATGCTAATTTCCAGCCTATGTTTAAAGTCTTGTAGCGAAATACTTCGTTCAAAGGTCAAGTACTACTACAAATAACCCCTGGTTTTCTTAAATAAGTATATACTATGGAGTGCATTAATCCTCAATTTTTAATGCAAACTCATGAACGAGTAAATTTTGGCTCAAAATAGTCTACATATATTCCTCTTTCACTAAAACTTTCATTTCTGCAAATTTGTTTGTTAGTTTAAGTAAACAATGACATAAAAAGCACTAGTTTTGTCAGGGAAGTGTTACGTTTACATACCTTTTAAATTGAAGCGGATGAATTAGATAAGTTTGTAATACGTAAGGAAAATTTCAGCAAAATTTCTAATTTAGAACTTCTAGTTAATTTCGACATTATCTTATTATTACACATTTACATATATCAGAACCTCCTTTTTATTAGCTCACCTGGTCCACAAGGCCATGTGAGCTTTTCTCATCACTTTGCGTCCGTCGTCCGTCGTCGTCCGTCGTCCGTTAACTTTTGCAAAAATCTTTTCCTCTGAAACCTCTGGACCAAATTTAAACAAACTTGGCCACAACCATTATTAGGGTATTTAGTATAATAAATGTGTCCGATGACCCTGATTGCCAACCAAAATGGCCGATATGGCTAAAAATTGAACAAAAAGTGGTAAAATGCAAGTTTTAACTTTCATTTTGAAAACCGTTATAAATAGGGATCATCTGACAAGCAGAATGTTGAGCTCTACCAATTGTCCAGTTAAGTCAAAACTGTTAGAGGACTTCTTATAGGCGTTATTGCCCTTAAATGACAAATTTTACCATTTTTAAAATGTTTGCCTATTATCTTGAATACTATAATAGATACAGAGAAAATTTAATTGTAAAAATGATCAGCAAGACAAGATTTACAAATAAGTCTGCACGGTCGAAATCGTCAGTCGACTCCTTATTTGAGTTATTGCCCTCTGATGACGATTTTTACCACTTCTTTTCGTTTTTGACTTATATCTTAAAAATATAATAGATAGATAGAAACTTAAATAAGCAAGACACGATATTCTATTAAGACAAATGGAGGAAATCGTTCGACGACTCCTTATTGGAGTTATTGCCCTTTAATGACAATTTTTTACCATTTTTTTTGCGATTTGCCTTGTATGATAAAAATTATTATAGATAAAGAGACACTTTAAATAACAAATATGATCAGCAAGAAAGATCTACAAAAAGTCTAATTTAAAAGATAGTTAGTAGACTGTCACTCTTTTTAGGAGTGATAGCCCTTAAATGACGATTTTGTTTACCCTCTTTCGTGTTTTGAGCAAAAACTAGAAAAGATAGAGAGAAACTAAACAGACAAAAAGATCAGCAATAAAAGATCAACAACAAAAAAATTGTCATGAATTCTATTCTTGTCTGCAATGTTTGAGAGTGTCCTTTGTTGAATATGCACATAAACCTAGGTGAGCGACACAGGTTCTTTAGGTATGACATTGAGAAGTTATTGAACTTTATTCTTTGAAAAAGCGACGGGCGTATCATGCGCTCATGGCGCAGCTGTTTATTGATATCGTGTTTGAATATATTTTTGGATTGAAAATACATGTACATGTGAATGTTGACCAGTATTTTTTGCTCACCAGATCCATAGTAGGCCAGGTGAGCTATTGCCGTCATATTGCATCAGTTCGTCGTCATCCATCATCATCGTCGTAATCTATTTCACTTCTCCTCTGAAATGAACAGTCTTATCTAGACCAACATTTGTAAAAAAAAATGGTGTCTACTTAAGTACTTTTAAATGATGCGATTGCGGCAGCCGAGTAAAACACATGGCAAATTTAGTTAAAAATAGAACATACTAATAAAATGCAAGTCATCGTCATATATCTTGAAAACCGTACAGAAAAGTGTGTGTAAAATGCTGCGACTGTCAAGTTCTACCTAGTACCTACCATTTACTTAGACCAAAATAGTTAGATGACTTATACGAGTTTTGGCCCATTAATGATGATTCCTAAATCAAAATTTTTATCCATTTTTGCCAATTATTTTAAACACTATAAAAGATGGATAGAATCTGTAAACAGCTTGAATGCTCAACAGTAGGAGATCTACAAATAAATATATATGATTGACACCGTTATTTGGCTTCTTCTATGAACTATTCCCGTAAATCAAATTTTTTAATATTTTAATGCTTTTTATCTTGAAAATTGTAACCGGTAGACAAAACTTTCAAAAAAGCTACAACTGAGTTGTTATGGTTGAAATGGTCGATCGACTCCTTATAGGAAGTTATTGTCCTTCAATAACGATTTTACCGATTTGTTTTGCATTTTTTGCTTTTAACTTGAAAAATATGTTAGAAGGACTAGATCAAAAACTTTTATGAATAAAACAAATCTTTGATATAAAAATGAGGAGATGTGATATAATTGCCAATGAGACAACTATCCACCAAAGACAAAGAAACGAAGATGTAAACATCTAGAGTGCACTTTACGGCCTCCAACAAAAGAAAAATCCATATGGCATATATAGTAAGCTACTAGAACACACCCGCGACATCGCGGGTCCGTGACTGAATTAAGGTATCTAATTATGTATAAGCCTTATTTTTAGCCCGGATTTTTAGTATTGGTATCGAAATCTGATAAAGTCATGCTGTTTATAAGATGCACGGTTTTCTCTGCTTTCAAAATCTTTCTGTTTGAACCCGTCAACCTGGAACTTATTAATTATTGGTAATATTAATTATTTGGAAAACAAAAGGGCCTGGAATGGTGTAATTTTTAATCAACACCATTGTACTATATTAGTTATATATAAAGTTGAATTCTTTTATTCGCCGTTTTTACGTCATGACGGCTAACAAATTGGAAACTGTACCTACGCCTTATTTTAAGTCTGGATTTTTAGTATTCGTATTGTCATCTTATAAAGTCATGACAATGATTGAATTTAGTAGTGTCAAGTTTAGGTGTGATTGTGACCCGTGTATTTAGCAAATCCCAAATACACCGTTTAGTGGTGCACCTGACAGATGCGGAACGTACAGATTAGGTAATAGGTAACAGATGACATATACTATTGGTATCGGTATCGGGTTCGATCCGGAACTTGTTAATTATTGGTAATATTAATTATATGGAAAACAAAAGGGCCTGGAATGGTGTAATTTTTAATCAACACCATTGTCCTATATTAGTTATATATAAAGTTGAATTCTTTGATTCCACGTTTTTACCCCATGCCGGCTAACAAATTGGACCTCGTTATTTTAATATTATAGATATAGACCCGGGCATGACAAAATGTGTAACAATAAAAAATAAACAACAACGGCGTGAATTATGATTAAAAAACAAAGAACAAATAATCAATGCAGACAGCAACAAACGGCATCCCCTGAATTACAGTTTCCTATCTTGAGACAAGCACGTAAAGAATGTGGTGGGGTCAAACATATTTCTGAGCGCTCATATCTCACCTAACGTGTGACAGTGGCGTAACAGCACAACATAAGAACACACGATTTTTACCCATGTCTGCTTTTTGGCTTATCTTTTATAAACTATAATAGATAGGCATACAGAATAACAAGCAAAAATGATCAGCAATAGAAGATCTATAATTAAGTCTGTATGATTGAAATTGTTTATAGGAATTATTTCCCCAAAATCACCATGACCGAAATTATAAATTGGCGCCTCATAAAAGTAATCGCACTTTAATGAAGATCTTTACGATTTTTTCTGTCATTTTGGACTATTATCTTGAAAACTTGAAGACATAGACAGAAACTTCTAAAGGGCAATACGTTATTTTATAGTTAACTCAGTCTGACTTTTTTACCCAAAGGATGTATATCGTTTTCAAGATAACAACGAAAAACGCATAACCGGGTAAAGAAATAGGCATCTGAACTCACAAGTCTTTTAAGTGGTCCATTTAATATTTCTCTCAATTTAACTATAAGTTATTCCTATCTTGCTGGTCCTTATTTGCTTTTTAGAAAATTACAATTATTTTTTCCCATATTAACATATTTTCCCAATATTTTAAAAACTATTAACGGTACGCATAAACTGTACACAACAAAATTATCAGTTATTAGACGTACACAAAAACGTTATATGACATAAATCTTCAATGGACTCTTTATTGGAGTTATTGCCCATTTGTTGCTTTTTGGTTATTATCTTTAAAATCAAAATCGGGAGGAGCAACGATGACGAGTATGACAAGAACCCCCGAAAGGCCAACAGGACGGAAATGTTATATGACTGCTAATAGGACTTATTGCCCATTTATTAAGAACATTTTTACTTAGGACGTTTATTCGTAAAGAGAATTTCAAGTCAAAAAATTAAAAGCAGTCTAGATGCATTCTCTAAATTTAACCTTTCGCCTGGTAGCCAGTCTTATCTGCTACACTTTCTCGATTCATTAATCTACAAGGTTAAACTTGCCAGCACAAAAAAACTGTTTACCCATGAATCAAGTTTTTGTGATGAAAAGAATGTGAGCGAGATTAACATTTTTCAAATGTGTTCATAAAAGTCTGACGAGTCCAATGAATATTTTTCATTCCTATTTGTATTTACGTTTTAATCTCTTCAAACTTTTTGTTTAGGTTGTGCGCCAAGAGTATTTGACATGGCTTTAATGGTCGATTTGTCACTCGATCCTATGACGGAAATCACGACCTTCGTTAAAAGTGTAGCTAACGTGACTACAATTGCGCCTTCCCGAACAAGGATATCGATGGCAACTTTGAGTTCTTCTGTAAAACTGAAGTTTGATTTTGTAACTTACACATCATATGCAGACGTATCTGACGGAATAAGTTTATCAAATACGTATGGAAGACCAAATCTTAAAGAAGCCTTAGATTATGCAAGGGGTACAATGTTCACAACAGAGAATGGGGATCGATCTGATGTTAGCGATGTTTTAATCATGGTTATTTCTGATAGCGTTGATGACGAAGAAGTAGATATTGCTGCTCAAAGTCTAAAGGATAATGGAGTTTATCTGATAGTAGCCGAAGAGACACGAACATCTTCAAGTTCCACATCCGTAGTGGAACCTGTGTCAGATTTATATGCTTCTTTCACAAAATCATGGTCATCTTATAAGTTAACTTCAGCGCTAAATGCTATTGAAAATGGATTTCCTTGTAATTATTGTAAGTTTTTTTTATACTATAGTAAAGCGTGTTTGAGTTGAAAATGCAAGCCTTTGTATTAAAAAATGGACCATTCTTAACGAACGCATCTCAGATCTAGAATTTTAGTAGTACGAACGGCAAACAAAACTCTTGTTTTGATCGGTGATTAATTCGCTTTTTAGGGTTAAACAAGTACAAACCAAACAGATAACTATTTAATCACTGATAGTCGTCTTGCGTTATTGTCACATTAAATCTTATCTCCGATTTCTTTACAAACTAGTAACTACTTAATACCACTTTTCTGTTATCATCAAAGTTATGTACAAGGGTGTGCCACGCATAGTTGTGCATTTGTTCAATTTTGTTCAAATTTGATATCTGTCATAACTGCATCATATGCATGAAGGAACAAGTCCGTGAACATAGTACACAAAAAATACTTATCTTCCTCATATGAATAAAGGAACAAGTCCGTGAACAGAAAATACACACATATAATAATCTTCCTCGTATGCACAAAGAAACAAGTCCGTGAACAGAGTACACACATTTACTAATCTTCCTCTTATGCATAAATGAATAAGTCCGTGAATAGAATTCACAACCATATTGGCCAATGTTGAAAAGGAAAATGCAAACTACAGTCTGTCGTACGTTTGTACTACTGACTCAGTACCAGTCTATGTAAAGTGCGAATCGCGAAAACCGTTTCTTATGAGGAGTCGCGATATTTTCTTATATGAAATTGTAAATATGCAGACACACCATGAGGAAAAAACATGTTTTTTGCAATAAAAAAATGTTTGATATTAAAATATATAAATACTGTGAACGAGGCACCCGTCTTGCACAACCGAACGTAAAAATAAAAAAAGTAAAAACACGTTAATCGTCAATTAAAAATTAAAAAAAAAAAAACGGCAAACACGATGCACAAAATTTACCCTTTACCACCCCCGTTAAACTTAAGTTTGACTGGACTGTATAAAAAAATCTGTTATAACGACGTATGTAAACAAGACTCTATCCGTACCTCACAGGAAAATCGTGAGAATGAATCTTTAGAACGTCATATTTTATTTCGTCAGTTATTTTGAATTCTTCAGAAAAGATGTCAGGACTGGGTAAGGATTGAGGATTGAGGAGGCATATAATTGTTTTCTGACACCTCGAGGACCATGTTTATTGTTTGCATCAGCAACATAATCATGATGCTGGTTCCGTAAATGAAAAGTAATTTCAGGAACGGAATATAGCTACAAAGTGATTATTTACATGTTTGTATAATAGTTTTTAATTTAATTTATGACTTTAATTTTATTCTTACTAGATTTACCATATTTTGATTTTTTGTAAAATGTTCGATGTGTACGCAACTGCGTTTTTGCGTACGGGTTGCTACGCGCCTGTAATGCATATTTACTCGTATAAATACAACATACGTGGAATAAAATGTTTAAAGTACATGGCAAGTTTTATATACGTTTGTCCTGTTAAATACGAATAAACAAGTACTTTTCGATAAATTTTCTTTTATTCATACAAAGGTCAACATTCGTCTGAGATTCACCATTATGCATCTCGTTTACAAGTTATATATAGCACGCCTTTTACGAATTAACGTACTTAATACTTAATCCACGAAAAGCGTAGCTTTGAGTGGATTAAACATGTTAATGAGTAAGGCGTGGCTATATATGATTTATAACACTATGGGCTATGACACACGTCAAGGGTTAAATGCTGACCAATAAAACTTTACTGTACTTTTCAATATGTCAATCAAATAGTTGCGTGATACTATATCTGATTTCCAGAAAATTAACACACGCAGTAGATGTCAGTTGGATTTGTATGTCAGATACAGGTACATTTAAATGAATTGATGCCGTGGGATTCAGGCTTGATAGCCATTCACGTGTTATTGAATATTTTTTCTCCCCAAAAAACTCTTGAAAAGGGGGGAGGAGGGTGATGCAAAACGAGACTGGAGAGTGCAATAACTAACAACTCAGTCAGTTAACGCACTCCTCTAGAAATAACCGAAGTTAACTCACTCGAAGATCAAAGGAAAAATTACCATTCATGTTACAAAAGAGAATATCGCTACTCCACTTAAGAAACGGTTTTCTCGATTAGCACTTTTCAAAGACTGAGTACTATCTAAATGTTTTCATTGGGTAAATTGAATTTCACAAATTTTTCTTCTTTTCGAACGTGTTTTTATAATTTTTTATATATTAAAGATAGGATAGCCAAACGTGTTTTAAACGACAACTGTCAACCATTATTTTGAGTTGATTTATATGGAAAGCCAACGGGATCAAAATTCTTAATTCGTAAATTGTCAATTTGTGACTTGTAACTGTGTAATTTCAAAATTCTGTAACTTGTAACTGTGAAATTTCAAAATTCTTAATTCGTAAATTATCAATTTGTACATTGTAACTAGTATCTTTGTAATTTCAAAATTCTTAATTCGTAAATTGTCAATTTGTAACTTGTAACTGTGTAATTTCAAAATTCGTTATTGATAAATTGTCAATTTGTATATTGATGTTTTGTAACTTGAAACATGTCGACTCGTTAAATGTCGATTCGTTAAATGTCATCGTTGTATTATGCTAACGATCAATATGACGACAGACGGCGCTCGGTTTCAACTTCGGTGTATAAGCCTCCTGTAAGTAGGAACACCTCCATATGGAGTATATACATAAGTAATTTAAATCAATTATGTTCAGCACATACATATAAAAGAAAACAAACAGATACATACATTGTTTGTTTTATATGGCATATATACAGGGACTCTGTTTTATATAGAGGTGACCTCGAATAAACATGTATGTCTACTGTACTGGTTACCACACCTGGGAGGGGGTGCGTCACTTCCGTTATCAAAGTATATACAGATGTGTCGCCAGAATGGGCTCCCTTTTCAACTTCGCAAATATATGACTGTCACTTGGCAGGAAATTTCTTCTTAATATTTGACCGGGTAAAAATAGACTAAATACATGAAATATAAAATATATATTATAATCTCAATGTTAAAATTTTGTAAAAGAATTTAATTATCTAATGATTTTTAACACAAGAAGCAAATGGATGAAAAATCTTTATTTATTTGGCTCTTGAGTAAATGTTTTATATCATGTTTGTATTTTGCAAAACAAATTGAATGAAGTATTATTTTAAATGAGTCACTTAATTAATGTATACTATATATCAAAACTGCATTGAATATGCAATATTTTGTTATAAAGTCTAAAGGAACCAGAAAACGAGGACCTAAAATGGACTACCCATATTTCCAACGTAGCCAAGAAGGCAAACTCAACACTAGGATTCCTGATAAGGAATTTGAGATATTGCCCACCAGAATGCAAGAAACCCGCATATATTTCACTGGTCAGGTCAATAATGGAGTATGGAACAATAGTATGGGACCCCTACACATCTACGAACTTCAACAAGCTTGAAAGAATACAGCGACAAGCTGCGAGATTTATAACAGGAGACTAAATATCCATAGAAGATGGTTGCGTCTCAAACACACTCGCCAAACTGGAACTACAAGACATACAGACAAGACGCTCAATCCAGAAGCTAATATTTCTGTACGAGGTGGTTGTGGGGCTGGTTCATGCTATAGAACCAGACAAATATTAAAAAAAACTCTTTCAAAAAGAACTATTACTACCAAGGGATTTGACAATTATCAGTCAATAAATATTATTTGGCTCTTGAGTAATGAAGATAAAAATGTTTTATATTATGTTTGTACTTTGCAAAACAAGTTGAATGAAGTATTATTTTAAATGAGTCACTTAATTAATGTATACTATATACTAAAACTGCATTGAATATGCAATATTTTGTTATAAAGTCTAAAGGAACCAGAAAACGAGGACCTAAAATGGACTACCCATATTTCCAACGTAGCCAAGAAGGCAAACTCAACACTAGGATTCCTGATAAGAAATTTGAGATATTGCCCACCAGAATGCAAGAAACCCGCATATATTTCACTGGTCAGGTCAATAATGGAGTACGAAACAATAGTATGGGAGCCCTACACATCTACGAACTTCAACAAGCTTGAAAGAATACAGCGACAAGCTGCGAGATTTATAACAGGAGACTAAAAATCCATAGAAGATGGTTGCGTCTCAAACACACTCGCCAAACTGGAACTACAAGACATACAGACAAGACGCTCAAGCCAGAAGCTAATATTTCTGTACGAGGTGGTTGTGGGGCTGGTTCATGCTATAGAACCAGACAAATATTTTTAAAAAAAGCTCGTTCAAAAAGAACAATTACTGCCAAGGGATTTGACAATTATCAGTCAATAAATATTGTGGAAAAACAAGTCAAGCATTACACAAAGTGTTTTGAGATTCCAACAAGCAAAATACCACAATATTCTAACTCATTTTCGTAAAAACAGTAAAATATGTACAACTGCTCTTTGCGTTCTCTAATAAACTATTTATAACTATTCTACTTAAAATATATACAACTGGTAAAAATTTGTACTATTACAAATTTGTCCTGGGTCAGGAACAAACTTGTTCTCTTGGTACAATTATGTACCCTATAAGTTTACACACTTGTCTAATACGGTACAACAATACGGTTCAGCTTGTAAACTCTCAACTTGTACAGGTCCGTATTTCTAACAGGCACCAACCTGTTCTTTATTACACTTTAGTAATAGTAACTATTATAAGAGACAACGATCTCAAATATCAACGTACCGTAATTTCAGGTCTTCGTCTTCTTAAACTTATGACAATCGACCTTGAGCAAGGAATCGCTCCTGCTTATATACCACATGGTAGCCGTACCATTATTGAAGGAGGGGGTGTTCTACCAAAGTGCCTCATTACTCGTATTAAGAGTTTCCTTTGGAATACCCCTTCACATTTGTCCTGACCCAAGGTTTACCTGCGAAACATCTTATTCTTTTCTATGTTTATTAAAGTATATACAAATACATAAAATAA